CAACTTTAGGCCATTTCCACTCACCCTTTCACTTGAGACACGGCAAAAGAGACCTCTTCCTTGCTAGAACCTTCTTTCACATAGTTGTAGAGATCAATAAGGTCCTCTTTTCCAGACTGCAGAACCCCAGTTCTCTCAAACACTCATCAGAGGACATGTGCTCCAGACCCTTTGTTGCAGTTCTCTGGACTTGCTCCAGCACCTCAATACCTTTTTTGTAGTGAGGAGCCCAGAGCTGGACACAGGATTTGAGGTGCAGCCCCCCAGTGACAAGTACAGGAAGACAATCAGATCCCTGGTCCTGTTGGCCACCTTATTTTTTAAAGTGGGCAGGATGCTTTGGCCTTCTTGGCCATCTGGGTACAACAAGCTGATACCCAGCCAGCTGTCAAACAGCTCCCACAATGCTGCTGAGCACCTCTCAAGTCACTCTGTCCCTGGCATGTAGCATTGCCTGGGCTTGTGACACCTGAGTGGTGACCCAAGTGCAGACCAAGCAGGGACTAACTAAATGAAACAGGTCATTGCATAAAACTACAATAATAGGAGTTTATAAATTCTGTTTTTACTGACAGTTAAGTCCAGAGCACAGCTGAAGTTCTGGGAAATAATCTCTCAAAGTGGTGTGGGCCTTCACAACTTGTCTACTTTATTCCTCTGTGTGTGTGTTAACAATTAGACATTTAGAAGTTTCTGCACATTTGTAGCTAAATGATTATTCCAACTGATTTCCACACTATGCTGCTCAAGAGTATATTTAAGGCACCACTGCCCCTAGACATGGCCATTTTCTGTTGTTATTTTAAATACACATTGTGATCTCAGCTCTTGGCTCGAAGATTTCTGCATTCTTCCATAAGCTCCTACACAAAAGTTTTTGTGCTTTAAAACAGAAGCCTAAGGGACTGCGTCATTGTCTCTGGAGGCTGGGCTAGAGAAAGAAGAACCCTGTAGAGACTGAGCTCCTGGTGCTAAGTGTGGAAGCTGTGTACCCACTCTTCTGGCAGACTGTGGGGAGTGTCTTCCCAGGAGCCACTGGCTGGCTGGTGAGTTTTCACATAGGCTGTCTCCACTGCCAAGAACAAGTCAGGCAGGTTCCTTGTCAAAGGATGCTTTCATCCATGCCCTTTCCTAGCCAGCAATCCCACACACTAGCAAATAGAGCAAATCTTCCAAATTAGTAGCAATCTCCAATCCTCTTCAATTTAACAAGGGAGAAACTATTCATCTGTTTCAGATAAACACGTCATAGCTATACCGAGTGATGGATGCTGGCTGGACAGTGCAAAAAAAGGGTCAAATACTGCCAGGCCATGGACCAGAAAGTCTGTTGGTACAGCCAAAATGGAGAGTTCCTCTGGAGATGATTCAGTATCACGTTACTGCTCTTACCATAGAGTTGTCACTCCCAATTAGTGACATTTACAGAGCACCTTCCAGTAAAATTATCTAAGACAAATAAAAATTTCAGGATGGTAGAGGAAGACAGTCATCATCAGTTTTAAGAACTGATGGATAGTAACAGGGCACCCACATCATTTCTCCCTCCTCCCACCACCTCATAGTTTACAAGTGGCAAATCTTAGTGAGTTTATACCTACATCTGTAGTTTCACCACTGTAAGTCTAGATCTGCTCTTTCAAGGTTTATTCACATGAGTAACATGAGTAACAGTGTTTCCAGCAGGCCCATTAATACATTTGAGCATTACTCACATAGACAAGGTGTGCTATGTTAGGTGCTTACATGATAATACCATGGAAACTCCAGTCTGGATTTGCCCAGATAAACACACTAAGGAAACAATAGCTAGACAGCTGGCATGAAGAAAAGAAACAACATAGAAAAAACCAAAAATATCACTCCATATTAAGTAGTGCTGGTAGATGTTCTATACCAGCTATTTCATAACCCACTTTCACCATCCTGCAAACATTCAGCACCCTTCCCAAACCAAATACAAACTGAATTAATGCTGAACAGTTAAGGCATAAAAGCCAGTCATCACAGGCCAAGTGCCCCTACGGCACAGTTTTTATAAGTTCCAATAAAAAAGGTGCACCATGGTCACCCCTGGTGGAATTAATGCAACAGCTTGCCTCTCTCCTTACACTGAAGAAAGCCTCATTTTGTACTCCATTCGTGGGAACAGTGAGAATCCAGGACTTTTTTCCCATGCAATTTCTTTCCTTTTAGTTTTAAATGCATTTTATGGTACCTAAATTATTAAGCATGAGTATATAATACGAACACAGTTATGTAGCATTCTCTCAGGAATCTTCAAATTTTTGGAGAGTGTCATCATCAGATTTAGGACAAACACAAAGTACTTGTTATTTCTTACCTATTCCTTCTGTTTCTTACCGAAAATAGCATCTGTTCAACATCTCCTAAAGTTGTTTGCAGGAATTCTTCAGCAAGCTTCCATTCACTGTCACCAGTGGGTAGTGATAAATCACAGAGCATCATTACTGACAACATCATCACCACTACATCTAATGTTGGAGAAGAGTATTTATTTGGAATACCATGTAAAATGATCAGCCATGCCATGATCTGTATCATGGTGCAATTCTATTAATTAATCATGAGTTGATGAATGACAAATGATGAGTTCTAATGACTTAGAAATGGAGGAGAAAAAAACCTTAAAATACTTTTGGTGAAATACAGTTCCAGTTCAAGGCAAGAAGGTTCAAGTTTTTTCCCAGTTTCCATAAAGAATTCTCACAGTTGTAAAGCCAAATCTTCATAGCTTGCCAGAATTAACATCACCTGACTCATATTACTATAATTCATTAGCAAGGACAATATAAATACCTCCTTCAAGTGTAAGATTAGTAGTAAGCCAAATGGCAGGGCAAAGAAGCAATATGCTCCATGTCAGCACTGGTAAAAAAAAGAACTCACTTTCATTCATGAGAAGACAGATTTTCATCTGAGTCTTGAATTCTGGTATCACATTTACTCAAATAATCTGTGTGAACTTAGAAGAAGAATAACAAATAAGCTCTCATCATATGGGTATCAGATCACTCCATGGCTGTGCACTAATAACATACATCAACCAGATTCAGCCAAGGCCAGAAGAGAAAGTAGTTAGAAATTAATTCTTGAGCTTTGAGTCTGGCTCCCAAATGCTTTGGGCAACACATGGAAACCCAAAACTGTGCTGCAAACTGCAGTGTATTAAGAGATGTTCAAAGTACCTGTGGCATATTTTTATTCCACAGTGCAAAGCCTCACAGAAATACTGTGTATTCTGGAATGAGTCACTGCTGTATTTAACCTAATAAAGAGAAACTCTAAATCCAGAGTCTTGGCTACCATCTTCTTCACAGAGCAACCCAGACCACAGATTAGAGTAATATGTTAAATCACAGACTTTGTCCACCCAAATGTTTTCATTGCAATATCTTTTTGTTTTGTGGGTTGAGATGGATGGGAGGGCAGGGGAGGGCTGCAGGATGGGGAGAATACTCACGTCAATATGCAGGTATCTTATACACTCTACTGATTAAGAGATGCTGTAAGAGAAATTCCCAGCAAATAGAAAGATTAAAAATGCCACAGCTCAAATACATGTTGTCTGTAATGTGCAGTGATGTTTTTCTTTCTACTATGGATTTATAATAAATTTTTGTTGTTTCTAATTTACCAGTATATTTTCAACTTCAGATTTTTAACATTCCTTCTAAGAATGTAGATATACTTTAAAAAATTAATAATGTTCTTGGGGCATGCTGGAGCAGATGGTCTAGTCAATACAGCTACAGTAATTCATATTTAGGAAGATTTATTTGTTTCTGAAGCCTATGCTGTAATATACTCTACGAGCTTTTTCATCATCGGTGTTGTATTTCAATTCATTTGGTCACTGCCATTTTTATATTTGAGCAAATTTTTTAAAAATGGGCAGTTTGATGCACAGGCTTCAGCTGAAAATATTCTACACAAATGAAAAAAAAGGTGAACAGGAATGCATTATGCATTACAACTTCATTTTAAATAAAAAAATCAATGATGTTCTGTCTGTAACCTCCACATAAAAGGTAATTTATATAGAATAACAAATCAATGTCCCATAAACATGGTCTCAAGTGGGATCATTGGTATTGTTTTAATGGGAGGGATAACATAAGATCTTTGTCTCAATCAGTTGCAAACCAAGATAGTGGAGCATTATTAGTATGCTTAGACTCAAGGAATATCCTAAAATAACTTTGAAAAGGGAATGACACATGCAGTTAGGCAGAAGCTATACTGAAATTAATATTTCATAGTACTGATACAAACAGGTGTCCATAACCTTCCATAAGAAATTTTCACATATAACTTATGTGGTGGCCTTAAGCTGAGGTACAGCAGTAACCACTAATATGTTTGATTCTTTAAAAAATGCTTGTTTTGTGTGAAAAATGTCTTTTCTTATCTGTTGGCTTTGGCCCTTAGTTCCTTTCAAAATCCATCAAGTGCAGTACCTGCAGGAAATAAATTCCATTCCTAGAGCAATGCTGTCTTGTATTAAATGTGCACGTTAACATGCAGGTATGACCATGCTACACAGGTGATCAAACCATTTGGGAGCAAAACATGGAAAAACTACTTCCACCAAGTTCTGAATACCTATGAACTGGCATATCCCAGAATTAACTTTGGTTAATTCACTAGAAGAAGGAAGAAGCCTTTTCTTGCTCTGACCTATGACATGTCACTGAGTCAAAGAAGGAAGACAATTTCTTAATAGATACAAGTTACCAGAAAATTTATAGGTAAATGAGAACTTTTATTCCTGAAAATAAAACAAACAAAACCTCCCCAAACCAAAATCAAACAAAAAACAAATCTAAACAAAACAAAAAAACCCAAACAAACACAAGAACAAAACAAAACAAAAAAAGTAAAACACAAGGAAAACCCAACAAACCTAAAGAAAAGATCCCTGTCATGTTTCTTAAATGCAAATATAATTTGGTTTTTTTGTAGGACAATTTGTAGGACAATGCCTCAAGTCCTAAAGAAAAGCACTGCCACTAAAATGGCCACCCAGTGGAAAGTCACTTTTGAGAATTTCAATAGGGCTTTAACACTAAATACCTCCCTGCTGCCCGGGAAAGAAAAGCCATGTCTGTGCAAGGGCCTAGGGGGGCACCTTCTGAGGAGTACTCCCATCTGTCACATATAAGTTACACAGGTCATGCTCTGAGAATGTAAGTGTGCAACTGAATGCAATACATCTGAGTCACAGCCCTCAGCGGAACTGTGTTTAGTGGCACACCATATCAATCAACACTGTGTTTTCCCATACTAGTGGGATACAGCTTCTCTGAATGGCCAGGCTATTACCAGTAAAACTGAGAGATCTGGAGCTGAGCATTTAAATCAACAGACTGTGGGTCCAAATTAAAAGCTATCTCTTATAAGAGCAACTGAGTTGCTCTTTAACTTTCAGAATCTAAACCCAAGAGCAGTAGCTCCTCTTTTCCTCTTTCTCACCCTGTAGGAATGAAGGAGAAAAGGTTAGATACACAGCATTATGAATAGGTCACGCTGAATTCTGAGAAGCACCAAACCTGAATTAATCTATGACTTCCTACCCAATAAATCCAAGCATGAAACCTCTTTTGGTGCAAGTTTGAACTCCTGAATCTGTAGACATAATCTGTTTGCCACAGATAAGATAAACGCATCATTAGACAACTGTTACAAAGTAAGTGGTAGAAAAAAATCAAGCAGCATGGAAAGCAACTAAAAGTTATCATTTATAGCTGTAAATCACCAGGTTTCAAAAACATAATGAAGGACTTTTAAAGTCACACCAGCTGTTTTAAATACATGAAGCTGGGGAAGGCTTGGTTAATAATTGATGAAGTACTAACAAGTAGAGAAGGAGACAAATCTGAAGAACTAAATAATCAAAGTGAAAACATTGTAGAAAACAGAAAAAAAAAAGAGGGGGGTATGTGTGTGTGTGTGCATATTTCTATAGAGAAATTTTCAAGTAAAAAGGGCAGCTATTGCCATTTGATTGATTACAGAAATCTGCCTATTAAGACAGTCAGAGATAACAATTTCTAGCATATTTTTGCTGACCCACTATGTCTGCTGTCATTTCCACCCTGGAGGCATGTATTACCAGCTTGCTTTAAGCAATGTGTTTTCAGCAGTCACTCAGTTCAGACATTCAGTGCATTTATATCCAGCAAAATTTTGCAAATAAGTAGTTATTGCTTAAAAAACCTAAACTCAACCTTCCATTTTACATAATTTTATATTTACCTTTTAAATAACCTTCTTCTGGGGGAATCCAGTTGGGCTCCCTAATCCATATGAAAAGACTGCAGGCAATACAAGCATAAATAAAAAAAATGTGTGACAGGTGTTTCTCCAGTCACACAAAAGGATTTAGGTCTTCTCGCCACCCTGATAAGGCACTTAAATAGTCTTTGCTGTTGATGAAAGCATCAGTGAACTGGGCAAGAAGAGCCACTGGCTAGAGGTCAGTAGGTCAGCTCCTCTGCTGCTGATCTGCCCTCTGACACCAGCTCCATCCACAGCTCTTACTGGTGACTTAGTGTCACCAGCCAGTCCTTAGATTAAGCTCTCTGCTTTCTTTCCTTAAACTTTGAAATTCTCATGTAGGTGTTTTTCCTCTTGGATACTTGCACACCTGATGGTCCTGTTCCAACCATGTTCCCTCTGTTTGTAATCTTATCATTTTCATCTCTCTGTAGACTTCCTTTCTGCTCACCTTCACACCTTCTTAGTGCTCACACTTCTCTGAGACAGGGCTGTGCAGCTAGGTGTGATCCAATTCAGGATCTGGATCCTTATCTGCTAAGGCATCCCATCTCAAGAGCAAGGGTTATCACTGTGAGCCAGGGTTTCTCCTTTGGAGCAGGCACCTCTCCCAGGAACGAAAATCACTTTTCTTATGAATGTCAGTGGAATCCTATCTAATGCTTGCTTCCAGAAATCCTACCCACAATTTTCTTCACTAGCTCAGGAGAAGTCAAAGTCTTGGGAGCAACAGAAGAATCCCTTGTTAAGAGAATATGAATCTATAGAAGCCAGGCTGGCCTGTAAAATAATCTTACAGAGACAGAAGGATGACCTCACTGCTTGAATTCAGGTTTTAGGAACAATAAAATGGCAAAAGTTTTTGCATAATAAAATGTTTTTTTTTTTCCTTACCTGGCAATGAAGACTGTATTAAAAATTCAAACTAGTTGTTTCAGAGAGTTTAAATCTGTAAGATTAATACATAGTTGAAATGATGAGAGGTAGAAGTGGCTCTAGTTTTTTCCTACTGACTCATTTGACCCTCTCAACTTCCTGATTCCTGGGGGGTTTTTTTAGGCTTACATTATGCCTCTTCATGCATTTTGTTTTCTTATGCATAACAAGACTCACAAGTTATAAGTGAGTCTTAAAAAGCTATCTCTTTTAAGTTATATAAGCCAAGTAGAGAGAAGAAAATTCATCACCTGCTACAGTTAAGATTTAAGAGCAATGAATCCATGAATCCATCCCAACCAACCAAACTCTACCTTTATTTCAAGATCCAATTTAAAAGAGTTACTTTTTGTTTTTTACTTGAAACAAAATTTCATGGGGCAATCCCAGTCTCTTCCACTGACTTGTATTTTCTCTGTTTCCTGGAGGGTTTAATTATCACCCTTGTAACAGAAGAGATACCAGGACACAGTTAATCAAACTCACTGGTTAAGATCCAGCTAGCAGCCAAAGATCCAGATATGAATAAAGGGCTGAACTCCATGTCCTTGTAGTAGCACCTATGAGTTTCAATTATTAACCCATCAGAGATACTGCATTAAATTGATCATTAATGTTCTCAGCAAACCATAATCAAGTCACCACCACATGTAATTTTAAATGCACCTTATCTTAGGAGTGCTGCTTACCTGGTTCTACATGCTACATCTTCAGGGAGGGTATGGAAACAATCCTCGCACAATTTTGTCTCTTTGGGATGTCCCCATCAGAGAAGTTTTATTTTCCTCTTGCTGAGGTTCTACCATTTTTGACACTAAGCACAGACTTCCCAGGTGAAATACTGCCCTCCTTTAAACCAGCTGAAGTGTTGCAACTGGCTTCAGTGTGGTCAGTGTTTATCCTGTTGGGCCTGGAACTTCCCCATTCAAGCATGTGTAGAGTAAAAGGTGCTGTGGTAAATACCAGAGCTGAAAGATCTAGAACAAGGGGTATTTTTCAGTCTTTCAGAAGGTCCTTGAGAGGTTTGGGGCATCTCTGCAGGCTGCATAGATAATCTCAGTTTAAGCCTAGGGCTGTGAGCCAACAGAAAGAAATGCTGGGTGACATATTTGGGATGATGTCCTGGCTGTCATTTCCTACCACCTCCCTCCCAACCATCTGCTCCTGACAAACTGGAGCTGGGCCTTGGGCTGACAATCAGACCACACTAGCAAAGAGCAACATATGATAAATTTCCAAAGAAATAGAAAGATTAGAGTTTACCACATCACTCACATTTGTGTGATTACTTGAAACATAAGGCTACAGGATTCAAGCTCAAGCATAGCTACAATGGAATTTTCAGCTGATAACTATGATCCTTTTTCTACATCAGCTACATCAAAAACAAATCCCATCTCAGTTTTTCATCAGCTGACCCAAAGTCTTTGGTAAGCCCAGACATAAGCATAAATTTTTAAAACATGCTTTGGTTTTCCTTAAATATTTTAACATTACTCTTGTGATATTTCCAAGACCGAATACAACTCTCCTGGCCAAATCTCTATCACATCCAGTATGTTGTTACAAAATTCTACATTGTCCCACTTGAACATTTTTATTGAATTACATTTGCTCTGGCATTACAGCCTTTCCAGTCCCACTTATTATTAATTTACTATGAAGGAGGGAAAAAAGCATCCCTTTCTTCCACTGTGTATTTTACAATAGCTTATATACTTTATATCCACTAAACAATTCATAATTCTCTCTTTTAATTAAGTGATGTGATTAGTGAGCAACATAAGCAGTCTCACACTTGACAAGAGTGTGAGTTGAGAAAGGTTGCAGTGCTTTGTATGGAGCAGGACATCATATGCTTTGTCATTAGGGCAATTGTGAGCTGGTACCTGCCCTGCTAAGTGCTCCACTGGAGCTGTTGGTAAACAGCTGGGGGTCAGTGCTTTTCCTCAGTGTGCTGGGAAGTAACACCTTCCTGGATGACAAGTACTAGGTACATGCCTACCCCAAAGAAAACACTCAAGATTTGGAGCCTGGAAGGACTAAATTTCATAGTCTTAACTGAGGGGACAGGTAAGACCTGAGAAAGCAGTTCAGTAGCTAGTGTACATGGCTAATTTATCTGAAGACTGTTTGTAAGCAGTCTTCTTGTATTTTTTTCCTGATTTTGTACAGACATTTGTTAATCTCGGTGGATGTTCAGACAACAAAATATTTAGAACTGTGTGAGCCAGAGCTCTTCTGAGTTAAGAAAGCACTACTTTGAATAAAACTCTGACTTTAAAAAATTCCAAATATATATATGCACACATATATACATATATATACATACATATAACTCCAAGAAATCTCTCAGGGGAACATTATAGTGTGATAGTTTCTACTACTAAAACAGTTTTGGAGCTTCTTTGTTCGTTTGACTGAACTAATTTTATCATGTTTTCTCTAGCGGTCGCTGCCATGTGGAAAGGATGGGCTTCTACTAACACCTTCCTGCACATCAGCCACAACATATGGCAGGTTATCCCTTGCCCATGATAAGTGTTTTGTTGTCCCTCCAGTGTTTGGGGGGTAGGGCCTGAGGAGTAAGATCATCTGCAACTAAGATCAGCTTCCTTTTTAACTCTACTTACAGGTCACTGGCTACTTCCAGAATACCAGCTCCACTGCGTGGAGCTATTCCAAGTCCAAAGTCTCTGCTTTCAACTTCTCCTCTAAATGAGCCATCCTGCAACATGACAACCCCATGACACAGTGCATGCTTCTTCTCATCTCTCCAGGTGTGCCTGATCCAGCCCCACACAGTCCAGCAGCACATTGGCACTTGACCTGCCCTTGCTCTGCTGCACCATGTGATGGGGAGCACCACAGGATGGGATCCCTGCTGACCCACCAGCTTTACAGGCTAGACCAGTCCTGTTTCTCCAATCTGAGCTGTAATTCCTTTTGAACAGAAACAAGTGGCTCACACATTTTCCCAGGCAAGTAGAGGCTATTATCTGGCCCATTTCATTCCATAAAGCAAAAAGTATATATAATATAGATTCTAGAGTTTTTTGTATCATTATAAATTTTGACTTACCATAGTGTGTTAAAATGCAACATTTGTATGCATTAAGCAATAATTATGTAATAAGGAAAGATGGAGATTAGCTTTAATAATGTGCAAACATGTACCCATGGTAATAAAGAGGAATTTATCCGTTTAATGGCTTAAATTGTGTAGTTGGATTCACATCACAGCCACACTTTGGCTGAAAAAGACACGTTTGGATGAAAAATAGGCATTTACTCTGGTCTCTTGAAGGCCAGGGAGCCCTGATGCCACCACTGGACTGATCATCCCTTAAAGCATTTGAACCACTCATCAATTATTTTTTCCATAACAATAGTTTCAGGGTATGTTTACAGCACAATTGCTGGAAATTTTCCTTGAGCAGATGATAAGTGGTGTGTTACTTTTAGTTGGTTTGGCCACAAGGAAAATTTATGCTGTACAATCTGATTCAGATCTGCCCTACTTACCTTGATCACTAAAGCAAAGGCAGCTGCTTACTATAGTTGTCTTAACTCCAGTTACATATTTTGCTTGCTAAAGGAGTAATTATAGGTCTTTGGAAAAAGCAAGGAAGGAAACATTAATTACACAGATAGAGAGGGAAGATATTCCAGCTGCAGTTCAGATATATTTTCCCACATCACCTACCTCAGGAGACTATCAAAAAAGCATATAATACACATACTATGTCTCTCCAGAACTGTGCTTAGCTTTAAACATTACCTGTCTTTCGAACTCTGAAAGCTGCTAGCATAATGCCACAGCATAATTTGTGGGTGATTTTTTGGGGTAACTCAACTTTGCAGAAGACACCTCCTTATGTTTTATTTTGGTGGTGTCTCTGCATAACTGCAAATCTTAACTGAGTTTTAGGGATTAAAATGCACCAGTCTAAATCCCTGGTGTGTTTGTAAGGTATGTGGAAGACTGCTGTTTAATGCAAACTGAAAGAAGATTGCTTAGCAGATGTTCTCACCGATTCCTAGGTGATAGAGCACAATTTCCCCAAGCTCCTTGTTATCCACAGACACACCTAGGCAGATATTTTCTTGACCTCTCTTGAGCTGAAATTTTCTCGACCTTTCAGGCACTCTTAAGTACTAAGAGAGTGACTACAGAGCACCAGAAAGGCAGCGCCAAGCCTTCCTGCTTCCTGAGACAGGATAGCATAGTGATGTGTGGCTACTAAAGTTTTCAGTCAGATATCTTTGCTCATGCTCACTTTATGGGTTGTCAGCAACCACATCTAGCATTGCTTATGCAGTGTTTTACCATCTGTCTTGCACACACTTTCTGCTTTTTTGGGAACCACAGTGGTTGTTGACATGGATTCTGTCTTTTCCAGCTTCCATCTCCCTCTGCCAAGTACATTTTCTTAATTAAATAATGCTTGGCAGTGTACACAAGCAAACAATTACCCACACAAATTTGGTGCAAGCAAGTGTAAGACCACATCAACAGTGGAGAGGAAGTCAGGTTTAATCATTAAAATGTGTAAAGTGTTGGTTCAACAATTGTTTTTGTTCAATAAACCATAGCATTTTATTGTGTGGTTACCTTTCCTGGGCCAAGGCTTGAGCCTAATTCAAGATATAAGAAAAAGCAAAGCTTTTGTAAAAAATGGAGGACCATGTCCCTGCTTCTGACCCTTCTCTCCCGCTTTCTCACACATGAGGGCTGAATTACCCGTGGTTTTGAGACTTCACTGCATTGAAGACATAGCTAAGGCTATTAACAAGGAGGTGGTTGTCTTCCCAAAGATTCAGCAGCAAACAAGTTAAGAAAATGAATTTTGCCCTCCAACCCTTAGAGTTGTTTTGTATTCTGTTGTTTCAGATGCTTGCATGTGTATCATTCTCACCTGGCCTTACTAGTCCACCCAGCAGATGGCCTGCGCAATCTGCTTGACTAAACTTTTAGCTACAGCAGTGTTCCTGGGATTTTGATTAAGAGTTAATTCCCATGCAAAAAGTGAAACAAGGAAAAATTTCCCCATGGTAATTTGAGAAGCAGTCCTGCATCTAAATTAAGTAATACCCAATGTTAATGAAACAGCTTTAGAAACCAAAGGGGTAACCAAATACCTCAGGCCATTTTATCATCTGAGGTACACATGAGTAAATATGAAAGGTCTCTGATGTAGATTAATAGGCATCACAGGTATGTAAATGATGTCTTAATTTGGCACTCTATAACTTACTTGCTCTCAGATCTTAAAATACCCTGAAGTGTGACTTTCTAACACTAGAAAAAATGTTCTTAATTCCCTACAAAAACTCCATTTAATTTTAAAATAAATTTAATTAGAAAACTTTGTAAATACTTTAAACTGTGTACTAAAGATCAGAGGTTACTTGGAAAAAAAAATAATCTTGCTTCAGGTTTCCCTATAGATGAGAAATATTATCAGAAAAAAATATAAGAACTAAAGCATCAGTTTTGTCTTCCCATTTCTCCTACTCTGCATTGATGCAATCCTGCAGCTCTCAGGAGTGGTAGTTTGGTTTATCTAGGCACATGTGTCTTTACTTGCTACTCCTGTTGTGGTAACTCCAGTTCCTTCAAAAAGAATAGCACCAAACAGCCCATACTTCAAAAAAATAACTGATTAGAATTGTATCTTGGCAATTCAACTAAATTGTACCACCTGCGGTAAGCTAAATGCAGGTTGTCTTTTGCCCAAGTATATGTGTTGCATCCTTTGCCTTTACAGGGAACCTCCCTGCTCAGGCCACACACTGGCTTCTGGGCATAGTCTCAATACTGCTCTAAAATTTGCACAAAAAAGATTCTCAGTGCATTGACAGCAGGTGCCCAAAACAAGGACTTTCCCCAAAAAAGAGCTATTGAATGATGTAATTCTTAGTCTGCAATGCACTGTTCCCCCATCCCAGAAGGAAGAAACAAAACACTGCAATAGGCAGGAAGCTGCAGAAAGGTTTCTGTGATTCTACCATAACCTACCTAGAAGTTGCTTATACACACATGCACAGGCGGACTCACACAGAGGTTTTACATGTCTCTTGGCCTTTTCACTTTCCAGCTGTAAGTTAATGGGTTGTGAGAACAATGTCAATATGTGCCACTTTAAGAACAATGTTTTATATAACTCAGATTAAAATTTAACTGGGCTGTTTCACTATTCAGTGTGTGCACCCTTTTCAAGAGGATCTGATAAAGATCAGTTTTGCTGGAACTTGTTTTCATAGCACTTACAAAAGCAGCCTCCCTGCTACTGGCATTTGGAGCAAAAGAAGCTGCAAAATCTGCTGCATTTGAGAATGAAGTAATATGTTTAGTATGGTTTTATACATGTAAATAAGGCCAAAAAGGGCCTGGAAGGATTTGTGGCACAGTGTCAGTTGCTAATCTTGCTTTAGCTGAATTATAACACTAGCTCACCTCACAGTCCTGTTGGTGACCACTTCACTGGCCTGCCAACTGCAAGCAGCTGTCAGCTACCTGAAGCAACCTGGAAGTGCGATTGACAAACCTTACTCAGCTCTATGTTTGCATAATGGACTCTTAGCACCAGAAAGTCCAGCCTTCCAAGCTGCATTTGGGGGACTGGCATGGGAGGCAACGGGAGAGCTGCAAAATCTTCATTTAAATTGTGGAGAAACAGAGGATCAACCTTCAGTTCCATTAAATCTCTTGTTTATTGAAGCATGTGCCTCTCATATACTGATGAAAAAAGGTGAATCTATAGAAAGCTGGTAGGTAACGATATCTGGACTGTACTGTAAGTGTAAGCAAGGCTCAAAGGCAACTCAGGCCTCTCCTGATAACTCGTTGTCATTTCCACAAGAAACAGCTCACTGGTTGTAAGAGTTCACACATGCATCAGCCCAGTCCACTGGGAATTCCTGTGAGCTTCTATCAACAACAGCCATGACTGAGGCCTTTGAAGTCCCTGTACCTAAAATGAAGCATGCCTACAGCAAATAAGCTGCAGTACAATTGCATATATTGATATCAGTCTTTTTAATGTACTTTAGAAGCAAGCCACAAGAGCCAGATGCCCTGAGCTGAGTAAGAGTCTGCCCTTCAAGGCAAGCATTTAGAAGACATTACTTCAGGAGTTCAAGACTATCAAACTTCAAATTTCAGATGCTCGTCAAAAACTCTTAAAACATGTTATCAAGGTTAGATGTGACACTTGGCTAAAAAGACCCTGTTAATGAGTAACAGAAGAATTTGTGATCACCTACAAACTACTTTGAAGCTGAATTGAGGAATACAGTTTTCAGAGGAGAAACCAAGTTTCTTACCTTGCATGGCACCATGCATACCTATGTATATTCCTCAAGACTGCCACGAAAAATTGTTAATGGATGTGCAATAAAACACTTATATGCATTAAGTATATGGTTTGCAAAAGGACTGCAAAACCTATGAAAACGCTCCACACATGCAGGGAGAAATTCATGTCCTTCTCCCAAAACCTTTATGCCTTTCCTAACCCTTTAGAAAAAACTTCATATGAGGCTTCTTAAAAGCCTATCAGTAAGCAAGTAGAAGCTGTACCCTTATTGCTTTTCATAGCAGAGATTAAAAAGATCAGTTCTTGACTTCTCATAGAGGTGATCAGTAAAGATTTCTTCATAACCTTACTAAAAATGACAATTTTTCAAGGGATAAACTTACAGACAGTGACAGGCCCAGATGACTTTTTACTCTTTCTGCAAATGAGTTCCGTTGAGGATACTTTTTTTTTTTTTTTGAGGTATGTTTTTGGAAAGGTTATATCCCTATGGATATTTTTAAAGGCATATTTTTATTTTAAAGCATTCATTTTGTGATGGCCAGTATTAAACAGCTTGGATTTAATGCACATTTTGTTGAAGCTTGTGGCTTTCAATGAAGTTCAAAAGCACTAAAAAGAGGATCAGAATAGGGTAACAGTTCAGGCTACTGCTATGTGGTTTTTTTGCTTGGGAATACATCAGTGTAGACATTTTAAATACACCAGAAGTTAAAATAACATTCTCCTGATTGAATAATTTCTATTACGCTGCTGATCTCAGCTGAAAACCAATGACAGGCTCCAGAGGCTGTTAGTTTTGGAGTGCTTGAGTTCCTTTAAATCCCTGCAACCCATGCTGTTTGAGATTTACCTTGATTCTCTAGTGCTATCTAGTGGCTACTACTGAAAATTATTAATGTCTAGAAACGCAGTTACACAAAAGTCAGCTTCTATGGACCTATCTAGGTCCTTCTTCCATGGCTAGTCTGACTTCAAGGTGTGCAAGTGGGGTTGGGTAGTAAAGACAGATAGCCTGTCCCACAAAGCTTCAGCACCCAAAGTGTCCAGGCTAAATGCCCAAGCTAAAACCAGCATGAACACCCTTTTTTTTTTTTTTTAATACAAAAAAAACACATCTCACAGCCACTTCCAGGCCTATTTGTGCCTAAATAGGTGAGCGCTTCCCCTCTTCTGTTATCTATCACTTTAACTTATCCTTCTCCTGTTATTTCAATTCACTATTGAATTGGAAGTTCACAGTAGGGCAGTTCCACCCACCTTTCAATACAGAGAAAACTATACAGGCTTCCAGGTGTCAGTATTTATATCTGCCTCTTCACTGTTGGCTGCCCAAGGTTTTTCCTCAGTTCATCTTCTTGACACTGAGAAGCAAAACAATCCAATTAAGGGTTGCCACTTTTGGGCTTGATCAGAGATCTGTTAGCTTGGCCAAGAGATCCAAGGTTTAGGCTCAAGTGTGAGGGTCAATAACACAGGTATATGACTTCAAACTATCAACTAAGTAAAACTGGGTATGGTTCCTGTATGATTCACCATGAGGTGAATCCTGGCCTCACAAACACGGCATCAGTCTCCCAGACTCAAACATTTTTTAACTTCAAATAGGATTTCATTGTCCTGACAGCAGAAAGTGGAATGTGCTTCAAACTTAAACAAACTAGGCTAATAGAAAGGGTGTATACTCCCATTAGAAGAAGGTGCATTAGGAATCACAATTTTCCTGGAAGGAAATATCTGCAGTCCAGTGGTTAGCACTTACGCAGTACTATTCCAAATCCACACATGTGCACAGGCACACACACAGACTTTGTCATCCTCCCTTCACACATAATAATCCCCGCCCCCCCACCAGCCCAACATGCACACACCAATCAAAAGAAATGGAAGAAGTGCTGACAATGGTTTGGCTGCTGGCAAAATAAAGAGCTTTGTGGAGACTGACTTCTTAAAGTAGAAAGAACAACATATGACAGCAAACAGTAAGCTCTTAATAACTTATTTCTACTAAATGTTAATATTCTATAAATCTGCACTTAAAACAAAGGTCCAGTTGTATTTTTTCTTCCAGCTCTAGCAACCACAAAAGGAAAAAGGCTTTTTTTCCAGAGGGAGACTACATACACAGAATCCTGATGGTGAGCTGCCATTTGAAACAAACAAAAGCCAATTTATTCCTAGAGAGATAAGGCTTAGATTGAAAAGAGAGTATAGTTAGTCATAATAGGAAAACCAGCTCAAACCAGGAGATTTCCACCTTGTCCCCAGCAATTCACTCTCTTGCCCAGATTTATCCTTATTGCAAAGATACACAATTTAACACAAAGGCAACCATTGCTGTCATTCAGTGTTCTGAAGTAGGCTGTAAAAGCTTCACCAAGAGACCGTGTTCACAAACATTTTTGCGAATTAATCAACATAAATATTTGGTTAGAACAACCTCTGAGCCTACATTAACAATAAGTTTGTGTGGATTACTTCTCCTTCTGTAGATGCTTAAAACCAGAAGTATCAGACAGAACTGGAGATTAAGGTAGAACAAAAGCAGCTCATCTGCATAGTCTTTAAATTAAAGCCAAGATGATCAAGGCCAGATTTTTTAAAAAAATCCCCCAGTCAACTAAACATCCAAGCCCTAATTTCCAGTACTGCAAGTGAAGACTGTCAGATCTGTGGTACACACCCATATGCAGGACTTAAAAATGCTGAATATGCATCAATCCCACCAAAGAGTGACTCTGCTACACCCAGAGGTGGGTTCCTAACCACCACATCTGTCAGGGAAGAAGTCTTCAGGAACAGCAAGTGAGATTTTGTCTGCCTGGGATCTAAAACTCCTAATTTCTCATAGAGACAGAAGCCCACAGCTACTCTTCCAAAACGCTGCCGGCTCTTAGTTTTAAACTAAAGCATGACTTGCAAGGGAAATGGTGGAGCTCGGGCCTTCTCCATATGGTAACTTCTCTAGGACATGATAAATCAAGCAGGGTACCACCTAGGTGCACGAAGAAAGAAGCTGCAGATGCAGCTGGTATTGTCCAGTGTTTAAGATCACCATGAAACAGCAGTGATTTCCTACACTAAATTTGTTGCTTGTCCTACTTAAATCTCCAACTACCAAAAATGAAGCCTCCAGCTCAGACACTAGGTTTGGAGTGGCTCGGATTCCCCAAGAGAATTGTAACACTGACAGTGACATTTTGCTTCACTACCTGTACTTGTATATATTCATCAAAACCAAATAAAAATATGTATTCGAAACAATGACTGAATTTCTATTTTTTTCATTCCAAGAGTATCATAAGAATAACATCTTATTAGCCCTTCATAGGAACTTTACACTTGGAAAAAAATATAAAATCTGGGAAAAAGAGTTTGTGTGGACTTATAAACAAACAAGAAAAAAAAAGACAAAAATATGTATACTATTACTTTTACCCTTCTTCTGGACTTGGTGACAGTAACAAAGATTAACGCTTTTTCCATATGACAGCCTTTACTATCACTTGTCCTCAGTGGTTTCTGTCATAAACAGTAATTCCAGTAAAAATCCAATACCTTAATCATTAGAGTTGTATTGACACATACACATATATAAGTTGTCTGCAATACTGGCCTTTCTACTCCCAACAGACATATTTATATTTAACACTTAGTAATGAAGAAAATTTATCAAGCCAAAACAAACTGCATATGTTTTTGACAGTTTCAGATAAATATTCTCCCAAAACAGAGAATAACTCATTTCCTACTGACTAACTCCCGAAGATGATGCTTCCACTGCTTTTTCTAAGATCCCAAATAATGTAAAACCCTGAAGTGTTGGACACACTGTAGGCTTTGGCACCCCTGTGATGAGAAGGTACTTGAAAGTTACAGCTCACAAGAATCTTTAATGTGCCTCATCCTAAGTGACTGTGTGAGATGCTCAACAAGAAACTCCTTTAACTCATGTTCAGTAGAGGAAACCTGGTAAGGCATCCTGAAAATGTACCCTATGGTCTCAGTCCTCTGAGTCCTGATATCATGCACTCTTCTGTGAGGAGCATTAACAAAAAGTTACGAAATTACACCAAAGTGACACTCTGTTGTTCACCATTGTTGAAAGTCTCAAAAAGGTACTCCCTATCCCACAGAAATATTCAAGGAACATTCACTCCCTTTTAGCTATAACCTCTACCTTTATCAGTCAGAGTGTAGTCTTAATTAAAAGAAATTCACTTAGCATGGCGTAATCTTAATAAACTGCCAAACACTGAAACAACAGAAAACATTAAGAAGTGCCAACAAATTCAAAACCTCCCATCTGAAACAAAAACCTTTCACTTGTCTCTCTAAGGATTAAATGGACATCTAACTGCTAGCACTTAAAATTCCAATGTAGTACTCACTGTTAAGAAAACAGATATGTTTTAGGTATTTTTTATATGATTCAAACAGTCCCTTGAAGTAATTAAAAAAAATTACATACTTTACCTACCTATGTGAAGATCAAAAAAAATGGGACTGACCAGAAAGTAGTTTGATGAGAAAGAGTAAGTTAAAACCTGGTTAGTTCAGTTTCTAAAAACAACTTGCTGCTGCAACTTAACAAAAAATCTTGAGTTAAAAATCAATAATTTAATTTGAAAAATTCTATTACCTTCAACTCAGATGTATATAGCTTTTACAATTCATAGCTTACCAGAAATCACTCTCCTTTCTCCTGAAATAAGAGAAGGAATAATTTTTTTTCTACTAATTTCAAACAATCATCTTCACTGGGAGTAAAAAGAACAATGAAAACATTGCCAAAAGATTGGAAACTCTATCTACTTTGGCATCATCTTCCATTAAGTAAATTCTTCTCAAGTGCCTGAAATGGATCTGTTTAACCTGTCATTGTTACCATTTCCATGAGTATTGGTGGCACATCTTCACTAGCCAATGCATTACCTTGCAACACTGAACTAAACTGCATTATAATCAAGATCTAGACATGTGGTGAGGAAGATGCATGATCTCCATCTCAGAAAAGAAATATCCACACTGCAGGTGTTGAATATGTTAAGAATAACGCTGGTCACTGTTTTAAAGAAACAAAAATTTTAATCTATTCTTACTAGTTTCAAGGGTGCCTGAGACAGAAGTGCTCTCTACACATGAATATTTTAGATGCTTCAAAGAACTTGCTTTTAAAATGCAAGAGAAAGTGTGTGTAGTAGCCTAATACCAGCCCCTTTCCAATGTCACTCCCATTCTGAGTTAAAGCTTTCTTTGCAAACACTATTAAAAAAAGTTCCTCCACAGAACTTACAAGTCTCTGTCAGTAAAAAGTGTCATCTTCTTGACACTTTTCAACAAAGATGTTTTTTCTTCATCTAAGCCTTCAGAATATACAGCTTGTTTTATTGATAAAGTGAAAGGAAGGGTATCATCAATAGTTGCTAAATTCCACCCACTCTCCTACCTGTTATTCACCAGTACCATTGCTTCTAAAAAGCTAACCCAGAAATAAAACACAACAGAAGAATGAACAGAAAAGCAGCCATGCCAGTGATACCTGCTCACTGTCAAGAGTGAGTAGGTATCTACAATCTAAGATTAAAAACCTTTTCATTTACACCACTCTAATTATTCCTCAATATTGAATAGCTGAGAGGTAAGCAAAGTTAAAAGAATGGATGGATATCTGAACAGAAAATGGGCGTGAGGCTTTTGGGAGACCCTGTTCTCCGAGTCCCAAGCTCCATGGCTCACTGTTGATCCCTCATGGCAAGTCCCATGCCTGAAGAAATGCTTTTTAAACAGACTGAACAATGACTAATGCTCTCTGGTACAAAAAAGCAAGACAGCTTCATAGTTTCATGCATTTGCAAAGAGTTTGTAAGTGAAGATAAAATCTTTAAAAAACACCAAACAATAAAACCAATTTAAGGTTCACATAAGAGTAAAACCTTTTTTTAACTACTAAATTATTTTGAATTCATCTTTTCCAGTAGAGTGAACAATGCAAGTATGCCACTGTAAAGCAATCAGGAACACACCTGCAACTTTACTTCTTTATCATGACAGTTTGGAATTTATTTATTTAAATCCCGCATTGTGACACAAAAGCAGTAACAAAATAGCTGTAAACTACTTCTGTTACAAATATAGATACTATTTAAAGTGACTTTACATATTCTAATGTAGGTAATTCTCACACTATGCAAGAAATAAGTATAAAAGAGCAATTCAATAACAGCAGCATCCAGTAATAGTACCATCTGGTTTCTTCCATCTTAGTCTACCACAGTGTAACTTCTAGAGCAGTTAAAAAGACAAAGGGGTGGATTTTTTGTTAATTCACTTACACATAGCTATCAATTTGTTAATACTATTTGACAGACACTTCTAATACTGCTTTTGTGACCCCACTTAAACAAATGCTATGTCTTTTGTATTCTCCCATAATGATGGCCTGAGCATTGCCTGCATTTTCAGTTTGGATTTCTCTTAAATGACAACTGACATGGTGGCCCTTCTTGCTACATTTTTTTTGGCTAATTAACACAAGGGATCTTTCTGCTAATTAGCATACTAGTTAGCTACGTATCTTTCTCCCTCAAAAGACTTAAGTGAAATTTTTCTGCAGGAAAAGAAATCATGGGCAAAGAGTGTTTTACCTCTGAGATTCCTAGGAGCAAGGCAGGCAAAGGCAGGCAGGCTACAATCAGCTAAGAGCTTCATTGAGTGCTATTTTTACATAAAGTTTTAGTGAAGAAAAAGTGATACATTTACTGACCACACTGCTGAACAAAGAACAGCTCCATGGTTGCATTGTACTTACTAGACACATATTGCAATTGTGCCTTTAAAATCAATATCCCCAAAAAAATAGTTGTGGCCCTCAAACCTCTTCTGCTTATTACTGATGCAGACCTTCACTGACGTCTTACTACTCACCTCCACTGGGAGGAATTTTCAGGCCTTTACCCATCCTCAAGCCATTACTCCTGGTTTTATGTCTCCTCAGTTCAAGGAGGACTCTCCCTTTGCTGCTATTGGCAATGGCAGCAACACTGTAACATCAGCTTCTTCCACACTGGCCTAGAAAACATCCAGACATCTGTCGGCAGCTAAGTAAACTGCTCTGAGCAGTTTGTTCACAGCTCTGATTCATGCAGCTTGAAGAAATGTCTGCACTGAGACTGCAGTTAGTCTTGCATGTTGGAAGAGAACAACCTTTGCTAATATTTCATATTGGGAAGGTTGTTTTCACATCCATATAGACTAGAAAATACTATTATTATAAAAGTCTGGTTCCTCTAATACTGCAGTTGCTGGGCATTCTCATTCACCAAGAACAGTTTCCACTAGCACTGAATTTTCTGGCCCTGAGCACAAATCCTCTCCTTTTGAAACAAACACACAAGACTATGCCTCAACTCTCTGCCAAAAAAACACATAAACAAACCCCCAAATCCAAACTAACAAACAAGAAACAAACAAAGCAATAAAACAAACAAACAAACATACAAACATCAAAACAAAAAACAAAACCCTCAAACCTAAGCCAAAATGAAACACAGTTTTCTCTTTTTTTGGGATACAACTTGACTTAGGAAATTGAAACACATCAACAGACAAGTAAACTAACCCATCCAAATACCCACCTAGCCCCTTCTACTTAGTCATAGAATGGTTTGGGTTGGAAAGGACCTTAAAGATCATCCAGTTACAAATAGCCACCTAAGTCCATTAATCATCGGCCTCCAGTTTACATACTTTTCCTTCTATCTCCCAAGTCTCTATTTTATTACTACTTCCTTTTTTCAGTAACCTTATTCCTGTTTTCTGACTAATGCTACCCATGCTAACTTGGGGAATTTGTAATTTTTCCAGCGTTATTCAAATATCCAAAGTTTCTTAGCAAAACATTTCAGTTTTGTTGTGTGGTTATTAATGCAAACATTCTTTTTTCTTTTTTTCCCTGTTGACGTACTGATACAAAAATATCCATCTCTTTCCATAGCTGACATAACTTCATCCCAGTGACTTGACAGTAAGAGAAATACTTCTATTGTATACAGAAATATGGTTAAATGTTGGTTTTCCTCAGTGTTGTAACCCAGTCCTGTGAATCTGGAAAAGCAAGAAGACTACACAAACACTTCCATTCTCTTTACTATGTGGAAAGTAAATAATACAGTCTTATTGACCCTAACCCTTCAGGCAGCCAGTTCATGACAATACAGTCAAAGTGACTGTTCCTTTTGTCCTTTTCAGAATAGCAACTGCTTCCTCATGAGTCACCCCTTCTAAACTCTGCCCATTCACAGCAATGATCTGATCACCCCTCTTCAGGCGTCCATCTTCTGCTGCTGCACCCTGAAACGATACAACACATAACTGCAAACTCATGCTTTTCTTTTCCCTCCTGACACACAGTCCTTATGGTTTAAGGTTGGCAGAGTGTACAAAACCCCTTGAAACATTTCTGATTTTCAATTATTCCAATACAGTCAATTGTAGCACAATTGTACTATAATACAGAAGTATGTCCTGCCCTAAGTTTCACAACATCTACAAATTGGATCTACAGGATTGTTTTGTTCCCTTAACCCTGTTAGTCCAGCTAGTAAAACATTTAAACCCTGCTATCATAGAAGCAGCATTTTCAAGACCGGGAGAAGTTTTCAGCAACTTTTTTAAGAAATTCAGTCACTAACACCCAGCTCTACACTTTGATTTACTTTAAAATTTTGGGATTCTTGATTCCTGTTTTCTCTGACTCAGGGCTGTTTCCTAGGGTAGTCCAAATTATCAAATCCAGGTCAGTATTTGAACTACTCCAAAGGTCCAGTCTAAGTTCAATAATACCATTCCCTTTACAACCTGAAGGAAACACACTCTAAATATAAGGTAAGGGAGATTTCCTAACTGCGTGCACAATTCCAGTTTTGAGGCATGGAAAAGACTGCCCTATGCTGGATCACACTTATTTGTAAATTCTGAATCTTTTGAAGACTATAACTTTCAAATACTGGATGCACATTTTGACCAGCACTTGCCCTAAAAATGAAAAGCTGTAAAAATCTTTTGGCTGCCGACTAAGGTCATGGTTTGGTCTGAGTGAACTAATAAATGGCTTGACTGAGCAAATCTACACCTACCTTTGCAAACACCGTCTTCACATAAATGGGTAAGTCTCCATGGGGACTGCCGTAGCCACCCACAATACTAAAGCCAAGGCCATCTGGTCCTCTGTCCAGAGTAATAGTCTTGTATTGAGGAGGTCTAAGGAAAGGGAAAAGACTATTGTGATTTTGTCTGAACTTTGGATTTAACGTGTATAATATTTCTTTTAAGCTAATCAATACATTTCCCTTTCTACTCTTACTACAAATACTTTTATTATAATAAAGTGGTTATTTAAGTTTGTGTAAAACACTGTAACTACCTAATGCCTATATTATTATGTAAAAGTAGCTACTTCAAACACACAGTTCAAGACATAGCTATGGCTGCTGTGTGCTGACTAATGAAGTAGATGCAATGCCAGTACCTCAAGGTTCCATAACATCTACTTCAAAAACCCTGTAATGCCTAAAATTAGTCCCATCAGTTTATGCTATAATGTTCGATTGTTTCTCTCTTTCTCTAATAGATAAACGTGTATTTGCATGTACATGTTAATACATATCATTTGTAGGTACATTTCCCCACATACACTTTGTTTGTAAGAAATTTTGAAATTCTACCTTTCAAAGTAGATACGTGTGGCTATAGAACCCTGTTCTCTCTTTGTCTGCTCCTAAAAGAAAAGTGCCTCAGAGATTGAGGCAAAACTGTTTACATAATGTACCTTGCGAGTGTACTAGAAGCAATATAGCTTGTATATCAAAAAATCTGATACTCCTGATATCCAAGCACTAGAAAGCACATTATGGAAACACAACTACTACGGTGGAAAGGGGACTTTTTTGGGTGTATCAATTAACTCCAGCTACCAAATCTCAGTGAAACGATGGAGAACGCAGAAGAAATCAAATCACACCATAACTCTATGAAGTTAAAAAAAAAAAAATTGCAGCACAGCAAATCATACAATGAAAAATGCAGAAGACGACCTCTGGCCTACAAGTGCCATATACACCAATGTGTTAATCATGATTGCGCCAAACAATTCATCATTTGCTAGAATTTGTATGATTTTTAGGTTGAGTTCCATCTAAAATAACAGGCTAAAGAGGTTGTATATTCTATAGTTACTGACCCTAAGTCATCCTGAAAAATGCCAGTTGAAGTTAGTCCCGCAAATGAGAGACTGGATGTCGGTGGATCCTGCTGCTGACCAGTTATGACACTCACTTCTCCTCCAGCTACAACCTAGGAACAGAGTTCATAAACCAGTAAAATAAGATTGCTGAAACTAAAATAAGCCATTGTAGCAGCTGGCAAAACAGTATTCAGAAAATATTCAAAATGTCACTGAAGATTTTTTACCTGCAACTCAACAGTGCCTGAAGCATTTTTTAAGATATTAACAGCTTGGGAATGAGTCATGCCCTCAGTAGATGTTCCACAGATGCTAACAATCCTGTCCCCAACCTACAGAAGAAAAGGCAGAAAATCTAACTTATTTACATAGATTTATTTGTCACTTTTTTCAACAATAACAACGGATATGTCTATTTGCATTTAGCCAGATTTTATCAGTAATGTATGTCAGGAAAAAAGAAATTAGCAACTGTACATTCACAGTCTTCTTGCAGGCAAAAAAACCCTTTTAACTACATAATAACCCAATACAAAGGTGGGAAATTCAACATCAGAATGAGTAAATTTCAACAGTTTAGCGTATTCAGTGTAAAAAAGTAATGATGGTTTACAGAATTGATCCTAACATTCTAGAAATGCACAACATGTAAAAAAGAGAGTTGCATTTTGCACGTCACCTGAAGATAGACTGAAGTAGCAAATTATCATCAGACATTCCATGTTTGAATTCAGCTTGAAATAATATTGTTCATTTTCCAGGAAACCTTAGTCGAATTCAACCCTGTCTGATACAGACTGGATACAGTACGCATTCAAATATAGTATCAGATAGGACCTCCCACTTCAACTCAGAACCCAAAAAGCACTCTCTCTGTAACATGAGAGATAAAACATACTGCATACCCTCAATTGCAGGAACAACCATGACACTCAGCAATGGCACTCACTTACAGAATGCATCCTTCTGAACCACTCTCTATGCTTCTAATTTTCACAAGCTGACTACTTCTAAGATCCGAGATTGCTTTAGGACTTCCTTTCTCAAGTTAGTACATTTCAGCAATTACATTTTCCCATGCTACCAATTCAAGCTGCTGTTTCATCAATTCAAACAGCAAGAACTCTTGACACAGCCAGAAGCACAGACTGCATAACCCAACTGCCAATTTATTGCCTGCCTAAGTACTGTGCATTACCCATGCAGTCTTTCCAGCCTTCTTAAAAATTAACTTACTCTCAGCTTCTGAGTCTGAGCGGCAACTCCGTTTGGGTGCATCATGGCGATAAATATAGGAACATCTCCAAGAGGACTTCCTACACCTCCAGCAATGCTCACTCCTAGTGAATCTGCAGGGCTCTATTATAGTAATGAAAAAAAGATAAGATTTTTCTGGAAAGAAAAGCACATACAGAGAACTTTATGCTTGCCTCAAAAAATCACTAAGCATCCTGTCTCCTGAAAATCAGAATTCCTGTGTCTCAAGCCATTTTTTAAACTAATATGCTTTGCATCACTTCAAGAAAGCAAGGAGATGACAAGAGATGTTTCTATTTCTCAGTGATAAGTGAAAATTTGCCAATTTAATTGTACATTTTATTAACTAAATACAGAATTCAGCATCGGTCCCTTAACTTCAGCACAGGAAGTCTGAGCAAGGAAAATCGAAGAGATGGGATTGCTGTCCTTAGTATTGTCTACATCAATTTCCTATTATGACCTTCCTAAAGAATAGAATTAAGCTTTATGCTCCCCCTAGTGTCCCAGTGTTGAAGAGCAAAACCAGCTGTTTACTACTGCACCACACCTGAATACCTCACTGCAAAAACTGATATTGTAAAACTGGTATTTACAGATTCTACTGTAAAAAGAATGGCTAAAACCAATTCATGTAATCAAGAGAAACAGATGCCAGGCAAAGTCAAATAAATATAAATATTTTGGACAATAAGAAGCCGTCTGTGACTAAGGTCACACGCATAATGAAGGAGACTGAATTTCACAGTTCAAAACCTCACAGCTGTACGTTTTATTAAAAATATGTGTGCAGAAAAATATTAAATACAAAAAAACAGCCTTTCAACTTCCCCTGACTTCACCAAAACAGTGTCTGGAATTAACTCAGTCTGGTTATAAAATTAGGTCCCATTATCTCTTACTAAACCTTCCTTCTTCTGCTTTCAACACAGCTCGCAAAAAGTGACAGCATAAGTCACACCGATTTTACATAAAAATATAGGCAGTGGAGGTCATAGAATCCTGACCTGAAAAATATGCAAATTAATTTCTACTGTCATATCAATTCCTCTCTCAAAACAATGAATAGGCCTAGACTTTCTTTCTGTAAAGAAACCTATTGACAACATTTACAAAACCTGTTCCTGATATGTACCATTTCATGCTATAACTTACCTTTTTTATTTCAACTGTTCTTAGTCCCTGTATTTCAGAAGCTGCTGTCAAATGAATTAAAATAAATTTTAAAAAAAGTTAACACTAGCATTCCTAGAAAACTTTCCGAATAAAGTTATCCAAACTATTATAATGATTCTAACTGTCTGCTGGTTTGTTATATATATTTTAAGCTAATTTGAAAGTGGTTGTCATTACATCAATTGGATTGAAATACTCCTAGAATAGGTGAAAGAATCAATTATTTTCTCTATTTAAATAATATTTGGAATAAAACTGCTCAGCATGCTCAAATAGAATAGAAAAAAACCCTAATATTTGCTAGCAATACTTTGGTCAGAAGTAAGTTTGTTCTACATTTAAGCATGAGACAGCTATTCCACATGTATTTTCATATCACTATATACATATAACTATACAGTATCTAGATTTTTATGAATGAGCTCGACTGAAGATGTATTTAGATTAAACAGAAAATTATATCTCAATTTAGATTCTCAGTATTTTAATCACTGATACAAGAAGTTGCTATTTTCTTTTATATAAAGGTATTACAATATATGTGTGTGATGCACTGAGTAGTAACCACCCCCACCATTTCAATTACTAAGGAATCACTTTAAGGCCTACATCACATTATTATAATATTTTAGAGAAAGTAAAAGATCTCAGCTACCAGTTCACATGTATAAAATACTGAAAACACCAACCCCCCCCCAAACTTACTAGTGCTCTTCTTTAGACCACTTTCAAAGACCTCAGGTGCACTGGACACAGAAACCGGGAAACTGAATGATAAGAGAGTGCCACTTCCTTCACTGACCTAAACACAGTGTAAGACTGGGATTAGAGAGCAGGTTCAGTCATTCAGGTAATAAGTGTAAAACTGTAACTCACTGTATTCAGTATATTTTCTGCTGTATTGAATTTTTCCTGCGCCCAGTTAAAGATGACATAGAGAACATCCACATATTTCTTGGTCACTCTTAGAGGCTCTTTGAAACATCCTTAGACCAATTTAGAGATTTCATGTCTATAACCCCATGCAAAGCTTTGAAGTGCTGCTTCCGAGGGCATGGCTAGGCCATTATATTTGCACAGAGATCTTCTAATGAAAGCTAGCCATGATTATCACAGTAGGGACAGAACACTAAAGAGATCTTTATACATTCTCATGTGTACTCGGGAATGTTCACCTACTGCATCAGCTTCATCCACACAATTTCCGGAAAGATTTACACTACACCAGCAGGGTAAGTAAAGGAACAACATGGTTTCTGGTCAGATCAGTTCACTGACTGTTACATAGTCTTCAAAATATTCAATATTGTGAACTTCATTTTAGAATAAGACTAGCCAGAGTTTGCATGTTTTCATCTTTTCTGACAATACCCATTTTGTAGAGAGTCTAACATTTCAGTCTTATCCTGTCTTACACTGCTTACTTGAAACTGTTTAATTATGTTTTGTCTTAAAACTATTTATCTTCAGTACTTGAGATCTGCATACTCAGTTTACAACCAGAGAAAGTTCTAAGGCAACTTAGGAGCTCTCGGAAATGTAGTTCCTACTGGAGAGAATGACAATATGAGCTGCTACCACATGCAAAACATTTCAAATGCAAAAAGTGATACAAGTTTGTAACGCTATAACACTAGCCAACAACTAAATAAATAAGAGAAGTCTGATGGAAAGGGTGCAGGTTTTCTGCTTCTGGTGACCAAGATAATAGTAAAAACATGCAAAGAATGGAAAAGTTCACTAAGTTTACTGAAATAATACTCCATTGCATGCCAAGTACTCTGAAAGTAACAAAGAGGTTGACTAACTTGTGGTATTGCATGCTTTCCAGGCTGAAGCCTGGAGCAAAGCCATTTCTGGCTTACATTTTTAGCTGGATCCTGTCTATAACAGACAATATGCTAAAGTGAACATACAAAAATATGTTCTGAAAAGCCAAAAAATTTCTTAGTCTTAGATGAGGTATTTGAAAAAACCACTGTCATCATAAAACCACTTCTTTTTATTTGCTTTCATTATATAACCATTTTCTTCCAAACTAACCAGTTTTACAGTTACATACCTGGCTGCTCTGGGATGTTCTCCTCTCAGAGTGGAAGGGTCCAGCTTTTATTCTTCCGACCTCTAGTCTTACTGTACCTAAGGAACACTAAAGAACCAGTCACTTAAAACACAGCTCTTCTGTCTACAAAATTAAATCCTACGACAATATTTAAGTCACTTATTAGACAGTGGAATATAGAAAAAAGATATCAACAGAGGGGAGAGTCACGGACTAGCCACCCTGAAATGAGCCCTTCAGAGAGTTCATGACAGGACCAGAGACGCACAGACCAAGTACACCATGATATTCAATACTGACCAGGGTATTTTTTGGATTAATCTGCATTACAATGAAGACATGAAAATCACACAAGAAGACTAACTCTGATACCTTGCAGAGTACCTTTATAAGGAGTAGTTCTGTTCTCTTGCAATGTCAACATCTATTTTCAAGTTGACATTTTTCAAGGAATAATGAAATTGACTATTTTCACAATAAACACTAAAACCAGTGTAATACCTTGAAGTCTTAATCATTATTTCTGTTTATATGACTGAGAACATGGTATTTAAACAGGAAGTTACTCATCTCTCTCACACTTTTGAAACAATCTGTTTCTCTGGATAGGCATCAACACAACTCAAAAAATTTTGGGCAGGAAATTTTCTAAACATCTATCTGTAGTTTAAGTGAACTTTCTGCCTCTGACTTCCAGCAAGAAGCTGGGTGATATGGAAGGACTGCACATGGTAAAGCCTCTTCACTACTCTTCAAGCTTTTAATTATATCTTTAAGTATCCACATCTCTATATGAAATGCACGTCTTAGAAGAAAATTCAATCAAATATTTAGAAACAAAGACATTACTTTGAACAGACAGTCATTATCACAAACAAGATTTAGAAAATTGTATCTCCAAGATAATAAAAGTAGTGTCAAAAGAAGACATCTGTCTGCAATGTATTCAAATACACAAATGTCAGTGTTTTGTTGCTATTTTGCTTTCTCTTTTTTCTTTCACCAGGAAGTTGTTACTGTGAAATTCTGTATTCCAGGAATTTAACATTACATCAGTTTGCCTTTATTTATCATGTTTTATCTTTAATACCCTAAGAGAGGTTCATGTATTTGTCAGAAAAATTCACATTAATATACCAATATATCAAAGTCGACTGGACGTATCCATTCAAAAAGGGTTTCCATCCCTCATTTCCTGTTGTTATACTCTTAGGGTTGCCACTAAAACAGATCTATTACTAAATTGCTTTTTAAGTTATTAATTTTTAATGTTGAATTCTCTATGTCCTATAATCAAAGCTCAGGTAAAACCATTCTTTGCTGCTCCTATTAAACCATATGGACAACTCTTATTCAAAATGGAAAAATGGTGAAGTAATCTATGTGCCTAAAATTACCACATCGTCACATAAAATGCAAACCCACAAATTAGATTTTAAAATTACAATGTGTGAAAGTGGGAAGTCATACTTTCCAATTGAACTTGTGAATAAATCAATTTTCTTTTAGTGTTATTACACCTTCCTTTATTACTCTCTTCCTGAAATCTCATGTTCAATAAATCCGTAAGTCTGGGGAGAGAAAAAACTGATAGTCTTTTCACGTATTGTAGGGATACTTCAAAAGAAGCACTTCAAGAACAGGTAGAATTTTCAGACTTATGATGCATTCTATTGGTCCCATGTGACTAAAAATACACTGGAATTTTTCCGAAGATTATAAATAATTTTCTATATTTTACTATATTACTACACAAGTGATAGTGCTTTATTCCACCTATACTGTGTGAAAAAAGCCATTGTTAATAATAATCTGTTTAAGGTATTTTAAAAGCTTCATTTCTCAGGGCTAGGAAAATTAATTACAAGTACTACTGACCAGGATGAAGTATTTAAACATGAATGTATGAATGGTAAGTGTGAACTAAGTATTCAATTAGATACTCCAAAATGCCTGTCAAAATGAAAGAAACTTTCCACAAGAAATGGCATTTTTATTTACAGAAGAGGTAAAAGAACAGCATATAAAGAAGAAACTCTATGTTCTTAAATAAACTAAAAAAAGTAACAGGTAAGAATGGAAAAGTACAATTACCACAGAATATTACACTAACAACTTCACTGTCACAATACAGACTCATTCTGGTTTTCTTACTATTGGGCACATGCTGAAAACACAGAAGTGCTCCTACATCCCCCTTTATAACCCAGGACCTCTCCACCCAAATAAAACAAAAAACTCAAGGAACTGTTCAAGATCTGCAAAAATATACCTTTGAATGTGAGTGTTAAGAAGAATGATTGTGTGCCTATGTATCCAAGAGACAGATAAAATTACTGTCTCTTAAATTTTATCCAGTGGAACAGTTTTCCATTGGAAAATGCTGACTCAGTGAAATCCCTACCATACAGCATAAATGTCTCAAAACTCTGGACTGAAACAACAGATGAGCGGGCTGACCAGCTGGACTTCCTCCCAGATCACAGAAAATGTTCTATGTCTGATTTCATTCTGATTTGGAAATATGGGAAGGATATCAGAAGCACAAAATCTATCGAAAATAGAGATTCTGATTCCAAGAGCTGTAGATACGAAAGATATCTAGGTAAGATAAGAAAGCTTCTTTTACTATATGCCTTGGTCACTGAGAAATGTGTTGTAGTATTCAATGGATGTGAGGTGGCACTGGACATACACAGTTAAAAAAAGATTAGCATTATCAGGTATTAAGAATCATACAACTGTAGAATCATAGAATTGTTTGGGTGGCAAGGAACTGTGAAGACCATCCAGTTCCTACCGCTCCTGCCTTGGGCAGGAACATCTTCCACTACACCAGGTTGCCCACAGCCCCATCCACCCTGGCCTTGAACACTTCCAGGGATGGGGCATCCACAGCTACTCTGGGCAACCTATTCAAATGCCTGACCACCCTCCCAGCAAAGAATGTCTTCCTAATATTTAATTTAAACTGTCAGTTTAAAACCATTCCCCCTTGTCCTATCACTACAGGCCCTTGTAAATGAACTATGAAAGTAATCACTTTTGGCACACCTACTCTGATGAATTCTCAGTCATTTAAAGTCAGTTCTGTGTATCCTTCCAAAAATGTGAGATAGTTAACCAATTATAAATTTGCTGGAGAAAATACAGTGTTAATTTCAGATTGTTCTAGGTAATGGTCCTCTATTGCCCTATAAACATATGGCATTCTGTACCACCACTACTCCCATTTTCATCAGGCAAAGTACCAAAATCTGAATACTCTAGATTTCAGGAAGTTTAAATTTGAATCCACAGCTCACCTCACTGACATCACATTAACAGTATGAACTCAGCCTGAATAAAATTGAAGCTCTCATAAAATCTGGACCTCAATTTTTCACTATTTTCTTCTCTTTTCGCAATACCTTTAGCAAAGCTGCAACAGCTTCCTGGTTAGCATTTCGGACATCTTCTCCATTCACTGTCAATATCTGGTCTCCTTGCATCAATCTCCCATCTGTATCTGCTATTCCTCCTTTGACGATGTCTGACACAAACACGCCTGTATCATTTCTGCAAATACACACATGGACTTTGCATTACAGCATTTTTATGGCTTGCTATTGGGAAGACAGTAAACACTGTCTCATTTTTCTGAGTAACAATGGGCTACTTCCTTTAGGAAAGACCAATGAGTTTAGGCACAAAAATGACATGTTCGGCCCTCAAGCCTGTAGAATCTGAGCACCAGACCACAACAGACCACAGCGTGAGCACGCCCAGAAAGTTCCAGACATTGACTCTCCAGGTGCTTTACTTACCTTTTCCCAACAATACTCAGCCCAAGGCCTTTGCCAGGCTTCTTCTGAAGCTCTACATTAAGCACATCATACATGTCTTCCTCCTTGTACTGGGCCTCATCTCTGTACACAGTTAGACGAACTTTTTGGGGAGTCTGTCGGAGGACATTTATGGCTTCATCATGTGTGGCATTCCTGAGGTCAATTCCATTCACCTGCAGTGAAAGCATACAATGGTAAATTGTGTAGCACTTTCCATCAGACAAACAGAACAGACCTTCTAGCAACAAAAGGGACTGTATTGGGTTTGCGCGGCCAGGTTTTGGTAGGGGTGATGGGGCTACAGGAGTGGTTCCCGTGAGAAGCTGACAGAAACTTTGTCCATATCTGGAGCCAGTAACAGCTGGCTCCAGGATGGACCCACCACTGGCCAAGGCCAAGCCATCACGAATGACAGTAACGCCTCTGCGATAACATATTTAACAAGGAAAAAAAGTTTTGCACAGATGAAAATTTCAGACAGAGAAGAGCAGAGTGAGAACATGTGAACAACTCTGCAGACACTAAGGTCAGTGGAGAGGGAAGGTGAAGAGGTGCTCCAGGATGAGGTTCCCCTGCAGACCATGGTGAGGCAGCTGTGCTCCTGTAGCCCATGGAGAACCATCAGGGTGCAAAGATCCACCTGCAGCCTATGGAGGAGACACAAGCCAGAGCTGGTGGATGCCTGAAGTAGGCTGTGACCCTGTGGATATATATCTACTCCATGCCGGGGGCCTAGCAGTCACCCTTGGAGAGAGGAGCCCATGCTGGAGGTTTTCCTGGTGGGACTTGGCAGGGGACCCACACTGGAGCAGCCTGTGCCTGAAGGAAACTGCACTCACCCCATGGAAAAACAATCCACATAGCAGCAGTTCATGAAGAACCATTGCCTGTGGGATGGACTCACGCTGGAGAAGTTCATGAAGAAGTTCATGAAGAACTCTCCTACTGGAGAGGCCCCACAGGGAGCAGGGGAAGGACTTCTCTCCCTGAGCAATGGCAGAAACAACAACTTAATGTAACCCCCACTCTTGTCTCCTTCTGCTATTGTAGGGGAGGAGGTAGAACTTGGAAGGAGGGAGGGGTGGAAGGAAGGTGTTTTTAAGGTTTCTTCTACTTCTCAATTTCTTGCTCTGACTCTGTTTGTAATAAATTTATTAATATCCCCACTTTGAGTCTGTTTTGCCTATGATGGTGATCAGTAAGTGATCCCTCCTGGTCCTTATGTAAGCTCATGAATCCTTTGTTATATTTTCTCTCCCCTGTCCAGTTGCAGAAGGGAGTGAGAGAGCAGCTTTGGTGGGTACTTGGCATCCAGCCAGGGTCAATCCACTACAGCCACCAAACGAATCACCATACCTCTAGTATCTGATCCCCAGCCCACAATCTCCCATCTTTAGATGCTGCTCCTTCTTCATATACTTCATGGATAATGATTGCTCCCTGTGGACAAAAAAAAAAAATAAAAAAAAATTGCATGTTGCAAGAAAATGCCCCATTTTGAAACACAAGCAACTGAAAATTCCTACTGCAATTTAATAATTTAATCAATAATTTATCATTTTTATCAATAAAAGTATGATCAAAAAATATATAAGAAAAAATATATAAGAAGTTTATGAAGTTTATGAATCAAAATATTCAGGAAGCTCATTTAAACTTTTAATTTCAGTAGTCCTTTTTTCTTTTTTTTTTCCCTGAACTGGTTTCTTTTGTGTCCTTCTACAAACACTACAGAAACAAATGACGAAAAAATTTCTTCTATCAGAAGATTACTGTCATTTCACTTGAGTGACACACATATTTTTCCAACCAACCAGCAAAGTGTCTGCTCCTCCAACAATGCTCAGACCAAGACCAGTCCGCCCTTTGGAGATATCAATGGTTGTTTCACATCCAGGAATGATGGGACAAGTAGCTGGGTCAGAGGCTAACATGGCTGGAGTTGAAGATCTGCTTGTGTCTAAAACAACAATAAACATCCTGGTTACAGTAAGAGGGCTCGGTATTAGAAAAGTGACTTTAAACCAGCATTTTTCAGGGCTCATTGACAGCTGCACAGCAACAGCTGACCTCCAGAGAGTGATGCTGCCAACTCTCCCTTCCCCTCAGACAAGTACTATCCTATAGTTTTATTTACAACTGTCCTGTTTTTATGCCATCAAGTACCTGGGTCATAGTCTGGACAGACAAAGAAGATATTGTACACAACACATTCTATTTAGGATAGAATTTAATTTAAATATCTGTATGATGTGTGCATTACTAGAGTTATTAACTGCTTAGAATTGTGTTGCTTAACCAATAACCTTCATCCATCAGTAACATCTTGACTCTCCACTCTAAATGAGTCAAATGCGGCTACTTATAAATGGCAAGACAGTCTCAACCATCCCCTTTCCCTAGGAAAAATGACATGACTTTTGTCCCTCATTTTAAGGAATGCCTCTCACTTAGTTCCAGACAATAATGAGGCACCTGCTGCAAAGCATTTGGCAGGGAGGAGAAGATCCCTCCATTTTCCCGCCTCTGCAACAGGCTAGTCGGAAACTATCAGGTAGTGGTGGAAACTATCCAGGATGGTGGCACAATGCTTCATTTAGACGAACGTGTAATTTGAAAGTATTAGAAAATGCAACTCACAAGACAGCTGAGTGCATACAAAAGGAGGAAATTTACAAGATGGGTATTCATTTTAACATTACAACCTCAGTGAAGATAAGCACACAAGGAAAACATTACTTTTGACTGCTTCTGGTTCTGGTGAGCTGGAAGCAGGAACAGTTGCTGGGGGCTGCATATTCCTCTTCTCTGCTGGGGCAGTGCTGGAAGGGACTGGTGCTGCAGTCAGGTTATCCATTTCTACTGAGTTGATTGTAAGCCTCACTGTACTTTTGGATGTCTTCAGAAGACTTATAAACTGAACGAAAAAAGAAAAGCTGATGAAGAGTGTAACTGGATTGTTCAGTTACAAACCAAAAAGAAAGCAGAATAACTGTTCTGTAAACTGGAGCTACCAGATACAATCCTGCAGGTTTTCTTGGCAAGGAACAAAGACAAATATTGGTGTTTTTTTCTGAGAAACTTTTCTCCACAAAACTTTGCCAAACTATATCAGACAAGAATGAGGCAGACTTTCAGTGTCCTCTCTGAACCAAATACTCTATTTATGGCAATTATTAGAAAAACAGAAAACTAGTAGTGCCTTTTAATGCTGGATGGAGCTCAATTCTGATCTCACAGAAGTCAATATCACAACATCTTTAAGAAATGTGCTACTGCCATTCTGGAAGGAATATTCAAAAGTATTACCTGAACTATGGGAGGGAGAGAAGGACATCAGGGTGTAACACAAAATCTAGTTTCAAGAGATACCGAAAAATCTTCAAAATCAATTACCATCTTACAAAAAAGACACCACATCCTCCTGAGACTTTACATTTCAGTAAAACTATTTTCAGAAACTACTTACTCCATCTCTCTATTCTTCCAAAGCTTAACTACTTGCCTACAGACTACTTCACTGTCATTTACTTATTTACTGCTTCAGAGATAGTAGTGCATCAGAGAGTAAGATTGATGCTCTCCTAATTGCCCTTTAACAAACAGAAGGTAATGTACTCATGCCTAAAGAATCAGTTTTCCTGATAGCAAGGCAAGTGCTAGAAAAACCCCTCCTTGATTCATTACGGAATCCAAATTGAGTGTGCAGAGCTAGAAGTTAGAAATAAATCTTGTTGTTTAGGAACAGAGATATGTTTCTCCAAAGGGCTGAAATACCAGGCTTGGAATATAATGAGGCTGTTACTGCAAACAGTCCCCTTGGATAAGCACAGTTCATGACCTGATTTACCACTGACACAACTCACCCATGTAGATTTACACATATTAAATTTACTAGTTCTAATACTTTTAAAGTGGAATAGCTATGCAGAGTCATTACTGAGCAATAGTTTATGGTTTTCATTGCACTACTAAGTGCCTCTTAGTCATCAAGTCTGAACCACAGAGAAAATAAAATCACATTTTTAGCACAGAGATAGATGATTCATGTAGTGCATGAATGTAAAATAACAGCTGAGCTTTAAATTTAGACTTCAGCTTATTCTGCAGTAGTTTGCTTATCCAGATAGTGCCTGCAGATCTTTGCTTCTTCAGCCAGCTTTGAAAGATATGTCAGAGCACAGTCATGAAAACCTTGCTGGTTTAAGACACAATCACTCCTATGTTAAGCGGTGTGATTTCTGCAACATTCCTGACACTTCACAAGCACCTTTTCCACAGGATATCCCACAACAATTTCATCATCCACTGCCAGAATCTGATCACCAACTTTGATTCGTCCATCCTGGAAAAAACATAGAATAAAAAAATATGAGCTCTTGATCCTACTCCAAAAAACATTTTTCATTCCCTAATTGAATTTTAAATATTCTCACACCTTTGCTGCTGCACCATGATCTGTTAAGCTCTTAATAACTACTCCATTAATTGTGTCTTCTTCACTGATGGCAATGCCAAAGCCTCCTTGATCCTAGGGCAAACAGAAAATGCAAATGGTTAAGTACTGTGTATATCAAAATGTTAAAATACATTCACTAAAGACTAGTGAAGCCTGCTGACATAACAAAAGTTTGGTTTTTCACAATGCATCAATATTTTTGTTTTAAACTAATCTATTTCTGAAATAGATTCCACCAGCCTACAAACAGTATACTCACTACCAAGACATGCCTAAAACACTTCTAAATTCAAACCCACTTCTTAGAAGCTTACAAGATCAATTGCAATTCAGTTGTTACTTTGAATAACTGAGGCAACACTTTTACCTGAGGAACCACTAAAAGTTTTTCAAACAGAACAAGAGGAGACTTCTTCCAGAGACACAGAGCAAATTGGCAAATTTATGTGAAGTTAAAGCAACCCACAACTCAAGAATAGTCATTATGTGAGGAAAACTTTGGGGTCCATTCACAGATAGAGAGGCGAAGACCTCTAGAAATCACTGTTCTAACTTCTGAGAGACACATTTTGTTTGCCATAAGAAGGACTCCATTACAAAGATGCAGGCTAGTGAATACAAGTGGGACTGACATAAATTTAATTTTCATCACATACCTTAGGGAGTTCCACATACTGAATGTTTTTACATGAACTCAAGTCAGAAAAAGCACTAGAGTTTGCAACACTTGCATCAGTCTAAAAGAAAATGAAAATGTAATTGTAAGCAACTGTATCCAATATTTTGCATCAAAATAAAGTAGCACACAAACACTTAAAGTGAGTCTGATCATTTTCTAGATTAATTTAAACTTCTATAACCCTATCAATGGGAATGTCAGACTTACTTCACAGTATAGAAGAATATAAAATGAAACAAAATTGAGTACAGCTGTAATATTTAGTAGCCTTACTAAAATTTTTTCTATTTGATTTCATTCTCTTTTATGGTATATTCTAAGCAGACAGAGCACTCCTCTATCCAGAACAATGTTAGTATCTTGGTCAAATAAGAAAAACAAATATTTACTTTACCTCTTGATGTTGAAGGGTCCCTGAGGTACTCTGTGAAGCCTCTACTGACTTTGCAGGGCAAACAGCCATCTGATTTACTGCATCTTTATTTCTGCAACAGATTCAGTTAAAGAATGTAGTAAGAAGGCAGTAGTACGGCACCATATTTCTAAGAACAAGTTGAAGCCTAGTCCTTTATTTTACTTGATTTCTGGTTCTAACAATACAAGTATCAAAACAGAAAAGTCCAGGGGCATATTTAACAACTACTAATTGTGATCAAAAGCACACATTCCTTACCAAAATTAAAACAAACAAACAAACAACCACAAAAAACTTGAGCACATTAAAAAATAAATGTTTTTAGCCAAACCTTTAACCAGAACTTACCTGATAAAGATCACTTTTACTTTAGATGGTGTGCATTTGATTATTGAGGAAGCATTCTGATGAGTCTTTCCATAAAGTATTTGCCCATTTATCTACAGAAAGGTAGCAATTATTTATCAAAATATCAAAATATTTTAACTACTTATATTCATTACAGTCTGATTTCAAACTAATATTGTCACAGTGCTGAAAATGTCATTCTCTGAATTATACCAGGTTGACCTGGCACATCATCTCTTTTCACTTGCTATTGATCACTTTATGACTGATGTGGTGATAAAGCAGGGCCATGGGAAACTCTAACCATAACAAATACTGAATTGCTTATATCCAGCAATGAGATTGATATTATTTAGTGAATGTCAGGCACTCTGAATCCCTGAGCAAGGCACTGAACACTGGTACATTTAGCAGAGTTTTAAACTAGATTTGGCGGCAGAATGGAATGTACTTTTGTGTGTCAGAGAGGAACCAGGAAACACCAACACTTAAGGAAGCATCAGAGAAATACTTGTAAATCATCTCATAAATATCACTTATGCTCATATACCTATTGGAAATTTTATCTGCATATTTAGTGGTTTGGTCACTCCACACTTCTATAACTAGAGAATTAATTAGAGACGCCTGGAGCACTCCATAGACAGATGGACTAAAGGATTTTAGTATTTTTTCATGGTCTGCAACTCACTGCCCTTCTATATGTCTCCATAAACCCAAAACTGCTGTTATCTCCCCTTTTTTTTCCATTTTAAATACACAAACACACTTTTATTTAGCACTACTATAACCAGAAAAACTGCAACTAGTTGGCATATATCAGAAGGAAAATCTGGTAGCATAGTGATAAATTGGATAAATTGGGGATTTCAAAGTTCACTGAAGAACACCCATATTGCAGCAAGAATCCAGTATCTTAATGCATTTTAAATCAGTATGTTTGGGTTTCAGTATAAATTGAAATAACTCACCTCTAGCAACTCATCTGCAATTTGTAACCTGCCATCTTTTCCAGCTGCTCCATTTGGATCAATTCCCACTATAAAGACACTCATCCTGGATCGGTCTTTGTTACCAGCAAGACTAAGTCCCAGACCTGTTCTTCCTTTTTCCAGCTCAATCATGTGTAGCTCCCCCGGTAGATTTCCATAGCGCTGTACGATCTTTTCTAAATGTAAAAGTGTGGGCAGCAGAGGTTGGATTAGAAAGTTTCACAAGTTACCTAGAGTCAAGATCAGTGTCCAGTGGGCATTATCTGACAGAAAAATCCCAAACTGGATGAGAAAATTTTCTCATCTTCTTTTAAGCTAAGCCTTAGGTGATTTACAATAATATTTCCTGTTTTCCTTATAACTTAAGAAAACATTAAAACTTTTCTTAAAACAAGATTTTTCACACATAAGAGTAGTAATATTCTCTCCAGCAACACCTTCAGGTAAAACAAACTATCATATTAATCACTGCCATCAGTTAACAGGAGTATAATGACATTCTTCAAGTAGTACTACACATTAATCAGTGAACTTAGACCATGGAGGAAAACAAAGACTGCAGTGCAATGATAAAGAAAAAATGTGTTTCATATTTTACGATGAGCATCTGACCAAGCACAACTAAAGCAGCAACACTTAACATCCAAACCACAAAGCACATGACAAAGAAGCAGTTCAAACTGGATGCCACCATTCCCATATCTTATGCAGTGCTATTCTAACACTGAGGATTTCAAACATTATCACAAAGGATAAACTTACTCCAACTGTAACCAAACTCATCCTCCTTCTCCACATCTTCTGGCACTCTGGATGACTGTGCAACATCACAGCCCATTCCTGAAAATGCTGAAGGAGGAGGCAGAGGCAAATTACAAAGCGAAGTCTTTTCTGTTTCTACATCAGACTGACCAAATGCCTGTGGAGAATAAGAAAAATGCAGTGGCTAAGAAAATGCAGACTCTGTGTAGGGCAAACTAGTATATATAAACGTCAAAATGGTAATGACTATGGCTTTGAAGTTTAAATACCAAGCAACTGAAACTCTAATTGAATAACACAACACTGAAAGGTTGAAAGAGATCATAGACAGAAACAAACACCAGGCAAGGTAAGAGATAACATCACTCCAAAATGTATTTGGAAACAAACAAAACTCACAATAAAAGCCCAATTCAGTAAAGTTTTATGTGCCACATTATATTTCAGAAAAAGTCTCTTAAAAATACTCAAGTGATTTTTTTTTTTAATGCTCTAATTGCAAAAGACTTATACCTCATTTGATTTTTAATAGCCATTGCACGTAATTTCTTCCTATCATATGCTTTGGAAGCCAAATACAAGGAAAGAGAAAAAGAAGAGAAAATTGGATGCTTTCAAAAATACCTTCAGGAAAAAGAAAATAACTGGCATATTAACTGAAAGGACAATTAAAAACCAAAATGAAATAGAAGATAATTGATGAAATCTAGAGTGACTGGACTTTTTCAGTCTTGTTTACTAGTTCCCTATAAGCTGCACAGAGGAGATCAAACAAAGATACAGATTAAACCACAAGAGACAAATACTTTTAGTCTTGATGTGGTCTATTCATATTCACAAAAAGTTACGAAGTATAAACACACGACTACTGCAATATCATGGTTAAACACCCAAATCCACAATCTGGCAAGCCTCCATTCAAGTAATCTCCCCTGAGGAATATGGACTCTGATCAGGGATTTCACTAAGTGTTTGTAATTTGTATGATTTTGTCTTGCTTAGAGTAAACATCTAAGCAAGAAACTTGTGTCTGAATATCGTCATTATGAAGCTTATGCATGTCCAAGAGACTTTGATACTGGAAGATCAGCTATTGATGTAAGCAACAAAAACTTTAAAGACCAACTATTAAAGAACAAATTATTTTTCCAACAGTAGAATTTTCAGGTGTGTTGCCCTAGCTTCATAGCCCTGTTCTCATCATTTCAGCTTTCACTACTTCCATTAGCAAAAGTCTGAATTCAGTATTTCAGATTATGTCTCTAGGTACCAAAAACAGTAAGGTAATTTCTTCATCAAAGGCAACAGTGAAATGAATAACAAAATACACCTTCCAAATTGAAGGTGTTGAAAAACTTAGGAAGTTACCAATTTAGTCCTACTGAGATTCAAGAAAGCTCACATCTCTCAGTGAAAATGAAAGCTTTAAAGAAACTGCAAATGCCATTTCAGTTCTCTCATTCTGCTTCTGCTTAAAAACATTTTCCTTTTATTTAGGAACTTGTTCTAGGAACTTAACTAAGAAGTCATTAAAAGCTGAAAGTGTGGGAAGCTTTCATATAACACTCAAACTAACAACTTTCATTAAAAATGCATATAAATGTTACATGACTTTTCATATCTTTAGTCATCTTGTCTCATGCTTCCAATCTAAGACAATGTCATCCTGCTGAGATGATACATGGCATCTCTAAACTGAAGCAGCAAAATTCTAGAAAAGACATTGTCACCCATCAGAACGAGAGTAGGTTGGAAACACTATCTAATAACATTCAAAGTGATTTTTCACAATCAGAAATTCATGTGTCCACCATAAAGAAAAGTTGTAACATACCTTCACGTATCAAGGAGGGGTGAAAGGGAGATTAATTCTAGAAGAGTGCTTCCCGGAGTTTAACTAGAAAGCTACATAATATACTGAAAAAATGAGGAAATAGTGTTGTGGTGGGCTGACCAGCTGCCCACCAAAGCTGCTCTACCACACCCCCCTTCAGCTGGACATGGGAAAAAACCATCTCATAGTCCCACAGCTACTACAACCTTGCCATGCAAACTGATAGCAAGTGTGAGAGCAAACCAGATCAGCAAACCTTACAGTAGTCTCTGTGTTTTAAAACCAAAATTAACATATTAATTTAGAGGTATTCATTGCAAATGAGTGTCCAAGAACAGCAAAATTAAAGAAAACATGACTAAAAACAGGAACAAAATACTGGTCAAGACCTCTGGAAGATCTCTAAGGTATGGATGTATGGCTACATCCTGACAGATTAGCATTTATTAACTGCAGCAACCATAATCTGATTGACAAAAAATGCTTCTTTCTGTACCTTTGTACACATGTGCCTAAATCTGAACATTTCTGAAGGAAGTGCTGAAATGAAAGTAAAAGTAAGGCGCCTTTGTGGGAAGGGTAAAAAGCATGCTACAATGCCATTTGTGTGGAGGGAAACATATCCTGCCTCCAAAACTCAACCTGACACATGTGCACAGCCAGAAGCAGGAATTGGCCCCACAGTTTACACACACATAAGACTTTTGCTCCCTGAATCGGGCAACACACAGAAATCCTAAAATACTTTAACTCATGAAATACTTTCAGTGTGCCACAGCACAGTATTTCATTTAAAATGCAAAGCATCAGACAGTGCATGAACCAGTTCGGCTACCAGGGTCACTCTGATCACAGCCAAGCAAATACTGAAAATGGCAGCAAGTCCAGAGCTTGAAAAAATGAAGGCACAGGCAGAGGAAGAAGCAGTACTCTGGAAGGTATCACAGGCCATGTACAAATGTAGAGCACATATACAGTAGGACCCACTGACGGGAATCAAGACAAACCTTGAATGGTGTGGGAGCAAAAGGGTTAGTTGGGGAACAACGGAAGGTAACCCTAACTGGATTCGATACCTCCTACAGTAACAGAAAACAGCAATCCACATGTTACAGCACCTTTGGCATTACACAGTACTGTTAATGAATAACTCATTTTAAATTATGGATTCATTTCACTAATTGCAGCAACTTTATTAGCTCTATTTATAAACAGACAATAGTACTTAATGGTTATTAAGGACTCTGATTCAGCAAAGTACCTTACTGTACATGAACCTTAGCTCAGCAAGAGAACAGATATGACAAAAGGCCATTCTTATATTACTGCTAAAAAGAAATTATGCAGAAACTGCAAGATCATTATGTATTCTTTTTAAATAAGTGCAATATTTTTCAAAAATGCTTTTAAAAATATAGAGAATACAAGTCATCATTTATATTACATATCTATTCCCTTTTCTTAGACACAAAGCTGTAACAAACACGAAAAACAGTTTTTAAAAACACACATGCAATTATACACCACATGTATTATCACAGATGTTCATTGCACATATGATGTATTTGACAACACGGGAAAACAGACAGAGGGCACAATCACTTCCAAGATGTAGAACCAGCTAGAAATTATTTTATTAAATCAGAAATGCATGCAAAGAAAAATTAAGCTTTTATTTATTATTGTGTTAGAGGTTAACTCTGTTCCCATTGTGAACAACATGCAGTAAGCACTAACCACAAAAAAACAAAAAACAACAACAAAAAAATCACACACAAAAAATCCAAACCAAACCAAACCAAAACCAACCAAACAAAAAACCACCAACCAAACCCACAACAACAACAAAAAAATCCAACATTTTAGTATTTCCAAAAATGTCAGCATCTTGTCCATGGTGCATTAAAAGAATTTTCAAGAAGTAGAGGGAAAATATTTTCAGCATCATAAACTGAAAGCTGCCAACATTTGGACTTTTTCATGCAAAAATAAAAGTGAGATATTAAAGCTGTAAAGTCCTAACCATATAAAAGAAGTACACAGCAGCAAAAACCTCACACACTGATGAGAGTTACACTCATGGGGATACTTTTAACATACACCACAGGGACAGATCTTGTATTTGAGAACCTATTCCTTTGGTAGCTCTGAATCTGATCAGATTTAGAGGTTATGACTAATAGAGCTGGCATTTTTCCACTTCTCTATAACTTTCCTATGTGTATGCTTGTCTGTGTCATTTTAATTCACTATACAGAATTCCCACTCTCATCAGCATAGTATTTTACCCAAACTGGTATAAAAAAATTTAAATGCAGAGAGATACAAATGGCAAAGAAGCACACATATTATGTTTGGTGACTTAAAAGCAGTGTGTTATCATCCCACCTTGCTGGTGTTGAACTGAGAAGAATCAGCAAATGGGTTAGTGCTGCTGAAGACACCTGGCCTACAGAAAACATTATTCTGCAGGAAAGACGGGTAAGAGTTCTAAAAGGAAAGCATATTAAAAACTAAGCAAAAACAATTTTAAATGAACCCTTTTTACTCATGAAGGAAAACATATCTATGTAGTTGTTTGGGCTAACCAAACAAGGTCCACTTCCTGCACTTTGCTACAGATAGGTGAAAGTGGGCAAAACTGCATTTGCTTTGTGTTTCTAATCAGTTTTGTTTAGCATAGCATAAAGGAAAAGCACTGATGCCCATACCTGCTCTAGCTCACAAAGTACATCAAGTACAGAATTGATCAGCACAAAGATGAGAAAATTTATGTGCTATTTGTACAATTTTATCCAAGCATCTCACTGCTTACTTCACAAAAAAAACAGGGTTTACTAATATTAGGCATCTCTATGCAGCTTTCACATCTAATAATGACTTTTACTGAACACTTTGTATATGAGCGCATGCACCTATAATTGTCTTAATTTATAGTTCATTGAAACTAAATTCTCTGGTCTACCATTTTAGCAATGCAAGGTATTTCCTCATTATTATTTAACACAAAAAGAGTTTACACGTTTAGACCAAATTAAAGGCTGTACTTTGACCATTTATGTTCCTTACTCAGTTTTTTTACTGTACTCCAGTTTCAGATCAGAACAAGCTTAATTAAGAAGGAACAGCTCTGATTTCACAGTTTGTTGGAAATATACCACGTATACATGATACAGGTGTATCCATTTGTCAAGAGCCTACAAGCCTTAGATCTGTAGGTTTAACACTGCTGGAAAACAAGAAGTATAGTAAATGGAAATGTGAAAAGCTTGCAGGATCATTTATATCAAGAGTAATTTAATGCGAGCATATACTGCTGTTTAAAAATTTTCTTAAAGCATTTTGATTTTTTCTAAATGCTCCTGAAAATAGTAAATGCATTCCTAAACATTTATTTTTAAATACTGTACAGCAAAAAAGTAATGTAATTTGATAAGACAACATAGGTCTTGACTTCACTGTGTTTTCAGCAGTGAGAAAGCAATGCCATGGATGAACAAGGTTTCTACACTGTCAAGTCACTCAAAGTCAACAGGCTGTATCCCTAAGGTACAACAAGATTTTCTGTTTACACACGTCTTTTAGAGAAGTTTGAGAAAGTAATTTGTTACTGTAATGATCCTATTACACTTTAACACCTATATTTGTCATCTGCATAAATGTATCTTAATGAATTTTAGGAAACTAAGAAAAGCATCACAAATATTTCATATATGAACAGTGAAATCCTAGTAAAAGAGGAAACAAAGGTCAGCTACAGTCATTCAAAAGCTTGCCTTTTATGTTTTTCATGACGGCATAGTTTCTAAAAAACTAGCCCAAATTTTAATCCATGCAACAGCATTGTGTCAATATGGACTGACTACTGGATAAAATATGGAGCATTTGAGTCTGCCTGAACAGTTCAGTTTAGCATACCTTCTTACATAGAATAAGAGAAGCAAATGTTAAAATAAAGGGCATTTTCCCTTTTGCTATTTTTTTATTCAAGTCAAAACCTAAAATAACAGGATTTTTTTAATCTTTTCTTTTTTTCAACTAACTTCTCTGCAGAATTTTATTAATGTGTCCAAGATGCTAAGGTACCAGAAACTAGCTAGCATTTGCTATAGCACAATGCTGTAACACTGCTACGGCCCCCATAATCACCATGACATTTTATTTCCTACTCAGAATACCAGAGCAGTATCAGTATGAAATACAGACTCAATGGGTAGCTTCTTATTAGCAAAATTATCTTTTGCTTAATTAGCTATTAGCAAAACAGCTTTTCACAGCCATTTGCATTACTTGGACTACTCTGGAGTACTCAGGGTCTTTTTACCTACTAGATAAGCCTGAATGAAAAAAACAAAGCAGAACTGGATTCCTTAGTTACATGTCACTTGAAACTGACTGCCTGGCTAAATAAAACCTGTATCATATTAAATATAGCTACTCTCACAGGCAGCTAGCTATTTGGGTGACTGCACATGAATGAAAGCAGGAAATTCCCTTAAAAGATCTTATTATAAAGTACAGATGCAAGTTTCAAAATATGAAGATAATAATGCCATTTACGAAGATCACAATGTAATGTATGTGTACAGCAAAAGCAATTGCAATGTTTCTGCTTACAGAGAAACAAGGGTTTTTTAGTACAGTCAAAAAATAACCAACAGGCTTAATAATTTGAAAATAGAACAAAGAACTACAATTAAAAATAGAAAAGGAGCATTCTCTAAACAAAAGTAAGTTGAGATAAAGTAATGGCATCACTCTCATGCCAAACTGGCCTAAGCATTCATCATTGGCAATTCTGTTCATATCACAGCAAACATGAAAGCCTTATTTTAGTAGTTTGAGTATCAATAACCAACATTCAATAGAGCTTTTTCATGCAACTTTACCTTAGACGACTGACGATAAAATGGGTTAGTAGTTTTCTGCCCACAGGGAGCAGAAGCTGAAGAAGGGCTATAAAGAGACTCTGGCTGGGGAACAAGAGTTATGAGACAACTAGTAAATAAACATGCAGCTTACACAGACTCTACAATGAGGAAGTTTAGTTTCTAGTGAGGCAAGCAACTTATATTAAAGCTCAGTAGCTTTTGTCTGCAACGTCCATGCAGCTTAGTGACAGAAAACTTCCGTGTACTTCTAGGTCCTTTAATTAATGTCCAAAGAATTTTTTAACAGGTGCTGTATTTCTGCATGCGCTCCTCAGACACGCTGTCAATCTCTAAGAGTTGGTTTTAGTTAGACTCCTACTCTGCCCCCCAACAAATTATCTTTCTTGAGGCTTTTCAAAATAGTTTGTGGACGGCGTGCTGGAGGGTAATTCCAAATCCAAATCGATTTCATTCTAAATGGAAATAATACTTAAATCAAATCTTTGTTCCTAAAGCAGCTGAGATGGCACTTTCAGGATTAAATATCCCATTCCCAAACACCACCATCTTGAACATTTGTTTCATTTATTACTATGTATTACATTTCTTTCAATATTCTTAATGCTTACCCTTGGTCTGCTTATAATGCTCTGTACCATAAAGACTACAGGATTGCCTGCCTTCCGTATGGCTTCCACAGCTTGTTCATGGCTGGCATCTCTGAGGTCAATTCCATCCACCTGTAATTGGAAGGCCTCATCTTAACATTGCAAGAAGCTACAAGAATCATAAGTCACTTCTGAGTTTTGGTTAGGAAACTTTGACTAAAACCTAAGCCCAAATCTCTGTTTCTGGTGGAAAGCTTTCTACGGACTTGGCCTAAAGTCCCTCACACAAAGGTTTGAGATTTCTAAGAGCACTGAAAGGACATTAAATAAATATTCTCTTATTCTTCTGTTATAAAAGCAGGTTTTTCAACATTCTTGGTTCAGGTTCCTTTTTTTTTTTTCAATAGGCAACATAACATAAGAGATATGATAATATGAAGAGAGTGACAGTGTTTGCCAAATACTGCTTCCTGTAAATTCTATCAAAGAAATCTGTCTCCTGGGACTTTAGGAGATTTACAAACTGAAACTTGTTGGGTGCTGTGGAGTCTTTCACAATGATTTTTTTGGGGGTTTGTTTGGGTTTTTTTTGAAAAGCAAGATAAGAGCAATTTAGCTACTAGGCACTTTCTCGAGAAGTTAAATTTTTAGGTCAGATCTGAAAAGCTTTTTTTTTTCTAGAAGAAGGCACTTACAAAGGATGGCTAAGGACAAATTTTTGCCTGGTTGCTTTTCTTCATGTCTTCATATATATTGGTGTGTGAAACAAATTTGTCAGGTAAGAACAATGTTAAGGTGAGGTTAGCATCAGTAAAGTGTTCTCACAAGGACCACAACAAAAGCTAGAAGCTAACACAGAAAGGTTATTTGTTAGTGGTAATTCTTGCACACAATGTTATATGACTTTATACAACAACTTTTTAATCGTCAAACTTAATCATCTAGTGTACATAAGAAAGCACAAAAATAATCTGAGAGAAATTCTAAACCTATAAGGAACTGAACAACAACAGGTAGGCTCCCCAACTACCCATATCTGAAATACCATACGCAATAACAAAGATAGAGCTTAGATACGACACAACTTGAGAATCTGAAATAATCCGTTCAGAAACACTCACATTAGCATAACATTTTAATTTCACTCACCCATTCCAACTTCTGCAGTTATCACTGTTAGAGCCAACTGCATTCATAAAAATCCAGTTATTCAAATAAGATGACTATTTTTAATTTTGTGGCCATCAAGCAAAATTCCAACTCCCATCTTGTTATATACCAATAACTGTTCTATCCTGTTAAAGACAGTGCAACCTATACCAAGGTATTGTTTCAAGATCCTTGATAAGGATTCTGTAGCAAACAGCGAACTGCACCTCAGTGCCACTGTGTAAAGCAAACCCAGACTGATCCAGAATCACCATCTCCATCACCTTCCTTGTTACATTCTTACTGATGGACAGTCAGCTAAGGACATCCAGAAGGATGGAGGGTAGTTCCTACGTCCTCCAGCCTAATGCTGGAGACAGGGTAATGCCTGACACTGATAATCATCACAGGAAAGACCTTTCAGTATGTTCCTTCTTCAGTATCTTTAATCAGTAAAGCAGAAGTGGCTGCATGAGCACAAAACTTGCTAAGTAGAAGAGAAATCTAGATAAATCCCTTCATGTAATACCACTGGCTACCTCAGTCTTGGGCATGGACACAAGTGTACTTACTTTCTCAAACATCAAACCCAAATTTCTTCATGTCAGGAAATAAAAAAAAAAAGTGTCTCCCTTAATTACTGTACAATATGCATAAGAATGATATGATCTGATTACAAAGGAAATAAACTTGGTATTTATTTGCATGATCTGCACTGGCCATTTCTGTTGCTAACCAATATGCAAAAGTGAAATCTTTTGGCTTCACCAAACTTAAGCTTTTTCCCACACACGCTCGCTTTAAAACAGGTAGGTCAAACTGCTGGCTTTGTAGAATCCTGATCACACAGTCAGTCACCTATGCTTCAGGTTAGATACTCAACTTAACAGACAGCTGACTGCACACAAACATCAGCAGATGGTACTGCAGTCTGTACTGCTCAAGTGGTGTCAGCTGGAGCAATTACACAGCTGCCAGCCCAGAACTACAAATCCATCTCAGTGGCTCCTGAGATGCTGGGGGAATTGCAGCAAAAGGCATTCAGCTGGTACCTCTACAATTCGATCGCCAGTTTTCAGAGTTCCATTTTTGCCGGCTGGGCTGTCTTCCAGGATGTGTTTAATAAAGATCCCTCTCATCACTTCTCCATTACTCAGGCGGCTCCCCATCCCTCGTCCTCCAACAATGCTGATCCCCAATGACTTACTAGGCTCTCTCCAGAGTTCAACTCTGTTGTGAAAAAACAAGGGCCAAAATAAATGAAAATCTGTTGTAATTATGACAGTGCTGCACACTGAAGACACCTGGATTTGCACAATTATTTTATTCTGAAATAACCCCTCCTTGCAAAGTTTTGTTTTTCAGAGGAATTATCTTTTGAATTGCTCAGAAAGTCTGTAACTGAGTCTAGTGCTGGTCACTTTATTTTGGATTACGATATAAACTTTGAACCTTTCTATTCATCTCTTCTTTCTGGATCCCTAAGAGTCAGCCTGGGATAAGTAAAGATAAATCACTAAAACACTAAAGACACTGTTAGATTTAGCCCAATGGCAGTAAAAATCAACTCCTGCAATGCACAACATGCATAAGAGTTGCAATTCTACTGTTTTCTTACTCCTCTTAAAATATATTATGTGTTTCAAAATTTTTAAATTTCATATGACATTTTATTCTGTGCAACTAGATCCACACTTACTTTCTGGGCTGGTTCCAGTTACTGAAAGCTGCATTTTGAAGTTCACTTTCTTCTCCCTCCCCCTCTTCACGTTCTGGAAGCTCTGGGAGTTCCCTGATGATGAACAGGAACATGTAATTAATTTTTAAAGAACTCATAATTATTAGATTTTTCTGAAAAATGCCATATATTGAATCACCCTGCCAGCATTAGAATTTGTTCACAGGATTCAGATAAGGAATTTCTTCTTCAGATGTCTGTTGGAATACATTTGATGTTTGGGGATTCCCTGTCCACTTTTTTCTGCAATGAAGTTGCTATCCACAACAACAGAATAAAAGATATGCAATTTGGAACAAGAACCAAATCAGAATCAAAGGTAATTATTGACAGTTCTCAAAATGGAATAAATAACAACAACATCACTAAAACAAAGTTACTGCCTTCAAAGACGAATTTCAAAAAACCCTAATATTATTAGTCACTTTGAAATTTTGGACTGTAACTGCAATGAATTTTTGAAACTCAAGGAAAGGATGATGTAATTAGTTCTTTCCAGATATGTTCTGGAAAGACCATCAATACCAAATTCTTATGTTGAAAACACTGAGTACTTGTGGCAACACGTAAATCAAACTGCATTGTATTTAAGAGAAATTTAGGGTTAGACAGAATTCAATCTCCTTTTTGGGCAGAACAAACAGTATCAAACAGATACAACAAACAGATCAAACAGATCAAACCTTGAAAAAATGTTCAAAACATTTTCTAGTCAAAGCAAAAATTGTATTCTGAACAGCTTTTTATTGTAATGGCTGCTGGTCTGAAGAAAAGCACCCATCTTTCACCTCTTCCAAATCAAAACTTATCTTCCCAAACTGTGCAAAGCATATGGAAAGAGTTACATGTGTGAGCTCTGTGGGAAAAAAAAGTAAGCCTTTTGACTCACCTGACAATATGTGAAGGAAAAAGTTCAGGTGGCACAGCTCCCTCTGCCTCTTGTCCCAAACCAGCCCTGTACTCGTCTAAATTTTCTGCTGGCACGTATGTAATACTGCAATAAAATGGGATATGATTAAAGTAGCATGAGGACTGCCAGTCCTCCCTTTGGTGGGTGTGAGGTATGGATATGAGGAAGCCACTCAGGACTCCTTCACTGACTTCAAAAGCACAATGCAAGTACATTGTGAGTAAGCTGTTATATGAAACCCTTATGACTTTGTAACAAATATGCATTTATAGTCAAATTAAGTAGGTGAACAGCGGATATACTTCTGTAATTAAAATAAATGGTGCTTGAACAGTGACAAGACTGTAACAGAGACAATCCAGCTTCAGTTAAAATAGATTCCTCAAGCAAAGACAGACACTGAAGGATCTGTGAAGTCTGAGGCACTTGGCTTGTAGGAGGTTTTGTGCTCTCCTGTGTGGTTTTGTATTTATTTTGTCCATGGATTTGGACATACAAATGTGTTACAACACACCAGCTATGCTGCAGGGAGCAATCCCCTATTCAAGTCCTTCTTCCACCCCCTTCATGCACTTTCAGTCAGTTTGGGACAGTCAGATAGTCATGTGTCACCAAATGACAAGCAGACTCTACTTGATGTTTGAATACCAGAAACAGAAATGGTCCAATAGACTGGGAAGGTGGAAACAAAAGTAAGGAAAAAAAAAGATTAGGACATCAAGAATATTTCTTAAAAAACTCCACTCTACAGGCAAAAGGATACCATGATATAAACAGAGCTACTTAAATGGCCCTCCTTTAACAATGCCTTGTCTTCTTAAAAACACATATTTGTAAAAAAAGCAGCTTAGCTATCAGATCCAAGTCTTCCAAGAGGTAAGGTTAATGGAAAAACTCCTGGGGAAAAAAAAAAGTCTGTCTACCCATACATCACATCATTAAAAGAAAAATAAACGTATTTTCCCAGGGAAGAGACGGGAAAAAAAAAACCTGGACCACTTCACAAGAATGTGTAAGCTGCTGAGGAGAGGCTCTTTAAGCTCTGAAGCTTGAACCTGGAGTTGTCTCCTGTCTGCCATTCCCTGACTGAAGTCCTCTCTGTCTGTCACATCCTGACTGTGACTGATTCCCCCTCTTACTGGTTTTCTGCTGGATACAGCAAGTGACAGACAGCAGTTCAAATGAAATTTTATATGACTAACGCTGTCAGTTCAAAGCACTCTACCAAAATTATCCTAATGACCATCTTTATTTGCCATCTTTGTCTGTGTTTCAGCATGTTCCCTACTTCCTCTCACATCTACTATATTTAGAAAAGTGCAAAAGGGTCATTAAGGACATGCTGAACAGAAGGAACTCCACAGCTCTTCTAATGGAAATTTCCAAAACTTCCGTATTATCACCAGCTTTTCCTCTTCTTTCAATCTCCTCCCAGTTCTACTTTGGCCCTTTTTTCAAGTACTCAAGTGTTACTGTGCTTGACACAAAGTATTTTCCTTTTGAAGTGGTGGGAAGTTAGCATACACTAAAAAACAAACACTCAGCAGCAGAGTGTTTGTTTTTTAGTGTGTATGCCTTTCCTGAGGGCATTCTAGCACTAGGAAAGACTAAAGGCATACAGCAGTTATTCTATGAAGACCCAGCAGTGAAACATCAAGAAACAAGAGAAGGAAGAACTTTTGAAAATAATCATTACTACAACCATCTCAAACTCCAGATGCATTGAACTATAGCAAAGTGCTAGTACTGCTCTCACAAAACTCTTACAGGTCAAACGCTGATGCAGAAGCTCCACTCAGTAAGCCCATAAGAATACCTTGCCTTCGCAAAAGCTAGAAGATGTGCAAGTTGGTGTAAGAAAACGTAACATTCTTTCAGTTACATTCATCAGTTTCATCCCAATCAAATCATCAATATTCACCCTATAAAAATAAGTAGGAAATCCCTTGGCAGGCAGCTGCAGTAAAAAACCCCACAACTGCAAACAATGTTTCTCCTGACTGGAAGGCTCAGACAATCTCCTTTATGCTAAACTGCAGCTGTTCAAAGTATGGAAAGGAGAATGGCACACTTCTACAAAGGAAAGGGATGAGCACAGATTCAGCCTGGATGTATACAGCAGAATGCGATCTCTGACAGTACAGTGTCCAGTATCTATCAACTCTTGTCTAATTCTTTTGTTCAAGGGGCACAACTATGAAGGGTGCCAAGGTTCAAGAGTAGTGTAGTCCTTACCTCATATGTCAGCATTGGAGGTACCTGAAGATGAGGCAAACCATCTGCACTCCAACTTCTGGAATACCCCATTGTTTTTCATTATATGATTTAATAACTGATATTGTGCTGGAACATTCAAAAGGTATGATACAAGGGATGCTCTTAAAGAGCCTCATATGCTTAATAACATTTCCCAAAAGCTGCCTTAGCTTCCCTTTTGTGTACAGCACAGAAGCTAAGAAGAAAAGAAGCTCACTCCATTTTTAAAAAATGCATATAAAATTGAGCAACTGAATTACCTAATTGATTTCCACAGATGGAGTAAAATTTACATAGTTTCTTTGGGAGCTGTTATATATTAGCTCTTTGGAAAAATACATTATTACTATTCTAGTGCTCAACTACAGTTTGAATAGTGTAATTTAAAGCACTCAAAGGAACATTCAATATGTTTTTTAACTGTTCATTCTTACCTACAACTAAATTTCAGTAACACTTCAGCTATTTCACAAATATAAACCAGAACACTGGCATTTGGCAAAAAACAGTATAGAAAATAAATACAAAATAGTATAGAAAAGAAAACTAAATTACATGGATCAAATATATGAAAATTTATATGCTGAGTAGTTCACCTTTGCTTCTTGCTAGTGATTTCCAAAATTCAGTCAACTGCAAAGATTTCCCTACCTGTTCTTTTTACCAAAGGTGTATTATTGATGTGGCTGTCCTCCTCCACTCTCTGCCTTTACATATTATTGCAATGAAAAGTTATACTTAAAAACCTCTCTCTGCTGTAAATTACTGTTTTAGGAAATATGTATACCAGAAAGCAGTCTTTGCCATGAAGCTGTTGAACCTGCCTTCTGCAACACTTGGCAAGGTCACATTGTATTAAAGACCTTCAATTTACAAGAGTTTTTTCCCGGTTAAACTTGAGCAGACTTGCTTTTCCCGGTACTCATGAGCAGACACTCCCCAGTTATCAACTTGCTGGATTGCTACTGTAGCTCACTTGGAGGTCACAGTGAGGTTTGACGACATCCAGCATCATCGTGATCAGCTCAGCCTGTGACTGGGATGATGAGGGGCCTAGAAGAAGGGCATTGGGCTCCACTGATCGACTCTGTTGAACTTTGTGCTGTGTAGTGAAAATAAAAATCCACCTAGGTACCTGAATGGTTTATCTGCAAAACAGACTGGTAATTGCCTTGATATAGTTATAGGGAAGACAGTAAGAGAAACAAGTGCCAGAAAATGGTCATAAAGACACAGAAAACAGGAAACAAGTAAATGACTGTTCTACTGCTGAGTTGTACTTCCTAGTTGCAAGAAAAGTTGAAGTTCAACAACTTCAAAGGAAAGTATATGAAGGGTTTAACCATTTCTTCTCTTGAGATAACCACTTGAGAGATATAACCACTTCTCCTACCCCCAGAGATGTGCACTAGCAACTAAAGCAGTGACAATGGAAACACCTATGGCTGTGCATATGAAAGTATCTCGTAAACATGACACCGCATGCAGTACAGAGGAACATTTATCACATGCTTGACTTAGCCACACGAAACCTCGAAACACCAACAAACCAAATAACGAAGTATGGAAAATGTTTAGGACAAGTTACTCAAATTACAAACATTTAAAATTTACTTTGAATCTCTTTATACATGTAGTAAAATGTAAGTGCCACAGAAAATATGACACTGAGATTAATCCAGATATCAGTACAACGTACTCATGCCAATTCTAGCAGGGAACCTTGTACACATACACACACATGCACAAGTGCTCTGAGCACATCTTGGGTGGCTGTCACAGATAAAAGTCAAAAATATTACCCATAATTTTTTTAGAATACGAGTATTTTCATTCCAGACTTAAAAAGTATGCTCCAATCTTCAAGATGAAAGCCATACATATATATACGACTATACACACACAGTCATATCCTCTTTTAATCAAAAAAAAAAAAATACATACATCCACATGTGCAGCCACATGTGCATGCACACACAAATATACACAAGGAAAGAGAGAATATGTACCTATATCTGGATATATCCCTGACATTACTATTGATGTCATAAAAGCATGGAATGATTTTAGAGACAAGTTGCAACATAGAGCCATAATGAGTTTCTGAATTGCCAATACTCACACATAACAGAGGGCCTGATCATCAGCAGGTGCTGGAGAAGATCTAGAATGTGAAGCATACGATGCAGCATCTTTTTACAATGGTGTTAACAAATGTCAGCGTCTCATGCTGAATGTGAAAGGTATGTTTATGTAGTTAGAAGTGTGAGTTGCCTTTTTTTTTTTGTCCTTTTTTTTTCCCGTTCCACCTCTGCTTCATCCCAGAAAGCATCTGCCCTTTATTGTTGTCTATAGCAGTGATTATTAACAAGGATGGAAAATGAAATTGCAATCTATCTTATTTCTTGATCAGGAACTCATCCCCACACTTCAGTCAGGTGAATTTTAATACACCCCTAGTAATAATCTGACAGATGTTACAAGCAGCTGCTGCTGAGCACAAAATGTTGGCTATTATTACAGAAATATAAAAGCTTCTGGCAAGGTAGAGTGAGATGTGAAATGGAATGCATTCTGGTAAGGCCACACATCTGGTTTACCACACACAAAGGGGAAAAAAATCAAATACCCGAGTCTGAAACTCAGATTGCTGGTTCTTGATCTATTCAAAATTAAATTTCCTTTAATAAAATTAAAAAAAGCTTTTAAATGGCCAGTAAGAATGGCTTTGTATTTTCCCTGCAAATACTGTTTGCTGCTGAAATACAGCTTTGAAAGTAAAGTACCCAAAGTTACCCAAAGAAGCTCAGTCTAAAAGTATAGGTTCCAATTTTGCAGTAAGGACAGAGAAGAATGATATCTCAATGGTCACATCCAAGTGCTAGTGTACCTTTGCTTCCCAAGGAAGATGCCAAAGAGATCCAACTTAAATATTTGAAATGCTGGCCCTTTTATCACAAATGCTGCAAGGTGATGCACCACATTAGCTTTGAACTGACACATACAGATATGTGTGTGTCTGTGTATGTATCCCTATCAGTAAACATAAAGAACTATCACCACATATTGCTCCTTATCTCCAATTTCTGATTTGAGACATTATTCATAATATTTTTCTGGGATTCTGTGCTGCTCCTGAAAGTAAAAAATTACAGAAAAATTTGACTATGCTAAATAGTTTTATAGCAAAACTATACAGTCCCAAAAACACAGTCCTTATTCTTGCAGGACTTTTTCAGAAGCTACCAAATGATTTGGTCTTTCAGTTCTTTGAAGGGCAGATGCTGGCTTCACTTTAAAACCTTATCATAGGAATGAAAAGAGCATAAATAAAAAAAAAAAATAAAAAATAAAAAAAAAATGTTAATTAAAAATATGAATAGCAACTCCCCCTCTTCTGCAAAATCTTTCAGAAAGGGGATGCACTTTTCTCTGGAAAATCTGAATATTCACATCTAAGGCATGATTCCAGTATTACCAAAACATTTGCAAAAGCCTATAAAACAAAAGTCAAACAGTGTAAAATGCAGCAGCTATTAAAGGATAAGCACAAATAATGAACACATCTGTATCTGATCATGTAACTACAGCACTAAGAAAGGACTCCTCATAGAAGAATGATGCTGCAGCAGTTGTGTATCTAAGCAGATATACACACGCATGCACAGCACATACCAACTGATAACCAACCATGACAGTAAGAATTACAGTTTAGAAGCCTACAATAATAACCAAGGACATATTTTATCAACACTGATTCGTTTCATCATATAAATACATGTATATAAATACATGACAACACTGACAATAATGTAATTCATTATATGAGCATAGAATACTTCTGCAGAAATATGGAATGCCCAGCTGTCCATTCTGAACTGACAGGAACCACAACTACCAGGAACCACACTGTGATTGGACTGATCTCTTTCAAGGCCACTGTCTTAAATTAGTAGAGGCTTCTATTACCCACAACTCCATTAATCCCATTTGTTTATCTTATTATTATTTATATTATATAATTATATTATATAATAATAATATTGTTATTCGCCCAATCTGTGTTACCACAGGTCTGAGAAAACCAGCCACTAGATTTTGAAGCTGCAAACCCAGCATTGGTGTGTCTACAGCACCATCCACAACTTCAAGAACGAGCTTATTTCTAGATTGTGCATGAGGGCAAAGTTAACTCCACAGCCAAGACAGCAAAAAAGAAGTGTACTTAAAGGCAGAGTTAAAATTCTGCACATTGTGTGAACTTGAGAAGAAACTTTCTTATCAACTGCATATCTCAAAACTTGTATTAATTACTTCACGTTTAAAATAGTACTCCCAAGAGCAGCTATTTATGCATAAGAGTAAATTTCTTTCTATGTACTGATAAAAAAATTGGAACTGACTTCAGAAAACAGTGTTTCTGCTCTTTGTCACAGATGTACTGAAATGTGTTAAGAATTATTTTTCTGCATTAACATCATACTTTCTGTTTGGCAATCGAAATCAAAACTCATTACAAAGATCAAATGAAACCACTTGTACAATGGCCAGGATAGTCCTCCTCCAAGAATCATAAAAATCTTGAGGAAATAATTACTTTTTTTAGAAGAGTAATGAATGCAAAATTCTGACTAACCCCATTCTTACAGTAAAACCATGCAGAGCAGTAATGATGAGGATCACTCATGACAGTAATAATTTTCCTAAGAACATCCACAGCCTCTCGCACAAGTGATTTTACCTTTGAAATCCATGAAAATGTAGTCTGAAGGTGAATTATCCATCTGAAGCTCTAACTTAAAGGTAAATTCACGTATAAGGACATAAAAAATTTTCATTTAAAATACTTGCATAAATAATCAGTTTCCAATTATTAGTTTTTTCCTACCGCATTTCAACATCTGGCTTTACCTACTTTATATCTGGTCCAATGAGTGAATGCCGCCTCAGCATAGCCCGGGCCTGTGCATTGGTTAAGTTCGTGGTTGACTCTTCATTAATGGACAGGATGCAGTCCCCCACACCAATCCGTCCGTCACGACTGATTGAGCCTCCATGGATGACACTTCGAACTATCATTCCCAAGCCATCTTTATTGGAGCTTACTGTCATCCCTATAAGAGTGAAAACATATGAAACAGCTAATGTCTTTTGAGTCCCAGCTCTGGGTGCCAAGATAAGGAAACAAAACCTAGGCCACAGTAGAGGTGAAAGTCAGTTAGCCAGCCTGCCAATATCAGCAAGCCTAAAAAACGTTGCTCTTACTCTCCCTTGCATTTCTTCTATCCAACAGGAGACAGCAATTACAAACCGCAATCACAGTACCTTTACTTCACCTTGTCATTTCACATGACAATTAGGACGGTGAAAAATTTAAGCAAAAAATGAACTGAAAAGGTAATTAAATTCCTTCAAATTCACCTCTTCTGATGGTTCACCGAGTTTATACATTTCAGTTTAGCTTATGATGATTCTCTTTCGAAAGAAGGTGAAATGTTTTAACAGGTAACTAGGAGCCCAGTACAAACACACACTAATTTTCAACAGAAAGCCTGAATCAGATCTCACTGAGACAGCGGCTGCCTTCCCACTCTCCTAGATGGGCCATAGCTTAGGCCCAGAAGAGTGTCCTAATTTCTGTGAGAGTCTGTGCTTTGATTATGGATACAATCCACTATTTGAGTTATACCATGATCCCACCTGTGGCACGGCAGGACTCTAGTTCTCTATGTTTACATACACCCTTTAAATTTACTTTCTTCTCACTAACAGGAAATTAGACAGATATGTTCTCGCCCCTCCTTTCCCATGGGGAGCCACAGGGATTTACTTGTGCTGGGCTTCACAAGCCTGTGAATGTTCTTACATGCTGAGTTGTTACTGCTATTTTCAGGGCAGTTGGTGCTCATGAAGCAAGCCCTGATAAAAGTTTCAGGAAAAACTGTTCTTGACTAAGGCAGTGGAAAGGTAGCTGTAGGGTCAGGACCCTTGATGTCTATCTTAATACTGCCAAACCTGGTATTTTCTTTCTTTGTGCACTAATGTGAAAGTTTTCATTTGCTAACAAGGTGAAGCCATTGAAATAAGAGCACTTATAGAGGAATATCTATTGGAGAAGGAGGCAGTGACTACCCCACTGTGTTCTCAAAGTCTCACATGTAAAATATCAGGCTAGCAAACACTGGGAGTGCAGCTGTCTGTCTGCAAGTGCTTACCTTACTGTCCAGACGGTGAGTGGACAGAAGATGATAGCTACCAGAGAAAAACATACAAGAATACTAGCTAAAAAAATTCCAACAATTTATATACAAATTTGGCTACAGAAGACACAGTCTGATCTCTTTATTATGTGAACTAAGACTTGGGAAACAGACTGGTTGAACAGAGTTTATAAGGCAGCTGTTAATCCCAGGCTCAGCCAACCATACAAACATCTGACTACATATTTGTCTCAGAAAAAAAAATAAAATACTATAACCATTAAAGAATAACCATAATTCAGATATTCATTTGTGGGTTTTAGGGCTCTTCTCAGAAAATAAAAATCTCTTAATTGTGCTGGTTTCACACATCCCCTTGTAGCTGAGATCAATATAGCTGTCTAAAGTATAAGAAGGTAGCCCTGACTAGTAAGGAACTAGCAGCAATAAGGTTCTTAGACATAGGAATACATGTACCTTGCTACTTTGGTATGAGGAAGTCAAGGTCTAACTTTTGGAAAAACTGCAAAACCTATCTTCATAACGGCCCTTTATATAAACTGCTGAAAGAATATGTTGTTACTACTGACTGGAGATTTATATGCATTATTTGCCAGTTAATAATGTCAGGTGTGGAGAGGTGTAATTTATAGATGGATGTATCAGACTTGTAATACAGACACAAATGCCACTGATTTATTGCCTTTCTACTAGAAAAAGTAGAGGTAAACTGTATATCATCTGCTCCTCAGATCAGTAACATTACAATGCTAGGCACATCAAAGGTGCTGTCCTGGGGTGGATTCCTCATTTTTCACACTCACATGTTCCTTCCTAGAACCATCTCTTGACAGATCTCCTCATACAGATTTTACTCAGTCAGATCTGAATTCAAACATGTAACATAGTGGTCTCCACCAGAATACAAGCAGTGTGCACACAAACTGTTGAGGAAACAGGTGAAATGAGGTTTGAAATTCTGAACCTAATTTAGCTTAATAATGTCATATTGCTATGCTCTAACGTTACTTTATTGCTATAGATGCTTTGATATTGCTGTATTATTATAGAATGATAGTACCCAAAACAGCAAAATACCTGTTTACCTTTTGAAACAAAATTTTTGCAAAATAAACAATACATATATATGTTTACAAACACTGATTATTTAGTGTCGTTTCACTCTAATCCACCTCAAGAGATTTATTAATAAGAACCTGGGTTACCCTCCCCTTTCTGGGGCAGGTCACAACAATTGGTGACACCATTAAGAAGGAAAAAAGAAATGCAGCTTTCAACATCATTCACAGCTCTTGATTTATCTCCTTTGCAAAAATGAAAGTTAAAAGCAGTGCAGCCATATGCATAAACTGGTCACCGTGCCCAGGCTGCTTCGCCGGCCAGAGTGTACTTAGCCTGGAAGACCGATCCAAAGCCAGGAGAAAGGGATATTCACATTCATATTTTGTATATATGAATTGAGACCAGTCTTACTTTTAAGCATATATGACGTCTGCGAATGTGGACCGTGTCCCATATTTGTATTTTCATGCTTGACATCAAATTTGCTTTGTATGTTGACTGCAATTAAAATACTCATACATAAATGAAACCCTGCTCCATCGAATTAACGGTTTGTGGCAAGGAAACCTTTTTTTACAAAGTCCAGATGCTTGGAAACACACTGTGACCTGCACTTTATACAGCCTGGTAATCAGAACAGTAAAGTTAGTAGTTAGCCAAGCATCTCATACCAATGAAAGGTAAACCTTAGACCTTTTCTACAGTTTCATATTTTGGAGATTCTGATTTTAAACCTGATCAGTTCCAAATCCAGTTAGAAGGATGGCTGTATCATGAAGGTGCCAGGTGGTAGATTGAGCATCCAGTCATCATAAGGCAGTTTATTCCAAGTGAAAGAGCCCATTGAAATACAGCATCACAGCTGTAAAAAAAAACAACACCCACCTCTGCACAGCAGAGGAATCCTAACTGGGGACTGTTTATAAGCATCCAGTTCTGTGGACAGCCCATTTTAAAGCATTTGTGGAGTTACTGCAAACAGCCAGCACCCACACAAAGGTCTACCCTACCAACTCCAGAGAGTCTTCAAGGATGTGCAGGTGGCTGGAAGAAACAGCATCAGAAACCTAAACCGAAGCAAACAAACACACCAGCCACAAACGGGAAGGACGCACCACTGCCTCTCAACACAAAGCCTTTCCCACACTGGCTCTGGGAAGGTTCTGTTCCTGTTCTCCCCTTCACACTGCCAAGGACCACACCAGAGACTAGGACAGGACAATGACAAACATTAGCATCTATTGTGCCTGTTTGCTCCAAAACGTCAGTATGGTCAGGAAGCTGCAGATTGCAGATATTTAAAAACTCTGAACTTCATTACAAAATGATAATATTGAGCCAAAAATACTATCTATTAAATTAAACAATTATATGACTTTTCAGAAATATTGCAGCAGTTCAGACAGAAATACAAATTTGTAGCAAGGAAGTGAACAGTTTGTTTAGGCCCTTTTGACCATCCTCAGGATGTAAAATCATTTTGTGTTTGCAAACATTTGAAATTCTAGTCAGAAGTTCTTTGGCCAAAGCATTCTTCTACGGCACTCCTTGGCTACATATTGTTTTTCCACTATATTACTATAGGTTTTAAAGAACAATGCACTGAAATTGTTCTGTTAACAGTTGGAAAAGACTAATCTCTTTTATGGGAGAACAAATTCTCAGCGAGATTGGACACTTGACTTTTGTGTCCACAGTGACAGCACATGGATCCAGTGCCATGACAGTCAAAAACATCAAGAGCAGCAAAGAATGAATATCCTGTCCCCACTAAATGGAAAATATTTAGTCTTTACTACTAAAACATAAAAGGAAAACAGAAAGCCATAATCCTTACAAGGTTACAAAAAATGTTAGCTAACTTACCTAGACTTGAGTTGCCTTTTGCAATTGTGATAGTCTTCTCATACATGTTTTTGACTGAATTTGGGATTGTGAAATTTCCCTCCGAAGATATTGGGCATCTCTTCTCCATTAAAAGCAATTGATCCTAACACACAGAAAAATAACATCAGTTCAGAATAATGACATAAAAATATACTTGGTCATACTGATCTCAACTCATCTTAACTTACAAAAAATCTATGTGCATTATAAGACAGATTCCTTACACAGACATTAGAAAAGTCAATCCATCGAAGATCAAACCAAGACACCTAAGGTTTGTGTTTTCATTCAGGCAATACACCAAATCCGTCACAAAGTATATTTTTAATTTAGAGACATCAGTTACATTCCTAAAATTAGTAGGATGAATTCAAGGGCTTCATACTTGTTCATCACAGAAGTCTGACAATCTGCCAGTACTAAAGTAACAAATAATGTAAGAAATTGCAGCTCTTTCAAGAATTTCTTAATAAATCACTGAATGGAATAAATAAGAAACATGTCGCAGTGACTATCACGTAAAGAAAGATTATGCAGCATCACAGGTCAGTTTGTGAGCTGACCTGCATAGGCTAGCACGAACACCATGATGCAAGACATTCATACCACTCCCCCTTGTCTTCCTAGGCCTGTTTCCAGCTGGGCAGCTCCTTCTTGCACTCATGTCCCTGTGAATGTTAACAGGGGATAAGAAAATGCCCCTGTCCTGCCCACTGGGTACACTGTGGTCCTGCAGTATCTAATGAAAAGAGGCGCGAGCAGATTTTTATACATCACTGTATTGCCAGCCTCTAAGAAGCTATTATCTTGATGCCATAAAGTATGTCCTGTGTTGGAAAGGTCTAAATCCTGCAGTTTTGATGTGAGATAACACATCTGATGGACATTACAACCAAAGAACCATGCAGAGCTGTTGCCCAGTGACAATTTCAGTAGGAAATTCTATTGTTTAATAGAGCCTTTCTATGAGTTTTTTTTAAATTATTATTTTAAAAAAATAAATAGCTTTACTTTTCCTTGGGGATCAAGCTGCGTAGTAGTAGCAAGGCTTGTATTTAGTGCAACTTCTGATGCTGTCTGAGATCCAGTCCATGTTGCTGTGTTTTCACTTTCATTTTGATTGATATCCGAAACATCCAGAGGCAGGAGATCCGTTTTGGTAAAACCAGTTGCAGTTTCCAGGCTACTGCCCACTACAGACTTTTGCTCTTTCATTCTCTGATTCAGATCCATGTTGTACAGATTCTTGTCAGATACATGGAAATCAGCTGCAGTATTTTCACATTCCTCGCCAACAGACTGTTTAACACAGGAAACAATGAACAATCACCATTTATTTGTAGTATAATTCAAAAGCATATTTCATGCTAAAACCTTCAACAAAAACTAATCTCACAGAATGCAGACATATATGTTGTACAATCAGTAACAATCAACCTTATCTTTAGTTCCCTATAGGCATTCCTTCTTCTATAAGGTGAACTTGATTTCTTAGACAACTTCTGTTTTAAAATACCAGAAATCAGTGAAAATAAGTTACTACTGAAGGTCAAACTCTAACTTGGTACTCTGCAGTAACTCTCTACTAACTTCAGAAATGTAATGTCCACTCACACATTCTTCAAATAGACATAAGTCCAGTAAGTTTTTAAAATTAAAGTATTCAATTGTTTTTCTCAGGTTAAAGAACTTTGCAAGACCAAGGTCTTTACGTTCAACACACTTAGCAAGCAAGAGGAATTTCAACCAGCTCAGACTATAAAAATGCAATATGATCATTCATTTAACTGAGCAGAAACATATTTACGTACCCTTTTCCAATAAAGAAAAACCAGGTCAAACCTCAGCAAAGAACGAACATGGAGGATTTTAAGTGGAACAACAATTACACAGAATGATGCAGTTACAGCAGCTTACCAGTTAGTACATATCACAAGTCTGCCTTTTGTGGCTGCAGTACTACCATTAAGTTCTCTGCACACTTGTTTAGACTTTCAAGATTCTAAGGCCCTGCCTTTAAAATGTTTCAAGGGATTTCAATAATCACAACACTGAAACAAATCTTCAAATATTCTCTATTTTCAAAGTAGGTTATTTTAAAAACATGGAGGCCATTAGATATTATAAAGATACATCAAGGAATTGGAAATTGGACTTAAAAGGCTCAGTGTCAATACTAGGGATTTTTCTCTGAAATTTAATAAAAGTGTTAAAACTAACTACCTTTATCTGTCTTAGTTGTTACCCACTGATCCTATTAATTCCTCTATCACTTTTCCAAAAAGTTGGGAAACATGTTTCCCAGAATCTGGGCATATTTTGCAATGTTATGTCTCAAGAGTCTCAGAATTAGTTTTTGTCAGCTTTTATTAAGTGCATACATGCATGCTGTGTCCCCAGCCAAGAATCAAAAAAGGTCTACCTGTAAATAAGTGGTTTAAGTAACAGCTGAGAAGATAATTGAGCAAAGCCTAAATACCACTAATCTGTATGATATAATCAGTGACATAATTTCCTATCTTCTTGAGAACACAAGTACCATAATCTATTTAAGTTATTTCATAATGTTTCCAATATAGTTGGGACATACACTTTTAAGTCTGCTTTTTATCCATTTCCAGATCAGTGAAGACAAGCCTCAGATCATACTCAGCATTTATTTCATGTGCCATACATACATATAAGAGTCACAGTATATGTTCATTTTTATTTCTGTTTCACTCAAAGAAAAGCCAATTCTGTATTTTTTGAAGAAAAACACAATTTCAGCAATTTGTAACTACAGTAGTATGTGGCCTGAGCATTTGCATTACTTTAAGTATGCTTTTCATCACCTATTTTAAACATGACACCAAAGTGATATTCAGAACCTGTCAACTGCCCTGCAGCCAGAAACAGCTGAAATACCTCTGCATTCCTCATAGCATCAGATAGCACTGTTTCAATTTTTACTGCATTTCACTTGATTCAAAAGTCTTCTTTTTTGAACAGATTTTCTCATTGTGTTTGTCTTGTGAAGTCACTCTTAACCCCAGAGTACTTGATGAGAACTTAATACTCACTTCATATTGGTGCACAGAGAGCAATACTGAAAAGTCAGGACCATAGGATTTTATCAAAATATAAACCAAAGCCATTTTAAGTCAATGCTGGAAATAGCTTAAGACTATCTAGAGAGCCTCTCAATGCGACAGATAATGTAAATCCAGTCTCTATCTCATAAAATGCTCCTAAGCATGCAGAACGCATAATCCATTTAAGTAACAATTACAGAGTTAAACAATGCAATCTGTCCCACTGGCACTGCAGAGATGTGCTCTTCTGTGGATTAGGAGAAACCATTAGAAGATGAATCTAGCTTTCCAATAAGTGCCTCATAAAGGCTAAACATATTCCAGAAGGGCTAAAAGGAGTTACTGAAGCTCAGGTGTGCCGGAAAAAGCAGCAGCTACTCTATTCAAGTCCAAAGACTGCAAACTGAGGAAGAAGTTTCTACAATGTGACTTTCAAAGATGACTGCTAGGAGAATGGAACTGGAAGGCTCTGGGTTAACGAAATAAATCTTAAGATTGCCAAGAAGAAAGAACATGAAAAACCATGGAGAGAAACAAAACACAAACAATCAAGTCATTATGGGTATGTGACCAGGAACAAATGGCTACTGATCTGTGTAATACTCTTAAATAAATCTTCATTTATTGACTTTAAGTAGGAATTAGAAATAATCAGAGTTTTTATATATACATATTTTTAATTACAGAATCGTTATGAAAATTTCATTCAAAACATACTATGAACCACAAAAGCATAACTTCAGATGAAAACTTACACTTTTTCTCACAGAAAAATACTGTAGAATACAGTCATTTTGTGTTACCACTCTTTACTATGCCTTAAACACAATTAAGTTTTCCTACCGACTGTTCACCACAGCTTTAATACTACAAACATCTCACCATGCTTTACCTGGTTAAATCATGCTTTATCTAAGAAAAATCCAAGCTTTCAGCCTTCTATCTATCTCCCTCTTCAACACAGAGATCTGTAAGACATCAGCCCTACTCCAAACAAAACTTTAACCTAGTAACAAATAGTGCATTTTGAACCAGGATGACATAAAACATTTATATCTAACAATATAGCCTGTTCACACCTATAATCAAAGTTAGTCATCGATGAAACCATCCTCCTTTTTACCTTGGAAGCTGATAATGGAAGAGAGAAGCTGTCGTTCACCTCACCGCTACAGGCACTGTGATGCAAAGCTGAATCCTGGAAGACGTCTCTCTCTAGAGAATACTGTGATTCAAAGGTGGACTCATCTGCTAGATCTGCCTCTCCGGAGTCCACCTAACAACAAAAGCAATTCAATCAGCCAGGCTGTTACCATCACACCACATAAGCCCCAAACACATGCACATCAGCCACTACATACTGACTGACACTTCTCTTGTGTTTTTTTTTTTTTTTTCTTTTTCTCACTCCATGTTTTACACTGAAGTTACACTTGCACAGCACAGCAGGAAAATCTTCTGCTTCAGTAACAATCTGTATTACCACATCTTTAAAGGTTGCAAAGAATATCTGAAGTACAGCAAGAGTCTCAACCAGAATAAGCTGCGGGGCTGAGGCAAGCTCATGCCTGTTAATAGAAGTACAAGGTGTTGGGAGAATTCTAATGTACTCCCTGGTGTGAATATTCGGATTTCTTTAGGGCTTATTTTTATTTTTCTTTTGAATTTTCTGTTACAAAAATTAACATGGAAAAAATAATAAGCTTCACTTGGTGCCACCTCTCAGGAATGTTCTCTCAACTCAACTTATTAGGCTCAGTTATTTTTTATACTGTTTTAAAAACAATCATCTGGAAACTGTAATGTTTTACAGTACATTTATAAGAAAAAATGATTACATGATTTTTAATGATTTTTACATTTGACAATAAGATTATTACAGAAATTTCTACAAGTCTTCTATTCCTCTTATATGAGAAATAAAATTTTTAAAAGAGTTTCGGATATGGGTAGTATTTTTTGCCCTTTCTTTAAAATGGAACACAATCTTTTTTCAAGACTCATATACTTTTAAATCTAGAATAAAATTAAGTCCTAAAAGACCTAGTTTATGGTGCTTCTTAACTACACTTCCATCACAATTTCATCTTCCCTGGTAGAGCTGAAGAAAGTAGCGTATGTTAACAAAACGTTTAGAGCCACAACATACCATAAACTAGGATAAAGCAGACAGGTGCATCCGCCTGCAGAGATGAGACCTAACGTGTTTTCCAGCCCCTCTACTTAATCATATTATGAATTCATTATAGCAAATGTACAATGGCAATAGCAACAATCTGCAGAGATTCAACACATTTATTCCTTTTTGCAGGAAAAAGGATCAATTTTTTTATTATTTCTAGCCTAAAGACTTAACAGCTAATTCAAATTCTTCCTTCACTGGAACTTACTCTCTGCTCATTGTCTGGAAAATTCAGACTAATGTTACCAAAGCTATGCACTAAAAAAAGTATTGTGAAAATTCAGGACAGATCTGTAGAATATGAGTGCTGATCTATCTATGGAAACCAGGATCTCATAAGTGTACTCTGTAACCACATCTTCAACTGGGTGACTGTATATTTAGTTCCATATTCTGCATATTTAATTAGAGAGCTGACAACTCTATTAATATATCATATATTTTTACTGCTTTTTTCATAAGTTTAATTTTTTAAATAGGAATCACAGATGGAAGTCAAGTTTTTTAAATACTTTAGTTTTAATCTGATCTTTTCAACACTTCTTTAATTACAGGTTATTTATAATATATAATGTCTTCTTCATGCTTCTTAATGAACATAATAGGACAAATATTATTATCTAACTACTGTAAAAGGTAACAAACTGTAGACTTAAAACCAGGCAGTCTTGTTTAAAGGTAAGTTATTAAATCAGCTTGTCATTTGCAAGAGTGAAAAAACCCCCAAATCTACTGGAAGTAGTAATGCAGATATTTTCATCCTGGAAGAATCCAGTTTAGGTTTTTGGTTTTGCGGTTTTTTCCTCTTTTTCAAAATAGGAGGGTCTAATGACTTCAGTATCAGATCCAGATCAGTAAAAATAACCATGACTGGATACACTTGGAATATATATAAACCTATATATGTATACAATATATAGATATTCTGGGTTGTGTTTTTTCTTTTGCAGGGGGAAGGGGTTGGAAGGGGTTTTTTTTTGCTTTTTTGTAGAGTCCTATTTCCTGTGTCTTTTTAATCTGAGTTCTTATCGGTAACTTCTGGGCTACGTAAGGTACTGAATGCTCAGGTAAGCCGCATTGTTTGTACAAGTGAACAACTTTTGACCTTGTAAATCTCATAATCACTGACTGATGTTGAAGGCTGAAGAAGATTATTAGAAGGAAGTGTTTGCAGTTTTTGAAGACAGACAGCATTCGTTGCAAGGCTGGATTACATGCAAAAAGAGAGTACCAAAAATTTTCAAGGAAGAGAAATGATACACAGGAAAATAAGCACATGAACATTTCTCCATATAAGGTGAGCTTTTCAAGGGAATGCTCAGTGCATGCAAGGAGCTGTGGATAGCCATGCACTTTGGAAAACATCAGCAAAATACTTTTTTTCCCCCAGCAATTAATGTATCATAGTTTCACAGCTCATGCAAACATCTCTAGATACCAGTTTCTACCATTTCAGGATCCATCCTACCTATGGTAGATGAGTATGTGGTGAGAGTAAACACTAAAAAAAAAGCATGAATAGTGAAAAAGCAACTCCTTTCATTATAAAATGCAAAGACTGAAGAAATTTTTGGTAATTTGGGCCACTAACCAGAGCCAGCTCAGCATGGAAGAGGGCTGCATCAGCTGGCCCCTCCTCCTCAAGTGACTGGGCAGTGTAGAAAAAGCAATCTTCCTTAGCAGAGACATAGCCCTCCTCAGGTGAAAGCTGCAGAAAGAACGAAGCTCTGAGTCGGATGAGTGGCCTGGACACAGGAGGTGCAGAGTGCATTCTGGGGGAAGGGGGCAGGGGGTGTTTAGAAAGGCAAATGGATTCCAAATGCAGCAGAGTTCATTTCAGTCATAGTCACAGTATCGGGCAGGTAAAGAGACAATTTTTTTTTTCAGATTTACTGGACTGATTCAGCTTCACACCTCATTTTACAACCCCAAGTAATGAAAAAGGCCTATCCAGGTATATCACAGAGCCCATAGCTTAGTCTAACCTCATTTTCCACTTCTGCTCCTAATAAAGATGTTCTAAAACTGTCACCACAGCTGCCACCAGAGAAAGAATCTAACAGTAGAGGTCTAGAAATTCTTGCTAGCCACAGAGCAATCTTATTTTCAGGCAGTAAGACTTCATCCAGTGTGTTTTACTATTGTATCTGCCAGGTGGAACAGCCTCTAGAGGACAAAATATCATTCTGATTACAAACCAATAGCTTTTTCCAACATAATTTGATGGTAGGTGTATTTATCCAGTCCCGCAAAAAAACAGTGATTATTTGCAATGTTTAATTACTTGGCAAGCATAATACATGAAATACTGAAGTGCAAACGCTGAATGTTTACAACTGTGTGGAACAAAAACAAAACCCCCATGCATTTTCTCTTTTAGAGTGAAATCTTCAGTACAAAATTTTTGACTTGCAGGACACTTCTAAATATAGTCTCCACTACAAAAAAGGAATTTACCAGATCAAGTTAAAAAGTGCCCTCTTACTACGAAAAGCAAAGTTTCTAGGGACTTCAACAATAGCCATTCCCTCCCACTCTCTCCATAGAGACCTACTAAGAATGAAAATTTGGTATCTGCATCCACAAGGATTACAAGGTTATCAATTCATGAAAAGCAAAAATGAACCTCTACTTGGGCTTGCTTACAAACACAGAAAGAAGTGAATGAATTGATGCCATTCTACTGGTTTGAATTTAGCACACCAGGGACATTAGTCCACTAGCAGCCTTACTGATAGATTTTCTTGGTCACCAGAGGTCTCATTTAACCTCCTCTTTTGAATTGTTACAGATTACTGTCTAAAATCAAGCCTGAAATAACCAGTTAGACGTATACAAACTGAAGACTACACACTATTACATAAACAAAGTGTGCAGTCTAAATATAAAGACTGCATATATACTTGCAAAGAAAAGGAATAGGTAAATTCCAGGCAAACCACAAAAAACTTTATGTTCCCATCTGCCACATCCAGAGAACCATGCAAAGTGTACAGCGGTCAAAATTATGCCTGTCAGCTTTCAGTCCTAATAGACTCTGCTGGTTGCAAGATGTTTTGCTGTTTTCTCAGCTGCAAGACAGGTGTGCTAGGTCCTGCAATCACCATAGCAGTCATACACCACCCAGGCCACTCCTACATGCAAGGAAGTAATTGAACCACTCAGCTATACCCAAAACACGCAAAGTGTATGCAGTAGACAGGATCAGCATGTGCCAGCTTAAATTACAGGAAAAGCACCCATTGAATTCCCAAATCCTTACAGGCAGTGGTTTGGCAACTCCTATTTTAACTGTTCCCACTGGAGCTCCTTTCAGTGCTTGTACTGCTTCCTCCAGGCTGCCATTTTCCAAATTGATATCGTTGACAAACATAAGCCGATCTCCAGGAAGAAGTCTGCCATCTTGCTCAGCCACACCCCCAGGAACTAACGAGCGAATCACAATTACAGTGTTTGCTGGATCAACAGGATCCTAATTAAATAAAAGGAAGAAAAGCATTTAATTTCATTTACTCTTTTATGTCTTGAGAGGCAATTTTTTATTTATGAACTTTCATTAACCCAAGGGAGTTGGATTATTAAGAAGCTGGAGCTCTCCTCCAGATGAACCCTCAACAGGAGCAAACTCTCCTGTCCATCCTGCCCATACATTTAGACTTCCACCTATTTTTAATTTTTCAATGTGAAAGTTATTAGTCCTTCCTAGGTGATGTCCCACCATGTATCTCCAGTATAAAGTATTACTAAATTGCAGAGTGTTGGCTGTACACATCAAAATTTAAATACTTCCTACTGCAATGAGAGTGTTGCAGACGCCACCCTCCTTTACACTCAATGGTCTGAGGACACAGGCGGGCAATGCAGGCTATGGCAGAGGTAACATATGTATTCTAGTGCAACAAAGGACTTATATTCAATAACTCTCTTATACTTCATGGCACCAGATCTTGCTCAACTGAGAAAACACTTTTGAAGAGGCAAGTTCTTGCATGTGACTAATTAAATAATTTATGTGAGAGAGGAACATACCGATACAGCACTCTAATCAACAAGACAAAACAAAGTGGTGGTTGCTTTAATAAAAACAAACTTGTTTTGAAGTCCCCATCCTCCGGTGGCCTTATTTTTATAAAAAAGCTAGCATCAAATATAAGTAACTGGAATGCATGTTTCTGTCATAGCCATTTATCACAGGTGCAAAACATTTGTGTGATTCTTACAGCACTACATTTACAAGGCACATCATGTTAATAATTCCAAGACACAGTTCACTTGAATGCACACACAAAAAGAGGACCCCAAGAAACATCATCATGTAACAGCTTTACTGATAGCAAAAGTAAGAGAAAACCAAACATCCACAGACACAAAGCTGTAACGAGTTTCCATGCCAAGACGTACGTTTGAAAAGATGGACAGCATCAAGGCAACATGTAAAAACCGCAGAAATTGGGAGACTGCTGAAAGCTGGTGTGAGAGAGAAGTGTTGAGGGAGGGAAGGAGAAATGGAGGGAAGGACACTGAAAAGAAGTGTCCTTGCTGGCAGTTAATGAAGAAGAATGCCATGGAGCAACAAAACACTTCACAAGTGGAAATATAACTAGCATTGCTGGAGATAGAGCTTGAGCCTGATCACTGAAATCTTCCTCACTATTTTAACAACAGATAATTACACTGTCACTTTAGATGACACTGCATGTCACTTTTTTTTTTTAAATAAATATCTCTCTATGTGACAGTCTTTTTTAGGGTAAGAAATTACGCAGACTTTTCTACAGGCCTGCCATTGTATAAAAAAGGAGGAATTTATTAGTATGACTGTAACTGTCCTTAACTGTAGTCACTGTTTATTGAAAATTAATGGAAATTTTGAAGAAAACAGTAAAATACAAAGAAAAATCTCACTGTAAATTTATTGCTCACACTCTCAGATGAGGGCAGAAACTTCAGTGACAAACTGAAATTTGTTTACAGCATGTCAAAGAAGAGAACAATACTATAACATCAAAAAAAAGGTAAGATTCAGAAAACCAACTAAAGCTGTAAGATAGAACCAAATTCATATTTGAAAAACATATTCACCAATTTAAAGCAGTTCCCACAACCCTTTAGTACGATTATCCATCAACGTAATTCAGTGACTTAGCACATATGCACCCACCATTTGTGTTAATGCTCAGAAGAGGCTGAAGCGAAAATATGCTTTACTGTGTACTGACACAGACTTCAAATACTCCAGCTCAGCTATGACACCTCACTGCAGAGCACCATGAGTAACATATTAGAGATCAGTCATTGGTTCATAAAATAGACACTTGACTATGCCTTTATCCTTCAGCTTATTACAATACACTGCTCTTCACTTTTATCAGTGTGCAAATGCAAAATCTAAGGCATAAATTAATTCTAAGCAGTACCCAGGAGGCATAATTTCCATCCAGAAGTGATCTCCAGATGTAAATCCATATACTCCTAGGGACGAGATCCAGCAGAAACCTAGAAGGAGACTGGGTCTTTCACCACCACAAAACAGCTCACCAAAAGCCTATATCGACCACAGTATAGGGAGAAAATACTTGTGGTCAGATTAAAAGGTATCCACTGGACAACTAGGAACAGAAGGAACATTCCTTTTGGGATCCTGACCAAGTGTAGCCAAGAGACAGGCACTGACCTGTTCACTGGAACACCAAGAATCATAGCTTAGATATCCAGGAATTCTGAAGTCAAATACAAAGTGAATGGGGGTGTTTAAGCACGTCCTGGACAAACTGCAGCTAAGCAGGGGATTTCAGAATTGCAGTTCTGGATTTTAGTAAATCCTGCTTTAAGCACCTAAGTCCTTTATTAGATCTTGCCCTAAACACCTCACTGCAGGTGCAAAATGCATGGCTAAATGCCTGAATATTCTGGCTACATTGTTCATTGTCCCTGGGTCACTAGAAGACAACTTTCTGAAGACCCAATTATACAACAGATTATCAATTTTTCTAGAATCAGTATTACTATCATCATTAGAACCCGCAGTCTTAATACAGAAAGAAGAATGTGTAATGCAATTAGTGGGATGCCTACCAGCAGTGATTAATTTTACTCTATTGCTTGGTTTCCATTAACATTAACCCTTACAATATATATTTAGAACACACTGTAAGTTGTAAACAACATAAAGTATTTTGTCCTCTATTCAGACAAGTGCAGAAGTTACCTGATAGTCCAATATGCTAAATCCAAGCCCCATACTCCCTTTCTCCAGCTCAATGTTCTGCACTTCTGTTTCCCACATTGCCAAAGACGAGCTTTGCACCTCTTCCATACTCTGACCCTCATCAGCTGCTTCCAAAGCTGTTCCCTCTGTGTCTGAGGAGCCAATGAATCCAAGTTCTATGTGAGCCTGAGAAAAACAGTAAATGTTTACCAATAAAATCTAAACCCTTGTGAATATGCAGAGACAAAACTCTGTTTATGAAAAAAAAAAAAGATCAAAATTAAGTGATGTATCTCTAGACACCAAGGAAGTGCAGGCACTCAGCGGACTGAACAAACAAGTCTGATAAACCTAGCACAGAATTCACATATCCTTTTAACAAAATAGCTCTGCTGTAAGTATATGAAAGCACTCAGAGGAAAAATTTTTACAAAATGGAATTCCTGTCAAATGAAAAACTTCAAAAAGCTTCATTAGAACATGCATTCAAATATACAGGAAATACCTGTATGTCTAAACTGTGATTTCATTAAACATAGTAATACTGACAGTAGTCAGAATATTCAACAAACGAAAAAAATACACTCATACATACACAGACATCTATGTTCTTCACTTGGTTTCATCGAAAAGCTTAAAACTATAAACTGAATTTGGTGCCTTACCCAGAACTCAAAATTAACTGCGTCCCTTTTCATACAAATGTTATTGCTTTGTATACTACACTGTAGGCCATTCCTATTTGTTTAATTCATCAGACTGCTCAGAGCTCCACAATTATGAGTGACAGAAGCATCAACTGAATGCACACAAAGTTCTGTGCAACACAAACCCAGAAAGCAAAGTTCAAAACCAGAATAAATATATTCAGATTCTAAAGAACACACAGTTCAGTTTTCCATATCCCCACCTCTCACCTACAGAACAGGAGTACATTACTCAGATAGACAGCCCTGTATCCAAGAATATTTCTAATCATGACTAACCATTACCATCTTCTAGTGGCCTAAATAATGGTTGATAAACATAATTTGCCTTTTCCTATTTGTCCTACAATATTAAAACATATTTCTAATCTTGTAGAAGAAGAACATCTGTTTCTTTCTCAAGGAAACAGTCATTTTCAGTGATCTTTCAAAGACACAGTACCTTTTCTGTAAGCTGAACGTCGGATACACTCAGACTCTCTAGCACTTCTGGTTGAGTGATGGGGGGAGCTACTGGACGACAGCACACCATAGTCACCTTAATAGGCAGTTCTTTCAAGATACTGACCACATCCTTGTGGTTTTCCCCAATCAGAGAGATCTCATTCACCTCAATGAATAAAGAATACACATTGGTTGGAACTACACAGAATATTTAGAACAACAATGAACAAAAAAAGCCCCAAAAACCTCAACTCACTAATCAGATCATTAAAAAACCCAAGAAAAATTCCTGTGCTAATAGACACTGTCAACCCTTAATTTCTATTCAATTCAGTGTTCAGAATCACCACTAAGATAACTACTGAACTGAATGAACAGTCTTATAAAGATTTTATGACACCACCCTACAAACACCACATACTCTGCAACATCTTTTGCATTCATGTAAACAAAATTCACATTTTAATTCCGAGAAAATAATTTAGAAAAATAATCCAGTGTTCTGTACCTTCACTGTGTAGGGACATTCCTATTAAATCCTAATGCTTTTGCTAGATATTCTTATTTTGTGACTGTCCTGGCTTCAGTGGGGATAGAGTTCATTTATTCTCAGTAGCTGGTGTAGTGTTGTGCTTCGGATTCCGTATAAGAATAATGTTGATAGCACACTTGTGTTTTGATTGCTGCTAAGTATATTTATCCTACGTAAAGGACTTTTTGGTGTCTCGTGCTCTGCCACTGAGGAGGCATAAAAAAGAAAGAGCAGCTCCATGGTACTTAATTGCTAGCTGAGCTTAAACCACGACACAGACCTTGAACTGCATCTGAAAATCCACTACCAGCTGAGAAATTAAAGTAGATATATGCTTTCACACAAACAGAAGTTCATATGAAGTGACAGCTCAGCCACTAACTGGTATGCAGTTAGATATGCCACATTCCCAAGGTCATAACCCATGAGAAACAACTTACTGCTCAAAAACCTCACTGAATGCAGACTAAGTTAAGGTAGTATTTTTTCTTACTTCCAGCAATTCATCTCCACTGAACAGCTTGCCACTTCGTCCAACTGGCCCCTCCGGTAAGATAGATCTGATGAAATGATGTCCGACTGTAGCTTCAAGGCTTATCCCTAACCCACTGCTTTCACTAAATTTGTTAACTACAGCCACCTAAAATAAGATTAAGAAACAGTTATATTTGATGTATTTACAGCCATACCTGTTACTTTCCATTTCAATTTACAAATTATGAGGTCAATATTCCAGAAGTGAGAAACCACAAGTCCTGTGATATGTAACAGTGACAGTCAGGTAAAAACTGAAACTTTGATCACACACCACTTCACAATACACAAGTGAGAACTGCTTATGATAATAATATATCTAATAATACACACTTCTGCAGACACTACACCTATGGCATACAATTTTGCTGTAGCTTCTAAACTCAGATACCGCTTTTCACCTGTATCTACAGTATATGTTCTATGTATTTTTTATATCATTACATCAAACCATTTATTCAGTATGCGGAATGGGTATGAAACTTCAAATTCTAGCTAATGAAGGGAGCTTTGAATTTCACCTTAAATATTACTTTTTTTCTATAATACACACTTATTCTCTTGAAGTTAGGAAATTGGGAAACAATATTTATAGGCACAGCACTCTAACAAGCCTATGATTGTTTAGCAAAAGACAGGAAAATGTATATTCTCGTACAAAAATTATATAAAAAAAAATCTCAACAGACTAAGGGGCATATGTGTAATTTTAAATAGAATTTACCTACCACTATTTCATAATTCGAACCCATAATCCTCTGCCACTTCATCTTTGTAGCTTCTTCTTCGGCAGTAGTTAGCTGGAAATCTAAAAATTATATCTGAGATTACTGTGACAAAGAACAAAACAACTAGTGTATTCCTATAAGTGACAAAGTATATGGAACATACAAGATGATACAATCCAGACCATAAAAAATGTCACAATCATTCCCATGATGTCAGAACTCTCCTAAATATGACTAAAAATTTGGCATGTTTTGTGTCACCAAGCTTGGAGTTACCCAAGGAAAATCTTCAAAATACTGTTAGATTCCAACCCTGCAAAACTAACTGGGTATTTTGAAAGAAATGAAGTTCACAGCTGGGGAAAAAAAGGACAAATATTAAAATTAGCACTAGAGTTGAGTGAATCTATTGCAATTTTTAAAGATAATAGGCACAAAGAAAATGAAAAAGTTGCATGCATGCCCTGGGCATGTGTTAAATCAGCCCAGTATGTGGGCTGATTAGATTGATTCAGGGAGATGGCTGAAATACTGAAAAATGTAGACTGTATACTAATCCTTTTGGACAGACACTACATTTTAGAGAGCGTGCACATATGTGCACACACACAACAGCTAAAGAGCAGCAATGAACTTGCAAAGAAAAGAAGGGGACAAAGTAATTGATGTGGTGAAAAAAACAGTGACAGACTAGGCAACAAACTATGGCAACTCTTGATTGAAAGTTTATCTGCAGGCTGAAAAAACTGAGAAATGCTTTCTTCCTGCTCATTTTCCCCTCACTCACATCTCTAGGCTCTATCGCAGGAAGAAATAAAAAGCAGTATTTAGATACAAAAGCCAGCATATTCAAGATCCATGCTCTGGACTGTGCCTACAGTAAATACCCAAATAAAATCTTAAGATCTGAATGTTCATCACAGGCAAAGACAAGAATTTTCATCAAAAGGTTCCTAAATCCCGCTGATTCTAGTAAGAATATAAAATGTCTAACAGCCCTGAACAGCCATTGCTTGGAAACATTACTAAATATAAAGCCAAATGTTATATGGCATTCAAATAGGACAATACTTTCCCCAAAGCAGAGACCCAGCCGTATCTGAAGGAAAGGCATTAAAAAGAAATTCCTTCAGCTATCCAAGATAATAGAAAGCATGAATTATGAGAAGATACACATCACAAAACTTATCAGTTCCCCTCTTCCTCTGGAAGAAGGAATATGTTATAAAACATGCCCCGTGCATCTTAATCTGGAAAACATATCATCACATATGACTTCTGAAATTCAAAGCAGTGTTCTAAGAGCTCAAGAGAGAACAATAATACTCATTAGAAAGTAAGAATTTCTACAAGGAGTATGGGAGAAGTCAGAAAATATCAGTGCACCAGAACTGACTGAATTTCAAACATTACCAGAGAACACAGATGGAAATTAATGCAAGCTCAGGAATTCGTGACAAGGAAGTTTATCAGAAGAGGTAGAAGTCTTGGAACTGTAGCTGGAAAGATGCTGACAATTTGAAAGATAAAGCGTATTGGGGAATGAGGAGGAAAAATGGGGTTTTTTCCCAGACTAGACTAAAAAGAGTAGTTACACAAAACCAGACTAAGAGAGGGCTGAGCAAGTGGCAAAAGCAGACTGCTTCTTATGACATCTTTGGCATATAATTATTTTCAGATACATACAGTAGTCATGATCCTACAGCACTCATAATCAAGAGTACATGATTAAATGTATAACTACTTCGGCTTTCTAGTTCTATCTCAGCTAAACAAGACACAAATGGAAAGACACAAAAAACACCTGATCTTAGTGTTAGCACACACAAGTACATCTCCATAGAATAAAACATTAAACCTTGAGAACCTGTCTCCTGTTGTTTCATGTCATCTCCAATATTTACCACACTTGCACTGCATGGCAATGATGGGGATCCCTGTTCTGTTTCACTGTTATCTGGAAAAAAAGAAGAAATCTTTTCAGCTATTTTATGTTGTAATATTCATCAAGCTCACAGGTATGCTTCAGGGCATCTACTCTCTCTTCCATTAGACTTCAGAGTATCCCTATTTGACAAATGGAATCTGGCATAGGGGGCCCAGAATAAACATCACATTTCAAAGACATTGTCTCTCCTATTAATGCTTTGCCTTCTTCAGAGAGTTTTCAATGAAACAAACAAACAAACAACAAACAACAGAAAAGCAAAACTACCAGTACCTGCATTTCTATGACCAAAAGAAAGTATATCAACATCCTTTAGAATTCTTGTATTAACTTTTTGTTTGTTTGTTTTCTTTCATGCAATTCAGGAATTTGACACTGAAAACAAAAATGCTACAGACTTGAAGACTTGCATAACTGACATACTTTTCATTTGCAGAAAACCTGTGCCACAAAGTTCTGTTATCTATGTTGCTGACTGTCAGACATCTTGAACATCTATCGGCTGGAGAAACAGCACTGAGTATTTTGTCTGTACTTTTTGCTAAAGGTGGGAGTGAGAGGATGACATACAGATAACATACTACTGGGTGTTTGAAAATCTTGCACAGGGTGAGGATTAGGCTACAGTTGATGAATTGTGACGTACTTCTACTGACACCAAACTATAACACAAGTAGCTGTTTGTGCATCCAGCCTCCATGCAGCTACCCTGTGTTCAAGCACACTGACTTACAATATCTGGCACATATACTTCAATATGTGCAGAGTATATAAGATTAAGCTTCACTGATCTCATGTCATCAGCAGCAAAATTAATACTGGTCTTTAGCTTCTGAACATTGTACACGCACATCAGATTATTAATAACCTCTAGATACAGGCCACTCCTCTTGTACCCGGAGATTGTGATATGCAAGAGTGAAAGGAGCTGAGATTTGCTTTTGCTCATTGAGGAGGCTGCCTCTCTGCTTGCTTTTGAATGCAGCTTTCACTCTTGAGCATGAATAAAAGATTTGCTACCTTCTTGCCATTTGAAGATTTGCAGGATCAAAATCTCAAAGCAATTCAGACAGAAGTGCAATGCAGAGCAGAAATTTCAACACTTGATTTGAAAATGTAACAAATAATACCACTATGTCCACAAGATTAATCAAACCATAGTAGACCCCACTATGCCCTCATGTGCAGCAGCTCTCCCAGCAGTAATAGCTACCCAGAATAAATCTAGCCAACCTAGTTTTAATTACCTTTGGCTGTGCTACTATCCTTTGTTTGGAACTGTAAGTCCTTTTCAACAGGAGCATTGAAGTCCTCCTGGGGCGGAATATGATTTTCCTGCTTAAGACCTCTTCTGATCAAAGTGAGCCGAACCGTTTGTCCTGTGTGCCGCAAAACGTCAACTGCTTGCTGGTTAGTAAACCCCTGAAGATTTGTTCCATCCACCTGCAGGATCAAGCAGCTTTTCAGTCCACCCAAAAAAAAAAGTCCAGGGCAAAATACTATGGTGAGCTCTCAGCATCTGTTAGCCTGCGCACAAAGCAAGCGGAGGGGCAAGAACAAAACCTGTATGACTTAGCAAAATTGGATATGCTAAGCATTTCCACTGGAGTACCACACAGCTCAGTGACAATCAGCACTACAGCAAAGAGAGGGGAAGTGCTCCAGGTGCCCACAGTGGTGCAGCCAGGCAGATTGGCTCTGCAAAGTGGGAGAGGACACAGCATGTGCTGAGCAGGGTACATTGTGCAGTCTGCCTGCTTGACCACTTCAGCCATCTCTACCTCCAAGGAGAAAATGCTGGGTGAATAAACCAGCACAGCCACGGCTAGGAGTGCTGGTGACACAAGGGTTAAGGAAAGATATATCAATCCACGGTGGTAGAAAGAACTACAGAGTGCAGTCATTCTGAGGCCAAGGAACCTCAGATATAGTAACCTCTACTACTGAACACCATGAAGTCCCATTTCCCAATCAAACACTGTCAAAACTAACCAGATGTTATTAGTGGTTCATCATTTTAATATTTTAAAGAATAAGATTTTGGCCAACACTGTTTGAAACTATCTCATTAACTCATTAATTCAGAGTTTTTTTATGGAAATCAAAACTTCGGCATGGCTCAATTTCATCCCATTATCCCTAGCACACACCCCATTTTATTCTTCTCCCTGCAAACTCTGTAATATTCTATTATTTCTCAATTTACCCTTCTGTGCCTTAAATTTCTAAAATACTTCTAATCGTACTATGTTCCTGCAGCTTTTTCTGTCTATCTACACAACACACATATTTCATTATTTTAATTGCTCCTCTATGAAGAATGAATCCCCCTGGACTCTTAGTCATCATGTTGTTCTTCTCTTAACTTCTTCCACCTCTGGTGCTCTTCTAAGTCTAAAGTAACCAAAAATCAGATGGGGTTATTTTTTCTCCAAGCTTAAGGAAACCATATTTAGGAAGTGTTTATTATTCTTTTGTCTGAGATCACTCAAATAATTTTCTTCTTCTGCATTTGCAGCAGAAGAAGCAAACTGCAACGAACAAGTTCAGCCATCTGTACTCAGCATGTAAATCATTACTAAAACATATATACTTCCACAAACAAATATTCAGGCACATATAGAGAGAGACAATAACTTGTTCTTAGAGCTGCCTAAGGAGGTATCTATGAGAGACACAAAAATGCACTCCCTGCATTCATGACCTCATTTTCACTACACAAAAAACATTTTATGGATGAAAGTATGTTCTTTTTTTCTCTGAGCACCTAAAACTTTAATAACATACTTTTAAAAATAATTTTGAAAAGTTGGGCAAATTTAATCAAACTTCAGAACTTTGCACTTACTAAGCTCCTACTGACAAGATACACACATACAATAGAGATTTTTTAAAGAAGTCCAAATGTGGATAGCATAATCAAAAAGATAATGTGATCAAATATTTTTTCAAAAAAGGACTCATCATTTCAACAGTAACCCTAAGTATTTTAAACAAGTAATAAATGAGCATTTTTTTACAACTTAAGCAGAATTTCACAGACAAGTGATCTCGCTTCTTTCTGTGTTTACTTACAACTATAATTTGATCTCCCACATGGATTCTGCCATCATGTTCAACAGCACTGCCCTTTGTAATGCTTTTCACAAAGATACCAGAAGGTTCTGGGATGAAGAAACAGGTAAAATTACATTAACTAATTTATTAAGAAACAATTTAAATAATGTAACAATCTCTAACTAATGGCATCAATCAAAGAGAGGAAAAAACCACAACCCACAATCTCAAATAATGATAAGAAAATAATTATGAAGAAAAGTAACGATTAAAGTAAAGCATAGATATTAGTATTTTCCTAAAGGATGAACATTATTATTGTTGGCTTGCATTGGACCAGATTTCATTCAAAATCTTAAAATGCCAAATTCACAATTCTTGCGGCAAAACAAGAAATATTCCAGCTTACTTAAACCTAAATGTTGAAACCAACATCAACAATGAACATATCTCTGACTTTTGCCAAATTTGGACAGAAAATTCAGCCTGAGTATACTAATCTGGTAAACTCCGAACTTTCTACGTACTTAGGAGCTGCTTAAGAAAATGCATGTTTGGATAGTCAAATCCAGAAAATTATAAGCAAACAGGACTACAACTTAGATTTGAACCAGCTTTTAAGTACAGCTACCAGTATTAGATAAAATTAGACACAAAATTAAAAAAAATCCCCAAAAATACAAAAAAGCCAAAAACTAACAAAAAAATCCTAACAGAACTATCTAATAACTAGACAGTTACTAATTTCAAATCAGAAGGAAAAGGAATATATAGAGAACATCTACTGAAGGGACATTTTACTAAAAGAAATCCATTTTAGGAGAAACACACTTGCCTGTGAAACAATTTTAACAGCTCAATAAACTGAAAATCTATGGAGTTCCTACATGCACGTTTGGCACAGCATACATGAAATTGAGAAAAGTAACAGCATACACAGGCATGAAATCAGGTCTGACAGTCACAGGCCTGCAACACTGATATCAGAAATCTTAAAAGAATCCACTTTCTCTCAACAAATGTTCCCATTCTGTTAAATGAATGTGTTTGATATGAAGATAATTCACTACAAAATGCATTCTAAAAGTTGTCAGATCCTTTACAGACTTGAATTTTACTGGTCCTCATTATAACAGAAGTTAGCAGGAAAGAAGGCTAATGATTCAATTCAGTTTAGGAAAAACAAGACTATAAATATATTAAAGTCACATCATTCACAAGTCTCTTTTTTTTTTTTTTTTTTAAGCTGCTGTTTCCACCCACAGGCTGGTCTTACTGAATTCCAGGCATTCTTATATCCTCTAACAGCTGTACATAACCCAAATGGCTAATGTATTACCTTGTAAGAGTCTTTTAAAAATGAAAATGTAACTTCAAAAGCCCAGCTAGTTCTAACAAAGAGGGCTCAACCTATTTTAGAACTGTTTTTCAAAAACATATAAGCACAAGCTTTAGCCAAAAAAAATAAAATTTGATGTAAAAACAGAGGTGGGATTCTATAATAGCACCAATTGCTTTTATTCCAAATGTCCTTCTCACAAAAGGAAAACAACGCTTTTTCCTTTACAAACTTTAAATAGATTTTTATATTGTTAAAGGTTCTTTTAAGAGATACTATACCAAAACTACGTCTTGAATGCATATACACAATAGTATGCAATAGATTGTATAGTGCAGAAATTGACCATTACCTGATGTTTTATCTCCAATGTAACCAGCAATAGTTATTCCTAAACCCTGGTTGTTTTTAGTAAGTTCAACATTAAATTTCTCCCCATCTTCACAGCCATCAATAGAAGCATCTGTCTAATAAGAAAACAGTGATAAGAAATGAAGCTTTTTTTCCTTTAAAAATCCTTCACATTCTTTAAAGTCATTAACACATAAAATTTGATTCAAACATAAAAAAGGAAGTGCAAACTTTCCTTATACTCTTTGCTGGTCACCAGAGAAACGAGAAATAGATTGACACTCCTCATGATGGAGCAATACAGGGCAGATCATGTACTTTCCACCCCACTGCTCCAGCATATTACCTCTAACCTATAAAATCATTATTTGATGACTGAGTGGTGAGATTTGTACAAATTGAATTATTAATTTCTTGTACAATAGGTTACACATATATGAATATGGAACTTGCTGCTATTCTGGCACCTCCTCAGAACCAGCTTTAGATGTCTGCATTATTAAAAAGAAGAAAAAAAATCATAATTCTATTTTGTATTCTATTTGTTTAAATTTCTGTTCAATAACTATAGCTATGTTTTTTAAACTTGTCAAGTTTAAATTATTCTAAAAGCTACAGTTAGGCAATTACATTTCTTGCTTTTGAAAGACTTAAAAATTGGGTTTTAGTAAGGTGTAATTATACTTCCAGCTACTTAAATAATTAGTCTCTGTTAATGTCCACTATAAGCCTCTAAATTTCAGTAACAAAGGATTTGAGAACAAATAAATAATTTATTTACTGTTAATGGAAGTAAAATACATATTAAAATCCCATTTTAACAATAGTGACTTTGTAGTAAAAGAAAAAAACTACTTATAAAAATTAATTTCAACTTTAAAATTTTGGTTTTAAATTTTTCATCTTTCAGTTGTCAGATAGTTTCTAGCAATTTCAATATCTGATATATATCACTATATGATTACACATAGAAGGCTTTAATTTCATTGTACTTATATGGGTATCAATATTTATGCATACATTTAAAATGGGATTTCATAAAACAAAAATCCTTCAAGATCCTGGTATACTCTTCTTTTATTCTGTCCTTTCTGTATGTCAAGAAGCAGCTAATATTTTTTAAAGTGCCACTATGGCAACCAGGCAGATACTAATCAAACCCAATTTGACTAGGTAAGTATGTATGTGCCTAAAAAAAGGAGACTTCAGGAGAGCTGTGATGCTACTTGCCAAGAGAATCTAATTTCAGTTCTTTACCTGAACAACTCCAACCAAAACCAAAATTAGGCACAAGAAAAATAAATCGCTACTGCATTTATCGTCTTTCTACTTGATAATACAGGATTACTTTGGCCAGAGGTAATACCACTAAAAAACTGATCCAATTTCTATAACCTCAAGAATTTTTACAGGATAGACATCTACAGGTGACCATGATGAAGTGGTCATTTTGAAAAGCCATTCTGCTCTCAATATTAACTGTAAGAGCATCTTGAAGTCTTCATCCACACTATATCTGATAGGAAGAAACTAACAAACCAAGCTGTTTGCATCATCTTCACTTCAGTCCCGAATCAGTAAGTCTTGCACAACCATTAACAAGGTGCTCCTTCCAAGAAAAAGACTTTGTATACGCAGAAGTTTAAAAATAGCCCTACCTTCTGTCAGAAGAGATGTACCAGGAAGAAGGTATTGAAAAGTAAAGAATGTAAGCAAGGTGCCAAAAAATTTAAATTCTGCCCCTTGGCTGCTTTGAGCTACCTTCCTCAGTACTAGAAATCTTATACATCCCGCAGCTGCAGACACTTCCCTCAACATTGCATCATATATTGGTGGTGAATGGTGTTATTGATCAGTTACTAGTGGTGTCCCTCAGGGATCAGTGTTGGGCCCAGTCCTGTTTAATATTTTTACTGATGATCTGGATGAGGTAACTGAGTCTATCATTAGCAAATCTGCAGATGACAACAAGCTCAGAGGGAGTGTTAATCTGCTGGGGGGTAGGAGGGCTCTGCAGAGGGACCTGGACAGGCTGGATCAATGGGCCAAATCCAGTGCTAGGAGAGTCAACAAGGCCAAGTGCCAGATCACATGCCCTTTGGCCACAACAATCCCATGCAGCACTACAGGGTGGGGAAAGAGTGGCTGGACAGTGGCCAGGCAGAAAAGGACCTGGGAGTACTGACTGGCAGGAAGCTGAACATGAGCCAGCAGAGTACCCAGGTAGCCAAGAAGGCAAATGGCATCAGGAATATGTACGTGGCCAGGACCAGGGAAGTGATCCTTCCCCTGTACTCAGCCTGGTGAGGCCACACTTGGAATGCTGTGGACAGTTCTGGGCCCCTCAGTTCAGGAAGGATATTGAGGTGCTGGAGCAGGTCCAGAGAAGAACACCCAGGCTGGTGAAGGGACTTGAGCACAAGTCCTGTGAGGAGAGGCTGAGGGAGCTGGGGTTGTTTAGCCCAGAGAGGAGAAGGCTCAGGGGAGACCTCATCACTCTCTTCAACTCCCTGAAAGGAGGTTATAGCCAGGTGGGCGTCGGTCTCTTCTCCCAGGAAACAAGGAAGAAAGACAAGAGGGCACAGTCTTAAACTGCACCAGGGGAGGTTTAGGTTGGATATCAGGAAGAAGTTCTTCACAAAAAAAGTGATTGGACATTCCAATGGGCTGCCCAGGGAGGTGGTGGACACACCATCCCTGAAGTTGTTTAAGGAAAGTCTGGATGTAGCACTTAGTACCATGGTCTAATTGACGTGGTGGTGTTTGGTCGTAGGTTGGAATCAATAATCTCAGAGGTCTTTTCCAACCTAGTTGATTCTGTGATAACCTCAAAAAGGCAAACACTGAAGAAATATACACAGATAATCAAATTCAGCTTTTGTTTTGAGATTCATATTTTTCAGACAATACTAGGGCTAAATATGGATCCTCTATCTAAAATACAGAGAGGTTTTATGTCTGAGTGCTGTCAAGACACAAAAGTACCAGTTTGTCTCTCCTGTTAGACGCTCAGAAGCCTCCATGTTAAGATAAACTTTCTTTGCCTTATAGCCACAAAAGAGGGGATGTTTCTTTTTCACAGATACCACTACAATGGACAGGGGCAAAATTTATCATCCATAAATTTTTATGGCTTTTTTTCTTCTGAAGTGACCTGTTTGAAATCTAAATTGTAACTGTGAAGAAAGTAAAACAAGAAATCTTTCAAGGCCTAAATTCTATACAGCTGTAGGCTCAAAACCACTGAACTTTTTCTTCTCTCGTTAATTTACTCCACATACTCACATTTAAATGTATCTGATCATAACCACATGTGGACAAAACAGTACTGTTCCTGGCTCTTTTGAAACCAGACTATGCTACAAACATGCAAATAACCTATTTTGTAGAGGGTTTGAGCTGACAGGTCATGATAATATATATGGCATTTTTTAAGTAGCTGACAATTGTAGAGGAGTAACAGTGCATATTACAATCATCAGCAGGGGAATAAGGGTAGCAGCTGATGGACTGTTTTTAGAAAACATCTAGCGAATAAGCAATGACAGGTGATGTGGGATAGAAGCAGCATCTCTGTGCTGGTTGGCACAAGGAGGAACTGTCTGATGAAGAGCTGAAATTATATGGAAAGAAGAAATATTTCTGGAGAGGAAAAAGACAAGCAGACAGAGAAATGATACATAGTCAACCAATACTGTCTGAAGAAAAGACTTCATGACTTCAGCTGTTTTTAATGTAATAACATACCCTTGCAATAAACCCAGAACAAGTTGTTAATCAGATTATACTTATGGAAGTCCTAAACCTTATTCCCAGAAGTCTTTAAAAATATAGTTACTTAAATTGTGGACTCATGACATTTAAATTCTCCCAGATCGTGAGATGAGAACACCACTAATGGGAAAGAAAATCCTAGCTTTTGAGAAAATAAGGACAAAAGACATTCAAATGGCAAGTAAAAAGAAAGGAAGTTTATAGTAGATATTTGCAATAAGTTAAGTATATTCACTGTTACTTACCTGTTTATCTAGTTTTGAGGTGGGTACTGGTGTACCTGGAGGAACTGCTGGTAGAGGTGGCTCCTCAATAGGACCCCTTGCAATTACCAGTTTCACTCTATTTCCACACTGCCTTAGAACTTGTGCCACCTGCTCACTGCTCATTCCAGCTAGGTCTGTATCTCCGATTTTTAAGATGTGATCTCCACTACACAATCTCCCATGCTGGAGGAAAAATAATGATGAAAAAAACCTTTTAACATCTTGCTACTTCTTCCATGTACCATACAGTCAGAAAAAGACCACACAGCTATAGTCACTTTTACAACATATGAACCAGGTGAATTTTTTGGGGTGTCAAGTCAATATCCCGAAGGTTGCCTAACAGCACACTAATTTTACTAGGATTTTCCACAGAAATACCCAGGAGATCATTTTTCAAGAAGTCACCTAAGCACATAAAAATAAAGGTGTTTTGTTATGGTTATTACCTACTGATATTTAACAACTGCATGTAGACTACAGAACTTCAGGTTTCATTTCCAAGCTTCACTTCCATACTTCTAAAGACAGCAAAAAAAACATTTATTCTGCTTTGCACTTCTATTCAAAAACTAGTTCTCTGGATCAACCATAACTTCAAAATAAAATTAATTTCTCACTGTGATCCAATTATTTATGTATTTACACTTGTTTACTCTCCTACTGATTTACATTTAATTAATAAAAAAGCTTTGCATGAATTTAGGCCATATGATGAGTATTAAAGAGACAGGTCTGTAAAAGGAACCTATCTACCTGCTCAGGGAAAGAGTGCAGCAGTAAATACTCTCCATGAATCTCCAGGTTATCAGGTCTCTACTGCTGTTGTTGGAAGACTGACCAGTTTCTGTACCTTGACCATCATTAATGCAGCCCTGGGTACTTGTCCAACGGACAACCTTGAAATCAGCTGTGATAACTAAATTCAATTCATGGGAGCCCTTCAGGCAAGTGCAGAGCCTGCGTTCTGAAGCAGATATATGAAGTCACATGTCTGCCCAAGCCTCAGTAAGCCCAACAGAGAGAACCAGATGGTCTTAGCTGTTAGGGCAGAGCAAGTCCATCTTTGGAGTTCCCCCTACCTTTGACTATAACCAGTACACTCATGAAAGAGTTAAGAGTCTAAATGACTATAAACCAAACACGTACAATGTAACAGGTTTGAAAACGTAATTTAGAGCCTAATTCAGCTTTTACACTCAAATCTATGGCAGTAAACACACCTTTATTGAGGATAAATTTCACTACTTGGTCTTTTTTTTTTTAATTTATGTGGATAAAAGCTACCACTATTTAGCATGATCATAAAAGTAAAGAATAACTTCACACCTTACTGAATGGTAACAGAAATGTACTGAATGTACCTGATCAGCCACCCCTCCTGGGAGGATGGTTTTTACAATCACTCCAGTTGACTTTCCTCCCACTATCCCAAATCCCAGACCTGAGCCATCATTCACCAACTCTATGGTCTCCACATGCTGCCAGTGAACCTAAAAGGAACAAATATGCAAATGATTAAAAATTTAGACTCATAGAATACCTGATTTTTATAGGTATAAAAAGACCCTTAAGATTATCAAGTCAAAATCTTCACATAGGTATTAGAACTTCTAAACTGTTTTCTCTTTTTTCTTGAATATGTTTTGAATAATGGAAGGTTGGAGGAAGGTGGACATAAGAGACCTTTTTAACAATTACTATCTAAGATTTCATAATTTTTAAGCAATAAGTTGGTAGTTCCAAAACAGGTGAAACTTCTCTGGTACAAAACAGCTGGGTAGTGAGGCAGACCTTTCAGGAATCTGTTGAATTAATTTAAGTAGCAACTCAGGGTGCCCACCTTCATGCCCCTTTGCAGTCAGTAAATACTGCTGCTAGAAAATCTCATAGTACTAGAAATTAAAGTCTTCAGCTAAGCACATGTTCATATTGGCCACTATAAAAAAGCACAGGTGAAAGCAAAATCCCAATTCAGGGATTTTTAAGGCTTTTTGAGATTTTGGGATTTTTGAGAACAAAGAAAAATTATTGCCAAGAAGAAGGCGGAGTTCGTTAAAGTAAACTACTGCCTTGTTATCTGTTAATGTCCAATTATAAAGGTATTTGTAATGGATGTTTACAGCTGGACAGTAGCCTGTATCCAACTGTATGCTTCTTGTCACAAGACCCTGTGTAGAGACGTTATAAAAACTCTGAGCTATCCTAATAAAGCAGACATATTTTAGATCTAATAGGTCGTGTATGTATGTCTCGGTGCCTCCCCGTCAAAAAGAAAGAAGCAGCAGGTATTGTAAAGTAGGCATGAGCAGAATTGCCTCATGTAATGACCAAAGATTTCTGCACTGTCTGATGTCAGCAGCAGCAGAATGACACAGGTCTGACGGCAGACTTCGTGTTCTGACAGGAGGCAAAACTGCTCTGAAAGAGAGACAAATGCTTGGTCGCTCACATGGGGCACTACTTGAAGGGACAACTGGAAGCTCGTAGTGTGCTTTCTCCTGAAGAACACGCCACACCATTCAGTCATCTGAAACTTGAAACTCCATTGCTCCTACATGAGGTAGGATCTTGAAGTAAGCATTTATTTTGGCATAATCCAGGCATTGCAAATTCCCTGTGGTACCTATTTGGAAATCCACAGTCTTAACATAAACCAATGATCAACCAAAGCCTGAAGGAAAAAGGACAGCTCCAAACACACTGCATTTGAAAGCAAAGAGAAAACAAGCACTGTGAAAAGCATGCTAAAAAACCAAAAGCTGTGGCATGTTTTAAAGGAACATTTTTTCAAGCAAGTGAAGCTGTTTGGAGAATACAGAGGCAACCAGATGGAGAAAAAAGTGTGTCACAGCAATACTGGAAGAGAGAGTAGGCCTCTCCTATGTGCTGGCAGGAAAGGTTAGGTCAGTCAGCTGTATTTCTACATACAGATGAAATGAGTAATTCTGACATTCTTTCACTAAAAATTTTATACTAATGATTAAAAAAACCCCTAAACCAGCTGCTTTTTCCAGATTGCTCTCTCTATACTTCTGGTTATTGACTTCCTTAAAGAAGGGCCACAAATGACTGAATAGCAAAATCTACAGAAACTGAAGACAGATTGTTTCATTCCAAGACAAAGCATTCCAAGACATGAAGATACCAGCATTCGAAATAAAGGAATTGTAGCAGAGCTGTTTTCTAGGGGGTCCTAAAGTGCATCCATGCACATGGCATTTTAATGGTTCACTCTTGTTACTTTACTTGGATCCCCCACGCCAACAGAACAGAGAAACAAACACACAAGTACCCATTTAGCTGGTGGTGCAGATTAGATTGCAATGCCTCAAAAATTCTGTTTGCCCAAGCAGAAGGTAAAGAAAAAAAAGATCTTGTTTACTGCAATTTCAAAATATAGCTTCATCAAGATAAACACACCGTATTTGCACTGGTAGATACAGATAATTTGGCAAAGGAAGGGATATATTCAAGATGAAGATTTCCCCCCAGCAAACCTGAATATTTTCTACTTTTTTGCATGGGCAAAGGTACAACAAAGATAAACAGAAGAAAAACCTTGAGATATTTGAAGGCTTGTACACACAAGTTACAAAAAAAAAGTCTCAAAATACTGTATGCAGTAAGTACATACATGACCAGAACTGAATACACAGATGTTTGGGGTATACTCACCGGGTTGGAATGGGCTGAAACTGTGCTAGCAGCAGAGGGAGACCGGGAAACTACAGGACTGATGAGCTGAGGAAAAGTGCCCCTGGCCACAACTAGCTGGACATTATCTTTTGCTTTCTGCAGAATGCTGATAGCCTGTTGATGTGTTATTGTCTGATCAAGGGCTTGTCCATTAATAGCAAGGATTTGATCTGCTTCCTTCAGCTTTCCATCTCTGTCACATAGGTGTAAACAGGGAAGGGGGATGACAAAATAAACAAACCAGAAAAATCAAGGAAGCATTGTCACAGAAATTGCAGTATTTTGACAATTTTCCAGTATTTTTAATAACCCAGTCTCTATTTCCCCCCACTTTTTTTAATCCCTCCCTGCAGTTGTGCTGAAAGGAGCTGATGCGGCACCCTGGTGATTGCTTCCTTTGAAGCTAATCCCACTGCACTGTCCCCTGGCTACTACCCCCTAGCTAGCTTTCTTCTCCCTGGGCCCCCATGCGAGACTAAGCATCTTAATCGCAGTCACTCCCAAACACAGCCTGGGAGCTTGTGTTTATTCTTGACTTTGAGCCTCTTGCTTTACACATCAAGTGCTCCACTTTTCAGTGTCCCCATCCTGAATATTCATCAAAGTGTGGAGTGGAACACACTTTCATCAAAATGCTACAGAAACAAATTTTGTTTTGCTGGAACATAAGGGGGAAAAAAAAGAAAAAAAAAAAAAAAAGGAAAAAAGAAGGGCAGCCAAATAAAGAAACAGAATGAAAATGATAAAACAGATTCCTTTTATACAAGGAGAAAAAATTAAAATTTAAAAAAACTCTTTGCTTTCTGACAAATGAAGCACTACTGTAAAACTACATACTAGGCCCTTCCCCAGACCTAATCCAAAGGAAATGCATGAAGCCTACAAAGTTGGCTGCTTCCTCCACCTATTCTTTGCATCCCAAAGCGCCAATGTGTTGAAAACAAAGGGCAGCAATGAAAACAAGGATCCCTACTATACCAGCTTTTGTGAGAATCTACACTGTAGAAGCTCAGTTACAGCATTCAGGAAAAAGACTATCTAGCTTCAACCCATAGTATTTCACTTGTGAATTTGAACTGTTTTCCAGAGTTCTTCTGAAGACTTATTATTGCCAGAGCCTTTCTCATTTATGATGCCTGTAACAATTGTTGAATGTTTCTCTTCTGCGCAATGAATCAGGTAGGGCCTGACTCAATAAAGACAGGTCTGATCTCCACGTAATAAAAGAAGTAAAAGCAAATACCACTTGAATGGGAAATAAAAAAAAGGGGAATTTAGGCAAATTCTAAAATAGTGTGAATACCCAGAGCATGCCACTCTCCATAAATGAATTAACTCTGCAGACCATGCTCTGGCCTCTGCTAATAATAGTGTTCAGATCACAAATAATCCGAAAACTTCTCCCTACAGCACAGCAAAAAACAGGACCAACATGACTCACACCTCTCCACACAACATACAGAGTTCACTGTAAAGGAGCTCCGCCCAGCATCCTTGATCACTGATAGACCTCACCAGCCTGCGGTGAACCTGCACTGCTGCCGTTCACCACTAAGTCTGTCTGCTCCCTTGGGCTGGTCTTACAGCAGAAATCCATTTCTCTCAACACTACTTGTGACATCTGAGTTTAAGTCTAAAGTACCCTTTCAGCAAGCTGTTATTATTGCTGAGCTTCTGTAACATCAACTTAATATCTCTTTGAATATCTCTGAGTTTAGATCAAGCCTTGCTTGATTTTAAAGCTTGGTTTCCCACCTGCTCAGTGGGCCCTACCTAAGAAATAAGACTGCTAGTTACAGCTGACTTTTTTTGCATAAAATTGTTTTTCAGCGCATTTAAGAATGGCAAAATATGGATTTCAGTGTTAAAAGACAAAACACAGTATGGCAGCCTCCCCTTTTTCCTTACTTAAAAGGAGATATTATAAACAAACCACAGAGAAGGACATCTGTAGTTCCTATAAATTCAGAACAGATCATGTGTTGCCCTGTTCCAACATCACAAAAACTGCAGTGTTAAGTAATTTTACATCTGCAACGATGCTTAGGATATGAGGGAAACATGCCCTTATACCACAAAAATAACAGCACTAACACAACTAAATTGCACTGTCACATTAACAATTGATATAGTAAAATATTCCAGTAGTTTTCTTACCTATGTGCCACACTTCCCTCCTGGATTTCTTGCACAAATATTCCTAGTTCTCCCCTGTTTTCACTCTTGAGTCCCACAACACTGAAGCCCAGACCACCACTTAGAGGTTTAGTAAGTTCAATTGTCTCAACAAGACGACCCTATTCAGCAGAAGTTAAAAAAAGAGCACAAATGTTAAAAGGTTAAAAATTAACAAAGGCTAAAAATGTTAAAAAGTAGTAATAATGAGTGTTATAAACAACTTGGAAATTAGTTTCTAATTCACCAGTTATAGCTGGGCAAAACTATACAAGCTAATAACTGAAACATAGTTGTTAATTTCCAACTTTTTCCTGTGATATAGAAAAGATTTGAGAAATGAAAGACTATCATAGCCCAGAGAGGAAATCAGGAAAGAACAGCTAAATATACAGAGTTTATGCTTAGTAGTGACTAAAGTAGGACATGCATCTATAAAATTTTAAAGGGTACAGGCTAACTTTAAAGCAAAACTAGAAAAAGAGGATGAATTTCAGAAAGACAAAAAAAGTAGGACTATGCAAAAGGCTCTCCAGAAAAGCATTAGACTTCTCCTATCGGGCTTTTTTACAGATTATTTATGAAAATCTTAGAATATATGCCTAGGCATTTTCAGCTCCAGCCACTTGCAGAGGCTTGTACATCATTTCTAGCTGCTACAGGAAAGTAGTAAGATCACACAGCAAGGCCAAAAAGGAATTTTCCATTTTATTTCCAAGAAAGTTTAGTTGTCATTAATTATGCATATAAGAGCATGCTCTGAGAAACCATGTCCCTCATGCACAGAGAGGCAGTGCTACAATGCACATAAAAAGATAATGGGATGCTGATCTGTGAGACACACATTGACCAGCTAAGGACAGTAACTCAGCAGTGACAACGTCAAGGCTACTTTTTCACCTGCTTTCTCATTTATTAATTGTTCCTAAATTAAAAGGTTACTTTTATTTTCTATAGCAAGTGACCACTGGTTTGCATAATAACAACTGCTTTTAAATAAACATACATCTATTTTAATCAGTAGTCCACATTATGTGGTTACTGTAAGACAAATTTACCTGGGACATGTTTCTGATCAGCTGCTCAAAATCATCACTAGAGGACTTCCCATTAATCTGAGGAGTAATGGATTTCATTGATGCTTCCAGCACATTAGCTGGGCTGCCATTCTGCTGAGCCAACAAATATGACTCATTAAGTGGCAAGGACCCCATGTTCACACCATGATGGAGAAGTTGGGGGAATTCATCAGTGGAATGTATGGAGGGTGCAATATTTACCTGTAAAAGATTGATGGCAACACAGATTTATAAAGCAGAAACCTCTCACCTACGTAAGAGCATCATAGTAAGTCAACTGATTGTTATAAGTACCTGAAATGCTAATCTGCAGTTTAAAAAAAACATTTTAAAAAGAAAAATTACCTTCAGTATTTACAATCAATGTAAAGTTGTGAACTACGAGCATAAAACACAGAAATTGATGAGAATAATTTAAAACTGCCTAAAATTCATTTGTTCCTATCAGCATAGCATCTTGAAGTATCCCATCACAGTGGTAGAAGTAAACAAGTATTACCAACAGTATTACTATTTAAAAAAAAGAAAAACACACAACCAAAATCCAAACAAATGTATCACTTATTTTAAAAGAAAAAAAAAAGTATTTATATATTGGTGAAAAAAAGAAACCAACCTCACCAGCTACATAGAGGGCAAATTTCCCTGGTCAGGTTTCTGCATCACAATGCACTACCAATGTGACTATCTACATGAGCCAGAGTTAAATGCTAAACTACTGAACAAGTCCAAAACCACCAGGCTGATCTGAAAATCCTAACTGCACCTTTACACAGACAGACTTGACAATACCATTCTCTTAGAACTGAAAAGAAAATAAGAAATTTCTCCATTTTGCGCAGCCATAGTAGCCTACCTCTTTTCAAGCAGATCTCTCCCAACCAGTCTAAGGAATGGCTGCTGGTGATACAAAGCTCACTTAAGAGATCAGCAGAATCCCTCACCTGGCTGTTGTCCTGCTTGCCTGTTGATTGTCAACATGAACCATTTTACTCCACATAGATTTGCTGCAAACTTGCCTGGCACACTAACCACAATATTGCAGTTTCAAATATTCTTCGTAGTTTGGCAGTGTACATTTTCTAGCATTCTGCACCACAATACAGAAGACTAGGGTTCCCCTTCCTTAAAGTCATATTTTTAAACTTAACATATTAACAAAAATTTAAAAACTGTAAATATATTCTGAAATGCCTACTGCACCAGTCTTAAATGTTTAAGCATGTTACTTCTATTAGGTTTATCATATCATTCTCCCAATAGTCCAGTCATTAAAAGGTCATTATTGCTCTCCATCACACAATTCCATCTCACCTAGGTGCTTTAGGAAAATCCAATAAACAAATGTTGGTAGTTGAACAGCTTATGTGCCTGAGAAGACCTTCAAGTTAAAGAAAAAATACCACAAGACAGCATTGGGAAAAAAACAGTTCTCAGGAGCACTTAGCCTGCTCTGCTATAAAAAACTGTTAAGAGGAGAATATGGATGTTTGGAACTCAGATATTTCCATAACATATTGATTATGTTCTGTTGTCCGTATTTGTGAGGAATTAATTGGCTGCATTACTTACCTGCATGAGGCTATATAACAAGTTAATTCAGTTCCACTTTCCCAATGTCCTCCATTTCAATGTATAAAAGTATATACCTGAACTTGGTCAAAGATGTGCTTTATTTCTTGTTCTCCTCCACCTCTAAATCTTCTTGTAGATCCTATTGTTATATTTCTTCCCACAAAAAAATTGTTATGGGTGAAACTATCAGTCCTAAGAGTATCTAACATCTACCCAATACCACTGCAATTAACCAGCCTTAGCTGTTTCTATTTAACATTTTTACATTTCTACAGCAGGATAAAGAGTATATAAGATGCAAATCCAAACTAACTTTCATGTGCACTCAAAGGCCGCAATATATCGGTTTCGTATCACAATGTTAGCAAGTTATAGATGCAAGTTCATTTTCTAAATTGCAGTGCTCATTCCAGAAAACAGAATTTAGTTACACTTTCTGCTGTAGGTTACCATCCTCAGAAAACTCTTGGTAAAAGGAGACTAATCACTTGCAGAACTAATCACTTGCTCAAGCAAAGCCAGCAAATTAGCCTAAACAAAGAACAGCATAGTATGAGCAAAACCTACTGATTTTGCCCAATGTCAATTAGTGAGAGCTCACAGAACCATTCTGGTGCAGCTTTTGGAGTGGTAACCTCAAAATAAGTGGGCAAGACTCAGAAGATGAGAACAGTAATGACTCCAATCAATACGATTACACTCGGAGAAGAATACATTAAATGTCTTTCATTTCATCCAGGACCACTCTAACTGCATTATTGGTCTTGGGGCCTTTTTAATGTGGCAGAAGCTTCCTGATGCTTCATCCTTCAGGATGGCAGAAGGGGAAGTCACTGATATTATTGATAGTCCTATAAAATCCAACTGTGCGTGAATTCTCCATTTTGAATAGAGTGTACAGTCATTTTATAAAACAGAAAGAAGTAAAATCCTACAATTTTAAAAAGCAAAATTTGAGACTAGAACCCCTTCTGCTTTAAAAAGAAAGAGCCATGCAGGCAAAAAAACCCAGAATTTTAAGCCACAGAAACTGACTGTAGCTGTGGCTTCACTGCTCTAAGTTTATTCCATGTTACCACATGGTGTGAAAAATGTTAACATAGAGACAATACCAGCAACTCATGAAATCTGGATGAAAAGTCTATGTCTTTCCTGTCTCTGGAGTGCTCTTTTACACACAGATGTGTAGGGAGCAAGTTGCATTAGAAAAATCAAGCAATGCATGAAAAGGTATGTCAAGCCACAGTAATCCAAAATTATTACAATTTTAGAATAGTGTGAAAGATACAAGAGGTGTTTACATCATGATACTGTTATTTTTTTCTAATATACAGTCAGACTTTCTGTATAGATACCAGGAGAACAAATGGAACTACACATCAAAAATAAATGGTTGTAGAGAACGACTCACTGCCCTTACAATGAACTGTATTGTATGCCTTACCCGAATCTAAGATACTCCTTGTACCACTCAATATCCCATACAGGACAACCTTCAGCATGCAGAAGGATCCCTGGGCCCATCCTGTATTATGATCTATATACATTCTTCTACTACTAATTAAGTTTATTGATTGCTTTGGGCAGCTCATTTCAGTGTTTGCAATGTTCTATCAGCAGGGTAGCCATGATGGGCACCTCAACTTTCACCTGAACATTTGCCCAATATCACCATATTATTCTCTATTTAAGTTTGAAGGAGTTCTTCTATTAAGATATGACAATGTCCTTAGGGATTTACAATTTTCTCTCTAGCAGAGAACTTGGATGTTCCCATGCTAAAATAGAATTAGCTCCAGACCAAATAATTTTTAAGTTTTACACTGTATTTTCATTGACCAAATCCTGTTCAAACTGGCAATATAGCGCTCACCTTCTCAGTTTGAAATTTCATCCCTTCTCCATACTTGTACGAGGTGGGACATTACTGTAAGCATACAGGAATTGACTGACCTCACCCATTCCTTCCGCCTTTCAAAGCAGAAGATGGTAATTGTTTACGCTTGTCCAAGACATTGTCCATAATAAAGTAAGAACTCCCTTATTCTGAAGACAATGGATGGTTTTTATTTGCATGACGGTTAAGATATCAACTGAGAAGTGTTGCACACTATAAATAGCAGTAAATGGGAAAAATAACCCTCCAATCCATACTAGCTTAACTAGAACTTTAAAAGCTGCCCCTCACCTTCAGTACAACCGCACAGTTAAAACACAGGATTGAACACAAACACATCAGGAGCAACTGAGAGCAACACCTCATTTTCATCACACCTTTTTTTAAAAACGACATATTCAGTGGAGAATGTGTGAAGCACAGGAAGCCAACCTCACCTTAAGTGACACCTGGATTCTGAAAATTCAAGAAAAAATGTTAAACTGTTAACAGAGTAAAGTTTTGTGTGTGTGCACGCATGTCCAGAAATGTCACAATGTCTCCTCTTCTGAAACATAATGGTTACACTTGAAAAACCATAAAAACATTTATAATGACAGTTATAATGGTACTTATGGTAGAAGTACAGAATCTACAGACAAATCATAAGCAGAAATGTGATCACTATTCTCTTCCCTGACACTCCTGAAATGCAGGCGTATAGTATAAAAAAGTTCAGAAGAACTGGTGTATATTCCCACTAACAACAGAAGTATATGTCATTTCGGGGGCAGCAATAAACCACAAGTGCAAATCTTAAAATTACAGTGCTCTTGTGGTTGCATGAAGTATTTTTCATAACTTCTGAATTGCACTACTTTGCAGTAATAAATTCACCATAATTCCATCAAGAAATAGCTTTACAGCACTGTGATTGCATAAGTACCATATGAAAGAATATTGCTGTGTTTTATAATCTTGCTTATGCCAATTTTCCTTGACTGGCTTTCTCTGAACTGTATGTAGAATCTCCATGTGATGAATGCAGACATAATTTGCATAAGACAAGAAGAAAAATTCATAAATACCAGTGAGTATGATAAATTTATGTTACAGTCCCACAGGTAGATGCTAAATACAGTCAAGTACTGCTTACATGCAGTTGCTAAAAATATTTCTTTTAACAGTGTATGAACATTTTAAGCAATTTGCTCAACATTTTTAAGTCTCAACTTGGACAAGAACAAATATTGAGTGTTTCTGTGCTCCGGCCATTGAGCACCGGCCCTTGAACACCCCAAGAAGCACAGGCTAGTATTTCATCTGACTGCAAGATCCTGAACAGCAGAAAGGTAAGCTGCAACAGGATCACAGTGGGAGACAGGAAGCGAAGCACAAGGCAAAGGCCGTTTGAGCCCAGCACTGCCAGATGCCCCCAGCCCTACAGAGAAAGCCTCCAGGCTCCCAGAACAGGCAGTGCCACCAGCACCCCTCTGATAACTGCACCTTTATGACTCCATCCTCAGGGTGGGTGAAGCAGATCCCAAACTAGAATTTCTCATGAGCACCTCATTTCAAAACACTGAGCAAACAAGTTGTTAGTGGATGGGGTTAAGAACGTGAAGCAAACATTTCTAGTTGTGCAAACACAGTGTTTACAGACAATATTAGAAGACAAAATTTATCACTTCTTCCCTAAATTTTCTCTAGCACTGACACACAGCTATCCCCACCACTACGGTGAAGGAAAAACTATGGTCAAATCACAAGTAAAACAAAAAATCTGAGGAATGCAGCTCAGCCAAGGGAGGGCTATTTTGTTCTGGCAGAGGACTGAGTGGAATGGAAGTGGCGGGGGAAGAGGAGGAGGTGGAAGAGGGGAAGACAACAAGGAAAGGAAGAGAAGCAGGAGAAGAATGCTAGCATGGTCTGGGTATTTTCTTTAAAATATTTTATAAAGAAATATTATTGAAAAGTTTAAAACATAACAATCTCTGCCTTTTTTTTTCTGTCACTTCCTTGTCTTCAAACAATTGGACTGTTCTTCAACAGGAGAAAACAAGCATTAACTGAAGAATAAGGACAGAAAGAGACAGAAAAAAAACTTTCCTTCAGTGCTCCCCAGATCAAGTGACTAGTAAAGTCAAAACAGTAATTCTCAAAAAAGCAAACAAACAAAAAAAACAACAAAAAAAAAAAAAAAACAAAAAACAAAAAAAAAACACCACCAACTCTTTCCTGTGCCTGTTTTCCACTTCAGTGCTTAACTTCACAATGACAGTTTTGCTGTGCAAACAAATCCTGCTTGTTAGTTTAGAAAGAAAAAAAACCTAACAACTTTAAAGCACCTACCACTAAGCCCCAAAGCATCAGAGTTGCTGACTTTAGCATCACGCCTCCCCAACGTTCAGATAAAGCAACATACACTCAGTCCACACACCGCACGAACAGACAGCAGGGCTTTCATTATCATCGCTGTGCCTTCCAGACACAGTGCCTCAAGCCAGGAATACATCCTGCACTCAAACTTATTAAGCCACTAAAGGACCACAACGAAATCTCACTGGGTGACCTGCTTCTGCTGGGATACTTGCAGGGAATCTGTTTGACTTAGAAGTAAATTGCTATTCTGGCCTCTCTGATCCCATACTCTCTTTTAATCTCTACTATCCTAAAAGATGGCCTTCTCCTGATAATTTTGCAGTAGTCTTGCAGCTCTTTAAAAACTGATTAAAAATACAAGAGCAGTTTAAATAGACTGTCACATTTCACTTTAGGAAACAAAATCCCCATTCAACTATCATTGCAGTTCATCATTAAACATAAAAAAAAATTAGCCACTTCTAATGCAAAATCTCATCATTGTACAGCTCAGCATCACGTCATCCGGTCTCAAACGCAGCTCTGACTACAAGTGTTTGGGAAACAACTTGTCACCTTCCTTACTCTGGCATGGTTTGGCCAAAAAGCCTGATCACTATTCACATGCCTTGCAGTTTTCATCAACTTGTAACTTAAGAGTTTCAAGCACAGTACCCTGCCAGTTACAAAAATGATGCCCTCAAAACTGAGCCTTTGAAAATACCAAGAAGTATAATTTTTTTTTTTTTAACCTGAATGCCTATTTCATTTTTTTATCCTTTGTCCTGTTTCAGTAATCTTTGTAATTATTTAAATAACAAGAAAAAACTGACAATCTCATGTTATATTACAGGAAAGAAATAATTCTACAGAGAAAATACAGGATGAAGAGATGACACAAATCTACGAATTCAGGAAATATACATTTACGTGTGTAAGTATTCATATAAGCACACATCAGAAAAGGAAGTCACATCCAAGTAGCTTCCTTGTTAACTAACCAGGATATGTACTACGCAACATGCACAGGCCACTAAAGTTACTGCACAAATAAAAATGGCCAGTCTCTTCGCGAACGAAGAACCGGGGAAGGTCTTTACACCTTCCAGACTGCGCATTGGATTTTTTAGGTGAGACACAGTGTGCGCGGAACTGAGCCCACCCTTTAATCCTGAGGTTCATCTGCCGGGGCCAAGCATGCTTGGACGGTGGCAGTGAGGTCCTCAGGACGTAGATGGATTGCCTTACAGGGCTAACGAGCTCCATCTGCCCGGGGAGTGTCCTAACCGGGAATCGAACCCGGATCTCAGCGTTGACAACGCTGTGGTTTAGCCACTGCACCACCAGGGACACTCACTGCACAAATAAACCTGCAGTGTCAGGACAGATGGTAAAATTACTATTTGCTTTTTAGAAAATATGTGTTTTAAATTACCCACATATGGTATCAGCTGCTTCATTTTTTCTAATTTAGGCAACTGTATTTAAAAAGATAACCATCCTTTAATTTCACAACGAATGTCCAGAAGTGAAAATTTAATTTGTCTTTTCACCAAACTCCCATTAATGTTTCGGGTACACTTTCATTTCTCACTCTGTGTTCCCAGGGTCTGCACCACTTACTTCACAGAATTCTTGAGTGTCAGTGTTAAATTCTCATTTTCAAATAGCAGAGCAAACAAACCTTCAGGACAGGTTTTTTTCCTACATTTTTTTTAATCCCTCCAATATCATCAAGTGTCTAAATACAACACAGGCAAAATCTGAAACACATGGTGATGAATACAGCACTGTGGACACCATTCTAATTTATTTCTTGCCCGTGTCAAATAGCATCAAGATGATCAACAAGAAACAATAAAGGGCCACATTGTGCTCTTCTGCCACACAGCTGTGTGAAGATTGTGAGGAATCCTCACCACCACAGTCCAGTCAGAGACCAGATGTGGCTCCACACCAATGATAAGGCCCATATGCAGGGTCTGCATTCTCCCACTTCAGCATTTCTGCATACCAGACAGAGTTGACCATCTTGCAGGAGTCAACAGGAACAACTATTTGCAGATACACAGTTTAGTCCTAATTCTGTTACTGGACTAATTTTTGTATTTTACAAGTTCTTATTCTGCTGACAAGAAAATTATAGTAACAAATAATCAAATCAATATAGCCAATATAGCCAACCTTTTTCTCACTCTCACTGAAAATATGCAGAAAAGTAATACTTTTACTCAGTACACTGAGCAAGCAAAAGGGAGGCTTCCCTTTGATCTTTTTTTACTCCTATATCAAGAAAAAACATCCTCATGTCCTTCTAAGTCAACATTTCACAGCCTCCCTTTTACATTCTCGTTTTAGCAGGATAAGACACAAGAGGGCAATAAAATAAACCTACAAAAAAAGTTCTAAGACCTCATAGAAAGAATGGTCCTTTTGAATGGGAGAGACAAAATACATTGTGTCAACCCTGCACCCAAAATCACCATTTCCCTACCCTGCACATTGTAAGTAGTGAGTGTATACATAAAAATCACAAACTTAAACTATGAACACAAAGCCCAGAAAAGTCAGTGGGGTATGTCCCCATCAGTTCCCTGAACCTTCGCATCAGATTTTTAGTTTAAGCTATTTGATTTCACTGTTCAACCAGCAAAGACATTTTTGCACCACCTCAGCAATTTTTCCCTTTCATCTGGAAACGCTTCTTTTCTCACCTGATCTCTCAGTTGTTGAACAGAAGTCTGAAGGTTCAGAATTTGATTAAAGAGAGGACTCTGCAGCACTGTTTTTAATAAGTTCAGTTTCTCCTCGTTTGCAATGTCACCTCGATTCCGAAGTTTTGCCTGTAAGCGATCCATGGCCTGGAGGGCCCGATGTGTATCTGTAGCAATAATCATTTCTAGTTAGTAGCAGTCTAGAAACAGTCACATACAAGCAGGTAACAGATTTAAATATAACTCTCTTTACTGTTCAAACTATAGAGGACTTGAATTGCTCAGTTCTGAACAAAAATCCTAGCCCAAACATTTCTAATGAAGGAGGAAGTCAGAGGCAGAGCACAAAACAGAAGCCAACAAAATCACAATTTTGTCCACCAAGAGCTGGATTACAAAAGTGAAAGAGCCTTAATTAAAATTCAGTTACAGGAACTGTGGCTACAGACCACGGTAAATAAACAGTGACATAAAGAATCATAATAGAAAACATTTGTCTTTTTCATGTCTTTCTAGCAAAGATTAAAACAATCAAATCAAGACAACAGGCTATAAATTAAATACCCTAAACAAATAATGGTATACCTTCTGTTTTCAAATACCAAAACCGAAACACAAAACAAATTTCTAATCACAGTAGATAATTTTTTCAAAATCTCTCTCAGCATTTATACCAATGACCCAAATCTATCATATGCACTTAATTTGGCCACAAAAAAATACTGTGATACAAATGAAAAAAAATACCAATTGTTTCCAACATGTTTTCCACTTCTCAGCTTCTATTTTAACGTTGGTAAGAGAAAGGAAATCTTTCCCTGAAAAATAACAGAAAGGGAAAAAAGTCACATTTATAGAAGTGTTAAGCTCTGACAAGGAAGACAAAAGCTTGACTTCCAAAAACAAGATACAGCAAAATAACAAGCCACAAAAAACTTATCTCCACAGATAATTAAAATAACCTCAAAGATGACCATATTCTGAGTTACTCTGGTGCTTAAAACCTGCCTGAAAATTGCTTTAGGAATGTACTTTGTAATATTCTTGCATTTCCATATCAATGCTGCTGTCTGCATACTGTTGCACAACATCTCTTGCACTGCTTTAAACAGAAGCTATGAATCATCGCTGTCACTGATATTTTACACAGTTTCATTGCTTTCCTTTTCAGTGATTCACAAAAGACATTCCCTGCGGGATCAGTTTTCAAGTTCTATGTTGACAATTTCAGGTGCACCAGCCACAGCACATTTTTAAGTAATCTTCTTTTAAGAAAAGTCACATAAATCACAAAGCATTCATGCTAAAGGCTTGCAAGAATCTCACATTATAGCCTCCACCACTAATACGTATTGGAATTGAGACTCTGATCTGGATGATGGTTGAGTTTTCACCAGTGTGTGTTTCCAGGCAGGAAATTCTATGCTAAGAGGAAGAAATTTGGACATTGCTTTGTTTATACTTTTTGTAGCTTTGGGGGGTTGTTTGGGGCTTTTTTTTTTCAACAGTATGCCTGCAATTGCTCTGAAATTCGTAGTGAGGAGAAGTGAGGAGTTCAACAATCATTGCAGGTGTATCTTATCCTTCACAATCGTGCTTTTGTTTTCTTTATAATAGGAAAATGATTATAGCATCCCCATGCAGAACTGTGATCTCTAAGCACTCAGGAAAAGAGATTTTTTTCTTGAAACTTAGGAGAGAAAGAGAAATGGCAATGATGTTGATAGATCTCTGGGTAAGCTAGCCTAACAGGACCATTATAGGCTTGACAATCAGGCCTATACCACTGCTATTTATGCAGAAAAACAAACCATCTGGGTTTAAAATGGTCTCGTGTTCCACCAAATGACTTCCCTGGTGTGATACGTCAGAAGCTTTGTATCAATTTTATTCATGGAATCCCAGAATCATAGACTGATTAGGGTTGGAAAGAACCTTAAAGATCAACTAGTTCCAACCTATCTCTCATGGGCAGGGAACCCTGCAGTAGACCTGGCTAATCAGAGCTCCATCCAGCCTGGCCTTGAACACCTCTGGCAATGGGAGTGTTCACAACCTCTCTGAAGGTTGCTTTTGAATTTGCCAATACATTGGTATAGAATCACTCATCACCCTTTTCAGGACAGTATACCACTTAGGGACAAACCTTCCAACTGCTTAAACCCAATTTTGTCAAAGTAATCTAATTCCTTGATTCAATAGAATCCAATACAATACCAGTAACAAATAAAAATACGCTTTTATAAATTTGTTTTCTCACTTGGCAAGGGAAATTCCAGCACATGACTGTCAGATCTGAAAATCTGAACGTATCTTATTTTTTCACCTTGTCACTCTACAAAACAAGATAAAATTAAGTCTATTTTACACGGAAAGGGCTGGATGAGATTATTTAAATACCATGAAGTAAGTGGGCTTCCCCAAACCTTAATCACCCATAGCTCATTTTTAGATTAACAAACTACTATCACTTCTATTCAAACCCCCTATTTACAAGTTTACATTTATGGCACATTCATAGGTGTCTTTCTCAGTGGCAATGCCAATCAAAGCAGTTCTTTCCTATTTCACTGTTCCAGTTTTTTCTCTATAGCTACTCTTGGGGCTCTGTACTGGATGCAATCAGAAAACTGTGCAAAAAAATAGATATGGAATTGTTTTTCAGTCATTTCAGTGCCATGATCCTATCACAGCAATATACACACAAACACACAGCATTATATGTTCATGAGATGAAATTACTCAGGAAAAATACAGCATTACTGTTCTGCTTCAGCTCCACAAGAACATAAAGAAGAGATGCAGCTGTAAAATGTCCCTGTCTTTTGGAATAGCTGGATATTGCTCTATATCATGATTTTATTTGCCTGAAATCTCATTCTTGCCGTGCTGTGAAAGACATGTTTTACAAGTGACAGCAGAGAAGGTCACCACTGTGTTCAGGCAACCCTGAAGGTATGAACTCTGACAAATTATAGTGAAAGATTTCTAAAAGCAGACACAAGTCCTAAACATACTCTACAGATTGAGATGATGGTATTTAATCTGCAATTAAAAGAAGTCCTTAGCTCTGCTAAGACACTCATTATATACTTTCTATTTACCTCATGCTTTAGAGAGAGAAATGAATACTGCTCCAGCACTACGCCAGCATCAGCAAATCCATTTTTAACTCTCATTTTAATTCTCCTTATTTGTGTTTACATCATCAGGGAATCCCTTCCCAGCTGGCCAGCTTAATGCTTTTGTTGACTGCAGCAACAAGCGTGAGCAAGACCAAAACTGCTGTAAGGATGTTTTCCCTCAGGACACCTCTGACACAGATGCAATGCATTGAGGCACACCAGTGTTTCTACACATCTCAGGCCCAGATGACCCGTTCCCTCTGCCTGCACTCTGAACCCCACATGACTGTGCTCCTGCTGTGCCACATCCATGCTAACAAGCGGGATCTCTCAGCACCAGCTTAGTGGCACATTAACATGTGGAAGTACAAGAGAAGCAGCCACACATCTGCCCAAAATACACCACTGAGACACACCCACAAGCAACACCACTGATTTCAGGCCACCTCGGTCTTTAAACCAAGGTATTTTAGAAATAATGTGCTAGGGAGAAGTAGAGAGGCATGCATGATGACTTGCTGACAGGCATAAGTCTATCATTTGCTAAAATTAATATTTTTATAATGCCATCACAGACTTCTAGATGTACAACAGGAAGATTTGTTCTGATTTTCTCATTCTGCAAACTCATGGCAACTTGTATCACAGGAACCTGGAGCCAAAACTAGCCCTTCTATACATCATGCCATGCCGTTCACACTTCAAAGAGCTTACTAGCTTAGCTCAAAGTAGATTTAACTATTTTTAAATTTCAGTGCTAAAGTTCATTAATCTCTTCACAGTAATAAGGACAGAGACTGTCTGAGTTAGACTTTTTTTATTAGCAACTCAAAGAAATACTGCTAAGGAAATAGCAAGCTAAATTTACTTTCAAGTTTTAAAGGCACAGGCACCTGAAAGCTATGACTTAAAAAAAAAAAAAAAAGCAAACAAACAAAAAACCCTCTCCGCCTTCTACTTTTCTTTCTGTTTTATAACACTAAAGTAGAAAACACAAGGAATTTTAGACAGGCATGTGGTGACAAACATGGTCTGCTCTCTAAGTATAAGCAAAAATTAAAAATTATCCCTTTCAAACTTGAATTTCAAATTTGATTCTTCACATAGTAAGAAACAAAAATGTTATATACACATTTCTCTACTCTCTATGCTACCCTCCTTTGATAAGGTTGGTTGCCAGAAAATAGTTGGCAGCTCTGATTTCCTTCTGTCCACTTCTGTAATGCTAAAATCCATAGGTGGCAGAATTTAAAAAAAAAAAAAACAACCTGAAATGTATTTGATTACCTCCTTTCTACTGCAATCACACAAGACACTTAGCTAAAGAGACAAAAGATTCATGAAAAGATGACCTGTTTCCAATGGTTGTTCATTCACACCTGATCGCTTAGTTTCTACAAAGAAATTGTCTCTGTTTCATTGATAGATACTCTATCTAGTATTTCACAATGTCATTTCAGACAATACCCTGGAAACTAGTGCTCATAGCAGTGGATTAGCAAGCGTGCAATGCCAAAGATAGAAAACACAGTAATAGGCTTTGCCCTGTAGCTCCTGCATTACTTGAAGTGCTCTAGAGCACACAGAGGAAATGCCTATCTTAAGTGTAATCTCTGGGCCCAAACTTTGGCATGAGATTAAAATCAAATCTGTTTCAATTAAGCAGCATGGTAACCACAACATGCATTTAACAGCTGCTAAAAAAAAGTATTTCGAAACTTCTAATCGAAATTTCAACACTTGGCCTGGTTTTGTCTGTGCAAGAGATTTCCTTAAACATTTGATTTTTATCCCATGTCATTTCCCTCCCATATTTTCTGGCTATCACTCAAACAGGCATATTGTGCTGGCACTGCATGGTGCAGTTAGAGGAAACCAAAATACGCAGGAAGTGGAAGATATTAATTACTGCTAAACCTTCTGCTTTGCCTGCAGATTCCAGGAGCTCTTCCATTTTGCCCAGTTACATCCTGCCTGCTAAGGAGAAAAACTAAGGTGGATCCCAGATTTTCTGGGAGTAGTCTTGTCAAAATAAATGCAGTAGAAACTATTCATGGTAAATTGAAAAATCTCGTGCTTTTCTATGTATTTTTCTACTGTCACAAAGGCAATTTTGCTCTCGCATAAAGCATTAAGCACACCGAGAAAGAGTATGGAAATAACTGCAAAAGAACAGAGACCAACAGAGAAAAGATGATAAATGAAAACAATTAGTGGAAAGGAAGAAAGAAAGGGAAAAAAGGCTAGCCCACCATTTTACTGACAGGACACGAGCTTGCCAAATTAACATCAACCACTCAGTTTCATCAGCCAAGAGACCCTGCACTGCTAGCTTCTGAATGACAAAAGAGAGAACTGATTCAAATTAAGGATTTAATACAAGCAAAATTAATGTGCACTGTTCCACAAAGAACAAAGCAGATTTCCACTATCTGGAATGTAACAGGTAAGCAAGAGAAGCCTGATATTTACATTTAAAAGCTATGTTAATGAAAATTGTTCTGAAACATTCAAAGTAGAAATAAAAAGGCAGTATTCACATAGCCTATATTAAGACTGTAAGAAGTCTGAAAAGATGTTACTAGCCTCTTGAAATTTAGGAAAATGCTGACTGCATCAAAAATATGTAGAGATGTAACGGCTCTGTACATTAGAGAAGTTCTGCGATAGAGCTGAACAGCCTTATGTATTTT